GATTATAATGAACTTTAGCACCATTAATCCACTTGACTATATAATCAGCTGTTGTTGGGATGTTCTTCCAGGGAAGGTCATTGTCATCTCTCAACCATCCGGGGAATCCCCATGGTAACGCATAGAGCTTTATATCGGGGTTTCGCTATATGAAACAAAATATAAAGCACAAATTACTATGTCAGCGTTAGATGTTGCATATTATCAACACTTATTAGTTCAACTTGAACGAAAACAAGACATTAACAATACCTTTTTAGCTTCTTGTAACATCCACCATTCATAACCTCGTGTATAATCTTCATCCCAACTGTAATGCATGTGTGAAGCTTCTGTTCCATCTACAATAAAAAAAATAAGAGTCTATTTATTATAATCAAGAAATCAGTACGCTGGTTTAAATGTTACAAACTTGCAGTGCCGGTTTAGATGATGTATACTAATCCATATGTGAAGCTTCTATTCCGTTTGCACAACAAAGAATAGACGTCGACAATGTTCTGTTTATATAGGCTTCTGAATCCTAATCAAATGAAAGTGGAACATAAGGAGGGCATGCTTACTCTTTTTAAAACACACAACACTACTTCTCATTTAAATAGTAATGTTGAAAATCGTTGGTCTTCCCCTTTAACGCTATGAGAGAGAGAGAGAGAGAGAGAGAGAGAGAGAGAGAGGTTCGATCTTTCAGATTCTTTAATTTGATCCATTATATTTTTAGTGCGTGCAATGAATAGAGTAATGCATTATAAACATCGCTGTCAGATAAGCTGTTGGAATTCAAAATGTATTCATTATAACAATCGACCTGCCAAATGGATACAGAAATTTCGGTCTAAATGTACACATATACATATACTCAGAAATTATTGTACTTTTATATATTTTCATAAGCCCCGTTCACATGATCACATGGGATGTACTAGAAGCATTCCGGTATATCTTGGCTATGCGAATGCATTTGCACATAAACAAAAGTACATTTACACATCAAGTCAAATTCATGTGCATATTTATAAAGTTTATGGTTTGAGACCGGCTAGATAAAAATACAGGTAAAATTTAAGTAAGGCTTCTACTCCTGAACATTGCACCATGTCTGTTTTTAGAAAATGGGCGAATAAATGAAAAAACTGCAGAAATGGAGAAAAGATGGATTTATGATCTGATGTAACCCGTTGCGATAAATAACTATAGCACATTTATTCCGCCTATGACTCTTCCACAGCTTCAGAAAAAGTTTTCAGTTCATCACCAGATGAGAATTTAATATATTGTTTCGTGACACTTAGAAAACGGTATAAGGCTTCACATGTCCAAGTCTGCGATATCACCTCGGTGGAAGCGCGGACGTAAAATACAATTAACTCACACACACACATGTCCAAGGTCTGGTTCGAATTTTTTCATTCCACTACACAATATAGAAATATCCCCATTTTAAACCCATTTTGATTAAAATTCTACTGTTGAATGCATTTCCTACTAAAACATGCGATTGTTTAACACACAAGGTGTAAATATTCACGAATTTGCAAATATGTGCACGGATTTGCAAATATGTCCACGGATTTGCAAATATGCACGGATTTGCAAATACAAACTTGCAAACTTAGAACCTGTGAACGGGGCTTTAAAATAGACATTTACAAACTGTAACATATTTTATGTTTTGATTAAAATTCAAGACTATTCAAACAGTTCAACCATTCAAGTGTTTACTTTTAAAGGGACTATCCCGATTTGAACAGAGTCTCAAAAATAAAAGTCTGAGTACTTATAATATTTATGCACCAAAATATAGAGGAATGGTGTATTTACCTTATCTCAAAGTTTCAGCTCAAAATATTAAGTCGTTTGGGCGTGAACGTCAAAACTGCTAATCCGTAACCCTTTTAAGATTTCGGGTCAATTTTTTTTTGGGGTGAACTGATAAACGATTCCCGTTCCTTTAGAAGTCTATACAATGAATGACCCATGTGCTATACATGATAACGAAAGGTAAATTTCACCTACACATTATTTTTATAAAATTAAAGTCTGGTTTTATCCATACATCGTATAATACAGTTTGGGACACCAGTCTCCATTTCCAGATGAAGACTGGCAGGTTTAAGTTGTATGAAAATATATCACATATATTGACTTAGTTGCTCGGCTCTAAGGTAGAGGATTTTAAGGGATTTTAACACAAAATTAAGCAGTTTTATTTTCCAAAATATTACCGGGATTGGCCCTTTAAGAAAGATTATTATTTTGGGAATTATGTGTGTTAGTTAAACGATTCATAGCAGATTACTGAAGAAATTTAACTTTTTGTACTCTTAGTAATATCTTTTGAGTAAAATCTTGTTTTTTGTTCCTAAAGATATTTTGGTTTCGCATGGATATATTAACATAAAAACATACTGTATACGTTCATAAACCATAACGAAATTGGATATTGAGGACAGAATTGTATTCCCCAGGGTAAATTATATAAATGTTTAACAAGTTTTCTTTACAGCAGATTATTACTCCAGTATATAATTGGTAAAAAAATCCCAAGAGCATAACTTTTAATTAAATAACAACACAATTCTCCGAACCGCCCAATCTATCAGGATCGTTGAGTACGAAATAAGGTCACCGCTCTATATTTTGTGACATATAACCGGTTCTATTGTGGGAAACCAAGTGCAAGCATGGTTCATGCTCAAATATAGGTCTAGATCTATTTGTTGAGGCCAACTCAATTTTCGTCAAGGTCTCTGAGATGTAAATAAGGTTAGGGCACGTGATTGTTTGCGAGATTGTAGGTTATGGTAAACGTTACGGCTAGGTCCAGAGTTAAGGTCGGGAGTACTCCGGTTTATATCGGAATTTGAATAAGTATTAAATGGGAGTTTACCTGTACTTTGAACATCGCCACCTATTTCTACTTTGAAAATGTCGAGTGAAGCTCCAAAATTAGGCTGCAAAAATATACATTGTTATGGTGTACTTTAAAACGAGGTATGAATACTTATAACTAAAACCTTTTGGAAGCCCAGTTGTACCCAGCCCCACCACATCCACTACCCTCCTCATAATAACAATATACTTAAATCAATCCATTTAATTTGTTTTCGTGCATTTAAAGTTAAAAAAGATAGAGAGAGAGGGAGAGAGAGAGAGAGAGAGAGAGGGAGGGAGGGAGGGATGGGGTTTAACGTCCACTCGACACAAACTAGGTCATTTCGGAACTAACATATGGTTCAATTTTATTTCAATAATTCGTTTGCGCGTAGGGGTCTTTAGCAGTGGGAGGAAACCGAAGGACCCGGAGAAAACCCACGAGGTTGGACAGGCGACCCTACTCCTTGTCACGTACAACCGGGGATTCGAAACCACGGTTAAAAAAGATACGTCGATAATTAAATGTTACGTTTCGACAAGATATTATTTTCACATTTCGTCAATATATTATTTTCATGTTTTTTTATGACAAAAAAAATCCAAACAAAACATATAGACATACCTTAAATAAAAAATCTAATATTTCAGATCTTTGCTTCTCGGGATAATTCACAAGTAATTTTGATGATGCCTGAAAAGTATCAAAGTTTTTCTGGAGAATAACAATACCAAAATTATCACTAAAACCTTAAGGTTGATCCACCCTTCTCACAGATGAAAATGATTGATCGAATTAGTCCGCCATTCTCAGAAACGGGTTACCCATATGTATTATAACTGGGTTGCACATAAATGATTTACAAAAACAAGGTGTTATGAATTCATGTTAACCTGGGTTCTTCCGAAACCTTACCCCTGCACTGAGTGCTCCAACACCAAGAAATGTTCTACCATAGCCCACAGAATCATCGATGACGTAGGTAGATCCTCTAATTCTGTGTGTTTGGTAAAGTAAAAGGGTTAAGATTAAAGAGTCTATAAGTGACCTCTCCATGTTGTATGGTATTTTAAATTACATGTAGAGACATTGTAGACGTTATCAGTATCAAGTTAGACTTAAAACCTATAAAATTGATATTAAATAACCCGTCCATCATGATAACAGCCACAATACTGGTTTATTTCGCTTATGATAGCGAAATGTTGACCCCAAAAAACACAGACCAAATATAATGGAAGAATTCGGCATAGTCGACATCTGAGGAAACTGAAATTTGTATTGAAAATCGAAGGAAAGCGAATAAAGATAATTGGGCATGACATAATGCAAAAAACGTCGCCTAGCATGTTCCATTTAAAACTTGTGAATATATGTTATCCTTAGAAGTATGATTGCTATATAAATGTACATAAATATAACATAATTAACGATGTTAATGATCTTTGATATATTATATGATAGACATATTGATGAAAGAGGATGTTGATGTTTTATGACGACTGACCACTGGCCTCATAGTTTAATGTAATATATTAGATATAGTCCTGTTCTGTGTTCTACATTACTAAAGTAACTAGATGCTTAAATTAGTGTCTTCACAGGATATCGTGTTGACCTTTATCAAGATTTATAAACCTTGGATGGATTCACCTATTATATAGATGACAAGTACGGATTGAATCCAACTGTAAAAGTGTAGAAGTTGAAGTAACCTATGGAACTGAAACAAAGATGCTTAGTACATGGCAACTCTTATACGTAATCGAGGTTTAATAAAGCCCCCACTGATTTCACAAGCTGACTTGGGATCTTTTACGTAAAGCCAACGAGTCCATGGTAGGATCTTGGTTTTTTTCGTTCCAAGTGATCGATTCGGCGTTTTTTCCCTCCCAGACACGCCATCCTGCATCAGACTGGAATATTCCGAGGAACTTTCCCAGCCACCACTAGAATCGAACCCTCGAATTACTGGTTAATGAGACTCATTGAGTCACATTGAGATCCCATAAAAGACTGAAAATGTGTGCGCTTTCTGGAGGACTAAAACTCACAAGTGACGAGAATAGAAATTGGGTCATTCTGGTCACTGCTAGATCTGTGCCTTATTCAACAAACACCGATAAAACGTGTTTCAAAATGTTATTTGTTTATTTATAATATTTTTGTTTAGAATTTAAAAAAATAATATAAACACAATATTATGCTGTAACAAAATTAATATAAAAACAATATTCTTCCGTAAAAAATATAATATACAGGTAATATTCTTCCATATTCAACGTGTTGAAAATATTTATTTTATCTATTTATATTTAACAATCTACTTTTAAAATTAAAAAAAAATATTATAAAGACAATGTAAATATTCTTCGTAGGAAAATAATATAAAAACAATGTTACAATGCTCTGCCCTAAAGAGTAAAATAAAGCTATAAAACTAATGTTAAAATGCTCTTCCGTAGAAAAATAATATAAAACTATAAAAATAATTTTCCAATCTTCTAACGTACAAGAATTACTTGATGAAGAGAGAGAGAGAGAGAGAGAGAGAGAGAGAGAGAGAGAGAGAGTTTAGACCCGTCCACTCGACACAAACTAGGTCATTTCGGGACCAACACACGGTTTAATTTTATTTCAATAATTCGCTTGCGCGTAGGGATCTTTAGCAGTGGGAGGAAACCGGAGGACCATGAGAAAACCCACGAGGCTGGACAGCGACCCGTGATGAATAGATAATATAAACTATGTAATGGAAGTTCGCAGATAGCGCAGGAGGAAATTAGAATAGCTACATTATGTTATCTACGCAATACACAGTAAAATAACAGAGTACATATACAGGGTAAAATATTACATAAAAATATATAATGATATTACTTTATAGATCTATTTACATACAGGGAAATAACTGAGGCTTTGAATTCAAGACAGAGAAATCATGCGCTAACTACTTTACGTCATAAAACAAGACATTTCCAACAAATACCAATATCTAACCAAATATGAGATTAGTCCGAATGACATATTGAACCATGAAAAACAACAATTGCGATGATGGGGATGTCGGGAATGACTGGCGACCTGTAATCTTAAATGACCGATGAACGTTCTAACAATCGTTCAAAATAAGCCCGTTAAATTTATATCGATATTTGAAAAGACCTCTGGAAACAGTCAAAAACTGAATCAATTATATTTTACTACGACAATAAAGAACCTTTCAAGCATAACATTTACAGTTTAGTGATTGCGCGATCGTTTGTATGTGTATAAGCCATATTGTCGACTTCCTTTAAACCATTGCGGTTTTCTGTCTTAATATCAAAATCTCCCTCTAATGCTATAGCGTCATCTATCTGACCTTCACTTAGGCTACTTAGGGTATTCCTGAAGATGTGGTTTAATATTCCAGCACCAATAGAATCTCCAACTACATTTATAGCTGTTCGGAAACGATCCCTACAAATAAAAAAAGCACACCATATGGTGAAGATCATAAAACAATTCTAGAAATAGTATGGCGTACTATTGAATAAGATATAATGTTTAATTACCAACATATTGTTTTATTTATTTGTATTTACGATGACAAAAATTGTGGGTTAAACGTTTCCACTAATAATGAAGATACTTTTATCCAAACACTGGAACCAGACTGGAGTAAACTGTATGACAGCTGACATTGATATACTTACAATAACCAATCAATAGCCAGAATAAGTGTGACGTCTTCTGTTGGTAATCCGACAGCAGTTAAAACAATCAACATGGTCACTAAGCCAGCCTGTGGTACACCAGCAGCGCCAATAGCTGCAGCTGTTGCTGTCAAACTGTAATATATTTAAAATATTTACTGTTGACGACCCTGTATGTGTATGTCTGTATATGTATGTGTATGTCTGTATGTGTATGTCTGTATATGTATGTGTATGCCTGTATATGTATGTGTATGTGTATGAGTGAGACTAATCATACCTCATTCTTAAAACATAAAAATAAAAATTCTTCATTGGTATTTTTTGTTGTTGTTGTAAAAGTGTAGTTTAATATAAACAAAAGTTCACGACTGTTTTAAAATGGGTTGTCTAAGAATGAGCATCGATGACCTTAAAAGGTGGAGAAGCGAGACCACCCAACAATATCTTTACTACACCAGACAATTAAAAGGGATATTTCTAAAGGTATATCACGGATAGGTTTTGTTGTAAAAAATCCGACACGAGGTGATTTAAACTTATATATAGTTTACTTACCTAACTATTATTATTTCAGATATATCCAGTGTTATACCATTAACTTGTGCTATAAAAATAGCCGCCACTGCTTCATATAGAGCTGTTCCATCCATATTGATGGTAGCACCAACTGGTGCCACAAATTTAGCAACCACGGGACTAACTCCATTATTATCAATCAAACAATCCATAGTTATAGGTAATGTGGCGGAACTGTTATAGGAAAATTACATGGAAAACAATTTATATAGTTACATAAAATACATAAAATCTATTAATTCTGGAATATTACGAGAAATTTATTGAATAATTTAATCTCTGTGAAGTGTAGCGTGGAGGAAACTGTGCACAGTTTGATAGTGTTCGACAAATTGAAGATCGGCAACTAGTTGGAAACAGTCGCATGTCGTGAATCCCTCCCTGGAATGGAATGGAATTAATATGTTATTCTTCGTGTCAAAACAATACGACGGGCATATGGTATTTTTATGGTTAGCAGTTCGTAATATAAAATAATATAAAATGTTTAACTTACCTTGATGCAGTACCCCATGCTGTAATAATGGCTTTCAACATATTGTACATGAAAATAAATGGATTTTTTCTGGTGGCAGCGAAGTAAATCAAGGGAAGAATAATGGCACCATGTATAACTAGTCCAGTTATTACTGTAGCAAAATACAAACCAAGTTGTGTAAATATTTTCACTGGATCACTCATTCCAACGAATTTAGCAGCAATAAGGAACATTATACCAATAGGTGAGTACCTGTAAAAGATCAAATAGGGGTTTTATCAATATTAACAATTGGTTCGGATATAGGTGTGCGAAACCCCGGTATTATGTCTTGTGAGATCAGATATTTATAATTAAAATAAGGTCTTGGGGTATTATACGAGCCAGGATCTGTCTGTGACGTCTTAGTCGCCGTCTTGGAATTGTGAAGATGCATCAAAAATAAAAAAAAATCTCCAATGAACAAGTATGCCAAGTTTCAAGTCGTTCGTATCCGTATTGGAGGAGCCTTCGGTCCTTTTTGAAGAACGTCGTTCCAAGAAGAAAAGGAAGAAGACCCAAAAGATTACCGTATGGAACCAGTTCCTGGTTTAAATATGGATGTGATCAAGCATTCCGAAATTTCGTTAGACAAGACAAACATCAGTATTAAAGAGGTTCAACTCTACCTATTTTATTGTTGGAAATCTTCCTTCGTTTTTTTCTTAATCTGATGAATATTGAATGACGTAAAATCCGATACAATTTAAAAAAATATCCATTTTGCAAAACAGATCAGCCTTTTCAGTTTTCATCTAAATTTAAGAGGATATATCTTTTTAGATAAATTCACGTCTATTCTAAATTAATTACCATATAACAAGACGAACCAAAACCATAACCACGTCATTCAAGGCTTCAAACATCTGTAGTAAGATTTTTGCCCTTTCTCCGAGATGGTTGATCGTACAACCAAAGAAGATAGAAAACACGACTAAACCAAGCACATTCATTCCAGGTTCGGTTTGTATTTTTGCACTGATCTCCTTTTCTGAAAAATGATTTATATATTATCATATATTAAAGCAGCTAAGTCTCTAACTCAGTATCACCCAAAGTCTTACACGTTGAAAACACGAATTATTTGTCAATTCAAATCAACATTGATGTTGTGATTTTTACCGGGAAAAGGTAGGCTTCTGATATCCAATATTTAAGACAAAATAAACATTTTACCATTGGTACACGATTAGTGCGTTTCAGCGTCTTTTGTAACAAGTGACCAGAAAGAACACGGCTAGACATATTCCACACCTCATGTCAAACGGTGACGCCTGGAGAGCATGCGCAATAGACTGGAATAACCAGACCCTAGAAATTGTCTTTCGGTTGAGACTCATGCCGTATTTCGCTGGACATAACTGATTTGAAATTAGAGTCAAAACGGAAACAATTGAATGTACATCAGTTTATATACAATCAGATTACATTATTATATGCGTTGCGACCCATTTAGGTCCATTTCTAGGTCCCAAATATTAGCGATTTAGCTCCTTTAAAACAGCAATATATTAAAAACTGTAATAATAATTTCGTTTCATCTTTTTCTCTGACAATTTTACTTATATCTTAATATAATAAGCTATGGTTTGGGCCTGGATGCCAGAAGCAGCCTAAACAAAAAGGATGGTTGCATGTATGTTCAATGCTATGTACCCTTTCCGTACCAATCACTCGTTAATTGTTTTCTTTTCCCTAAATGTCTTCGCCTTAACCCTTTGGTGTTTTGGCGAAAGGAACAACAACCATATCATTTTATTTTAATTCAAAACATCAGGGGTAACAGGTTATTTGAGTACATATTGTGTGCTATCAACTTACCATAGGATTCAGTTAGATTGTGTGTACCATTAAATTTTACCATGTTTATCGTTTTATAGGTAATTTCTGTCTCTTTCTAAAGAAACCAAAAAAAAAAAAAAAATCCCATAAATATTGAAATATTGAAGGATTGCAGACCTTACAGAGAAAAAGACGTAAAAGAAACTACATCACATAATAACAGCTAATACATAACTAGCACCTACAGAGTTATAAATAAATAAAACAAACTTTTTCTTTTATATTATATACACATATATTTATGACAGACAGAGTGTCGACAGTATACTGCCAAATACATTGTAGGAGTATAATGTTCGTAATGCTATCACGATTCGCGATACGATTGAAATCGTGGTGATCCTATCGTATATTAAAGGCAGTCATAGCAATCGTGTTGATCGTATCAAAACGTATTCAAACATATCTGCACGTACCAGATCGTGGACCCAATAGGGACAATCCTAGCGTAACGCTTCACACGACGCTGGGAAGCTAGCATTAATGCTAAGTTCTATCTATTACGATTCGTGCGTGGATTCAAATCGTGGGGTAATCGTGGTGATTATCATATATTGAGGTCATTTGTAGCAACCGTGTCGATCGTATCAAAACGTATCCGAACATATCTGGAGGTACCAGGTCATAGACTCAATATGAACAATCCTATCGTAACGTATCGCACGAGAGTGAGAACCTAGCATTATCACTATAAAAGATACGCTTAAACTATTTTTGCATAAAAGCGCCCACGGGGAGCAGCAGACGATTACATAAATTGCATTAATGCAGTATATTATACAAATATACAAACAAAAGAACGTATACATATAATTAGTTCAAACTAGAAGGCGATGTGATATAAGATTGAATAGCAAAGGGTGATTGACAAGATTTAAGTAAATGTGCTATAGATTGTTTGTTTAGATATTTAATTTGTTTACGTTTCAATACTTCTTTAATATCAAAATGAAAACTGTTTCAGAAAAAAGAAAAGGGCAACACTGTACATAATAATTCTTCACATAAAACTTTCTTTACAGTCGTTGATAATAATCTATATTTATAGATAATTGCAACATGATTAAGGGTGAATCTTGCATTTTGATTGGTGAATTAGACACTGTCGATTGGACAATAACACCCCTCTGTTTTAGTAATTTCTTTTAAAATGCTAAAATGGCTTGTTACACACTTCCTGTTTTGCATTTAGAGGGGTGTTATTGTCCAATAGACATGTCCTGAGATTTTACATTAGAACCCGCGACGCTAACGCGTCCTAATGATCTCAGGACATCTCTATTGGACAATAACACCCCTCTAAATGCAAAACAGGAAGTGTTTATCTCCTAAATAAAGCAATATAATAGCATGTGCCAAACGTGGGAGAATGTATTTAACTTTGCTAACAATTAAGTTCTAGTCCTATATTGTCAAGTGACATTTAGATAAAAATGAAAGACCAATAGGTAAATTTAATAAAACCATATTTAAATGGTGTAAAGATCTATAATATTAAGCATGATTTGAAATGGTTTAATTAACGTCAATACGTTTCGGTTACATTCTCACATTATTCAGAGGGAATTCATAGATATTATCTATGATATATGACCACAGAAGTTAAAGATGCTTCACCGCGTATCAACTGTGTGAGTTGATGATTTATATCAACTAAAAACAGAAATGAAATGGGGTTTAACTGAAGGACTAAAAACATATTTAAATCAATTTATCTATCAAATCTCCCTCAGAACATTTTAATCTAAAGAGAACTACCCCAACCCGTAAAAGTATATTTTAATCAGCCTTGTGAAGGAGAATCTCTATACATCTTGTATTTGGCGTTACTCGCTGTCCATTTGCTATAAGTATCGAAGCTTAAGATAATTCTTGGATTATCCTTTGTCACAGAGTGAACTGGACGTTTAAATCTCTCAATGTTCTCACAACCGCTAGCCATTTGATCGACACATAAAAAGCGGTCCTTCGGTCACCCACGTAGACAACAAGTGGACAGGTTGGCAGTAAGTGACACTCATGTTTGTCCTGTGGGTTCCCCATGGATGTTTTTCAGGGAATCCAGTATTTTCTAATAATTGTGTGTGTTTCTTCTGTTACCAAATATGCCATACTTTTATTGGAAATAACTACCTGATAAATACTGTCGTGTTAATGTATCTTTAAAAGAACATCCTTGTACATTACGGTTTAAAAAACCACGTTATTATATATATATGAACATGCAGTCTATTCATCGGTAAAATATTATGTAAGATCTACACCACAAAACCATTCATACAGTATCGGGCCATCTATTATAAACGATAACAATTTATAGCTTAGAATCAAAATTTAAATTTATACATTCTATGGGTTAGATGGAAGATGTATGAGGGTTTCACTTTGTGGGGTACGGGGTGTGCGTGGGGGGTGTATACATAAAATTATTCTACCCTTTGATGTACTTATTCTTGTCTGAACAGACGTGTGTCAAAATATGATGTAGCTTGTTGGATATCATAAACTCTCCGTAAGTGTAGACAATTTCATTTCTGACATCTGATAAAAATGATATCTAATCCCTTGTTATTTGAACGTAATTTCAATTCTATACGTTTATAATAACCGCAATGCATATAAGTTGAGATTCTGAATTCACTCCTCAAGCGTCGTTGTAATCACAAGGACTATTGTGCCCATTGTGTTATTTGACACATGCTGTGTTTCAATATTGTAACTTCCCTGATGTAAATAAAGTTATTATTTATTACGCTAGGCTGTATTATGCTAATACTGTTACAATAAAAGATAAAAATCGTATTTTTTAAACACATAAACAGCATGTGCTATACTGCTTATATCTGATGGTATGTTCATTCACATTGTCCCTCTTTAAGTTATTTTTGCTGAAATTTATAAAACCTACCTTTGCAAAACATGCTTCGATAATATTTGGTGGAAAACAGTTTCTGAAAAATTAAGCAGAAAAAGTATGGTAATTCTTTTTCATGTTTGACTTTTACTCCGACTTGTTCATTTTTTTTCACGTGGCACATTGCATGGCGTTTCTCCGTTTTGATTAGCCGTGTTTGGTGCAAAACATAACTGACTATAAGGAAATAAAATAGGGTTTAACGTCCTGTTGTTTTACACCAGCAGGGCTAATGCAGACGGGGATACACAATGCCGTAAACTATGCGAGACATTTTGTTCTGACAGCAACGCTACGGCCTATTCCTTGCAAATGGTTGTTTGACGTGCCCGTTAACGTGTTGAGACCATAGTTATCACCCCATCCGATCGACTAGACATTGTTTCTCTAACGCCCTACGTCTGACCTGACTGCACCACACTCTTTAGTGCAGGCTCATTAACCAGGAAATCCAAGCTTCGATCCTCGTGTGGACCGTGAACGTTTCTCGGAACATATAGTTCAATTTTATTTCGTACGGGTCAGTGGGAGGAAACCGGAGAATACCCACGGAGTTTGACAGGCAATCCCGTATGATCTAAGGCTCAAGCATTAGACCATTCAGCCACCCACCATCACGTTGAAATGGACTATATATTTTTTTTTCAGTTTATCGTATCTAATCTGATCAAATTAAGAAATAAGTTAATATATAGAATACAAGATAGTGTAATTCTAGGTCAATACGTCATAAAATAATAAATTTAAAAGTATTAGTTTCAGTAAGCAGGAAGAAAAATACAAATCACGTAACCCTACCGCAGACGTCGTGTGAAATAAAGGAAGTAAATAACCACAGTATAAAACATCAGGGGAAATTTTACAAAAAAAACGTTTATAGTTTCATATCTTTGTACAATAAAGTGACATACATTAAATAAATAACACGTTATTTGCGCTTAACTACAGTTATTTAAAGGGACAATAACACTCTTGCTGGCTTGACAGCTCCAGAAAATAATAGCCTTATTCTAAGTACTAGATGTTTGTGTCCTACCTGTTGTGTAAATTATCTATTAAATCCTATTTTACTTGTCCAGAGGGTTCGAAAATATTTTTAAATCCAAGTCACATTTGAAAAGGTTTACGTTAGGCTTTTCAAATCATTTGGTTGAATTTTTCCAATTTTTTAAATTAGGTGTGTTAAGATGAAATTTGTATCATCAATTAATTGGAATATTGTAAAATAGTACAATTTGTTGACGAGAATAAAGATTGGGACATATTATTCAGTTACAACAAGAGTGGTATTGAGCCTTTAAAATATCATATCTCTGCAACACAATATTCTGCATTCTGAATGTTTAAAAATCAGTCTATACGGTTCTAATCTGTGTTAATTCATACGCTCAAAAGACGAAATACACATGTATGTTCAATCTGATTAAATCGCAACAGAATAAATGTTTCTCAAATTTCTTGAAGTATACTTAAGGTCCGTTCACACTGTATCCGAATTCAATTCGGGTTGTTTTGTCTCGGATCAAAAGCGGTGCGTTCACATTACAGCTTATTCGGTTTGAATTCAAATTGAACTGGGCCACACTGAATCCGCATGATTAACTACCGGTAGCCTACTTGCAGAGGTGAAGGTCATTCATATCCAAGATGGATGCGCCCGTCATTCATATTGGTGATCATGGTGATCATGCTGCTTATTTACCATTATATCTGTTGCTAATGTTTAATTTCCAGAGACGAGAAAGGCTAAATCAGCGACGCCGGGATTGCTTCTTCGGCTTTTTGCCATTGACCGTCTGGCACAATTTCCTCGGCACCAGAATCAAAGGCTCATTAGGATGATTACTCTTCTGGTCGCGTTTGCTATGTATCAACAAGTACATGTATGTACCTGTATTTTGCTCTCGACTCTGTCGTACTAACGAACATACATTTCATAATTAAAATCCATCCAGCACTTAACATGCATAATGCAACGTAATAAATGTTATTGTCATTTTCATCCTGCTATATACAATACATACTACACTCAAGACGTCTGGAGCTAGACTGCATCTTCGTCTCACCAAAGTTGGAGAAGAGGAAGCCTCCCCGCCTTACCCCAAACAGTACTTCAATTGTCTGCCATATTAACAGAAAATGAATCGAATTAAAATCAGCACTGACAGTGACAACAGAAAACACCAGGCAAAAATACATCGGTTCCCTCCAAGCGATAAAACGGACTTAGAAGTGAACTTGCGCGCAAAGTTATCCGGTTCCGGTACGCCCGTTGATCTGAATCAAACGCGCCACACTCACATCTCGACTGCGAATAACCCGATTCGGAATAGTTGTTCCAGATTGAAGTCGGAAAAATAACGGGACTCGCTATTTCAGATTTAGTTCGGTTTTTAGATTAAAACCCTAGAGTGTGAAGGCTAAATCTATTTGTTAAGGTCAGGTCAATTTTTGTCAAGGTCGCTGAGATGTAAATAAGGTTAGGGCACGCGAGTGTTGGCGAGGTTGTAGGTTAGGGTTAGGGTAAGCATTGGGACTAGGTTCAGGGTTAGGGTTAGAATTTGGATTAGCGCTAGCCTTTTTCACATCTGTGACCTATGACGAAAAACTGAGCTGGGCTTATCATTTAGCACTAACCCCAGTGTGAACGCACCTTCTGTGCCTGCTCTCAAGCAGAACTAAGTGTAGACAGCATAAATTTCATGTGACAATGTACTGGACAATAAAACGCGGATAATACAATTTAATTTCATGTTTACACTACCCGCACAAATATATTTAAGTGCCAATGAGTTTTTAAAACTTTTATTCACTATTTGTGAAGACTAATTCAAACTTTTGAAATTCTAATTTTACATGACTACAAAATCATTATATTTGCTTTAGTCAACTTCGCGGGGGTTAAAATAGGGTAAGGATTCTTGCCATAATAGTTTAAAAATAGATAATATAAAAAAAATACATATCTTAATAATTTCAGTCAAACTACTTTATCCTGGGCGAAGTTATGATTGTGTTTGACAAGGTATAGCCTAAACTGTCGCCAAGTCTCTATTCATATTATCATTTAAGGAAGATATAGCGAGAATTGTCTAATCCACTCAAAATCTGAGCCACTCGATGATCTAGAGAGTTGATAATGGGCTTGTCGTTTGGATAAGTTTCAAAATAATAATTAATATAACTTTTGAAGCCAGAAAAATAACCGGAAATAGGCAGATTGAGCTCTTACATAATGTACCGTTAATATTAATATTATTATTATTTAAAAATGCCTACAGTAGCTAGGGTGTGTTGTTAGTTCAGAGATGTTTTTCTTTAGTTTATCTTTAGTCAAAGTATGTCAATTTATGTATGAGTAAAACTGCAAATTATGAAAGATAAAGTTTAGAAAAGGGGAGGGATTAAGAGCGTTTAGTACCCTTTGTAACTTTCAGAGGTGCAGGTATTCAAAGTCAAGGAGCTGTTAAGCCGGGGTTTGACTTTCAAACACAGCAGTACAAAAACAATGATTCTCCTTGTGATAAAACCACATGAATAAGGTGTAGCTTTCGTCTTCATTTATGATTTCATTTTATTGTAAACGTTTCTTTGAAGAAATAATATATGAAGTCATAAAAAAGTTTAAATAGAAAGGCGGGCGATGGAATAATAGACAACAATTATCCTAGATATAAATGAATTAATATTTTTGAAAGATGACAATTTTGTATCCAAGCACTTTTAAGAAAACTATTAACCCATTCCAAACCCATATATGTACCATGGTTCCTTTATTCGTATTGTGATTATGCTTTTCGTTTTATTAAAACCATTTCTTTGAAGACGTACTATAATATTAACTAATAGTTTTTGAAAAGTTCAACAGAAAGGCGGGCGATTGATTAAAAGACAACATTGTATTGACAAATAATCGCAATTATCCTAGATATGAACAAATTAATATTTGTCAAAGATGACCATTTTGTATACACGTACTACTTATTGTACCTTCTAGAAAACTAGTAACCCATTCATGGTCCCTGTGTTCTTAAGTGATGTATGAAATGATGACCTGTTATGGTTAATGATTCTCTTTACCGTATATCTGTTTACAAAAGCTCGCCGTATATAAGACTTTAATGATCCCGTTCAGAATGTTAAAATCTCGAGCAATTAAGCCTGGCAAGGTCAAACTATGATTGCTTTTGTCCACAACCAACAGGCCAAATCACGATGTTTGGGCTATCATTAATAATACACAGTGCTTTTAGCTGAATAAAATATTATTATGGGTTTCGTTAAATCCTATTTCATTCCATTTGCCTACTCTCAACAAATATAAAACAACAATCAAAAATCGTATGCCTTGGCTATATGTAGAACAGTATTGAGAATATTTGAATGGATCTAACAATGTCATGATTACATTGATATATGTTTTAAAAAGGCAGCCACCTATTTTGATATAACGAGACAGGTACGAGTGGGTACGTCAGGTGCCACGATTGATAGCGACCGTCTGCACTCAAACAGGTGAATGAATGTGGCGGGGGTGGGTGGTGTTGGTAACCATACAGGGATAATGAAAAGGGAATACGCCATGCAGTGTGTTATGCTCGAAATTGTATCGATACAGCAACTGAATTCCAACTGTTGATTATTCTCCGAACGACTAGACGTCAAGCTGGAAAATTTCAGGGAACTTTCTCGACTAACACGGAATGGTGACCTCCTTTTTAGTTGGCCATCGCTTCCAAATACTAACTATACCTTTACGAACACCGTATAGGCTAGTGGTCATACCTCTAAAACCCGATTTGCCTAAAAAAAAACAATAGTGACCACCCAAACCACGAATCCCGAAAATCTGATGAAAATCACGGAAGTGTAAACAAAGGGTACGTACGGTACTGCATGTTTATCAACAATCGTATCCAGCGGTGACAAGAACTTGGGAACGCTCAAAATCGATAAGGGTTCAGCTCTAGTCACGTGAACAATAATTGTTTACGCACAGGCTGCCTGGTAGACGGAGCACAGAGAGGTATGAACATTGTCAGGTTTCATCCCGCCATGAACACAGTGCTTCACACTAAATTTGGTCCAATTTAAAAAATCAAAAGAATTCATACGTAGTCTGTAGCGTTAGCTCGGGTAGGTTCATGTTGCTATGGGAATGAAAGTCCAAGTCCACATTTCGGAGAAATATTATCTGATCTCCACCCCATTCAGTAGCGATCGTCTTCATAATGATATTGACACAGACAATAAACATCTAAAAAGCCATAAAGATTTGGAGTAAGCGACGGACGGAAAGGGTGATTACAATCTACGCCCATATAAAGACGGCTTATAAACATACATAAAAGATATTCAATGAGTCATCAACATTGTGAAAGAATAAAATATTAAGCATACCTGATCAAATCCAACAGTGATGCCAATGGGTTGCTTCTCTTTGCGCTTCCGGTTGGTTCAATATCACTGTCTCTGAAACCAGGCTGTATGGATACCACTAGGATAATACCCAAAATAACAGCTATCAATGTTGTGGTCATATAATACAACACCGCTGCTAATCCAAGTTTACCAGATGCTCGTTTATCCAGAGAAGCTAATGCAGTGATGATGCTGGATACTACTAGAGGTAGAATGAGCAGCTTAAGCATATTGAGCAAAAGATCTCCTGGGAAATTTAAGTAGAAAATCTTAACTTTATCGTCAGGAGACCAATGGTTCCTTAACCCGAAACCCATACCAATACCAACTATTACAGCTATTATCATAAAAACAATCAGCAGATTGTCAATAAGGATTTCTCGAAACCTTTCATTCTTGCTTCGTGACACTTTATTAGACGCCATGGTGGTATCTGTCTCAAATAATATCTTTGAAAAGAAAACAAAAAAACGATATCATTAATTTACTCTCTAAAAAGACAACAAAAAGGATTCTTCAACCATTTCGAGGATGGGTTTTCTATTTGTGATATTTACTCACGTACATTTCTGAAAGTAAAATATTCAGACAGATCCGTAACAATATATGACAAAAATAAAGTGGACTTTTTCGACATAAGCAGTCTTTTACATCTTAAATAATGCTTTTGCAACAGAATCAGTTCAAAGGTCGTGACTCAGAAAAACGCCAGCAGGCTTTCAGAAAATTTAAACGTTGTAGACAGATATCAAATACACGTCTACAATGTTAGATCCCAAAATCAACTTCGGAACAACGACATTAGCTAATTCGCTCGGATGTACTTAGGAATTGTTGATTTTGTTTTAGATGTGCTGAAATGCAGGGGTACTTTTTCTACTGGTAATACAAGCCTAATTTATTAACAGACGCAGACGAACCTCACTCAAAAGAAGGTTATACATAAGGCCAAGTGAGAACGAAAACAGAATGTTGGCTACTCACTTTAAAGAAGATCCTGTGCACAAGGAACAACAACATGTAGGCCAAAGCATAAAGTTGTATAGAATGTAGAATTTAATTAGTATATCGTATTTTGATTATCGGCCTAGGGGCTTTATAACGCCCCTCTTTTCTGGGTATATTGATGGGTTAGCTAGTGTAACAAGGATTAGTGGATTCTGGGAAAAACTGTAAACTTTCCTCTATCGCTTTTTGTCGCAATTTTGTAATCACGTCATTTGACAAAACGCAACATCGAAAAGTCTTTGTCGATATCAGGTATTGACATTATTTAATTAATATATCATATTGAGCACATTGCATACGGGGATAAGCTGATCATAAACCCAAATAGACCACTATAATGTTATTACTACACCATATATTCAGAATAATGAAATAGGCGCATCGTATGACGATAAATAACAAGTATAAAATATCTGTCATCATATGACTGTTACTGCGCTTCAAGTGTCACAATCAAGTGTGCAACATACATCTATAGTTGACAGGGAGTTTCATTACACGCATCGTACATATCTCGAGAAATAAAATAATTATTTGGACTAAACGCGCATATTTTATAACAGTTTGTATGTCTATTGTAAACCTAATTATAAATAATTGATAAAAATTAATGATACGTGTTAATAATGAGTGAAATAACAAAGTGAAATCATTGTAAAAATCCCTACCTGTTAGGTGGCCGTGAAGACTTATTCTACCAGCTTTCTTTACCTTGTTTACGGGTCGATGAAGAAGAGAGCATGTGACATAGCATGTCGGCGTAAACAAATTTTTTCCATCATTATCAATGGTGATCTGTCATTATCAAAATTTCTTTCATATTTCAATAGGGCTAATATTAACAGATTCTAAATTTATTAACAACGTTGCTATCCAACATATATTAGTAATGAAAATAAACCAAACTTTGGAATAAAATACAAATGGGCAGCATATATTCTATATTTTATTTCTTTTCATTTCAAGAGAAAATCCATCTCTTACACCAGAATTTAGCTCATTCAAATGCTACAGTGGATTGAATCTTACTGGCATGATAGAACTCAGTCTTGTAGTAAATGGCCACAAATCAGTATCCGCTTCTCTTCAATTCGGTGTACCACAGGGTATCGTCTTAGGGCCACTATTGTTTAATATGCTTTAAAGTTGCAATTTCATATTTTTAAGTTATATTTTTAAAATTTATTAAAATAAAGCCTTAAAAAAGATGGTATCTATAAACAGTCCTACCTTGTTAAAGAATAATTCTATTAGTCCTATAATTCACTATTGCCAGTTGAGAAATTGGCAAAAATATCATTTTCATCTTCAAATTCAAACATTTGAAGATAACTACTCAATGGTAGAGAATTGAAAACAAGGGAGGTAATTGGGAGGTAACTATGTTAATATTTCCGGTGTAAATGAGTTTTAAGTGTGAGAATGACAACTATGATCGTATAATAGTGAGTTGACAACCTATTGAGCAAAAGACATAGAAATAATTATGTTTTGACTTTCTTAGAAAATATGAAATTGTAACTTTAATATAAATGGAATTGTAATTCCGCCCCATTTATGTATTAAAAATATAATAAGATTTGCCTTTCGGTCACAGCCTACTCAGTGCAACGTTAAAAATTGTCTTTCTATGACGTCTGGACGTTATGTCTTTTAAAATATGGTACATATGACTATTCTGGTGATGCTAGAAATAACAGATCAGTAATTCCTTATTCTGGGTACTTATGAAACGATAACATACCATTCTGGTCGAGGATTAGATCAACTAAAGTAAATTCCGAGCATATCATAATACAGTTCATGTCGACTACCACTATTGGCAGTATACCACCTAAAGCGGACACTTCTCTAAAATATTTTCTACAAAATTTGTACATTCCAGACTGTGGTGTTATGGGGGTGGGGGAGACTAGAGTCGTGTGTGCTTTAGATCATAAGGTCTGTCATTGAGTCAAGCTTCGTGGTTTCGATACCAAGATTGTACGTGTCAAGGAGTTGGGTTGCCTCTCCAAACTCGTGAGTTTTCTCGCGGTCCTCCAGTTTCATCCCACTGTTAAAGACCCTCACGCGCAATCGGTTTATTGAAAAAAAAATAACCATATTAATAAGTCCTGAGTACACTATAAGTATTGTAGGCTACCTATATTAATCAAATTCTGAATAAAGTGCGAATTTTAAAAAAGAATGTCAAATCAATTTTTGTCGGACAAAGAAGTCGCGTCCCACTCACTCCAGTTTACATAAACAAATGTAGATCACAGGGGAAAAACTGGCGATGTCCACATTTATGCTTTTGTTCGATTACTTCCCCTGCTTTTACCCCTTGGTCCCTTCTTTCTTCTCTATAAATATTGTATGAGACTACTGGACATGCCACTCTCTACAGAGGGTTTTTTGAAAGGCTTAAAAGGGAAAAACTGGTGATGTCCAAGTCAAATGCCCAAAATACACCATAGGAATGCTATGGGAGTGTGCACCAGCTTAATTAATGTTCTCACTAAATGCACGATTCTTCATAGAAACTTGCAATATTTAAAAAAAAACTCTTCCGATCTGAAGAAATGAGTGTTTAAACTGGAAATTTCCATTTACTCAAAAGTCAGAAAACGTGACATCGCCAGTATTTCCCCTGGAATCTTCAAATGGTCAATATGTCCTGCGTCCTTGAAAGCAAGTGATTGCCCGAATTGTATCTTTCAGTTCATTCTTCACAAAACTTTACCAAGAGACTTTTCCAGATAGCGTAATCAATCAGATTCCGGTCTGAGGACTGGGGCAGTCAATGATCTTTTTTTATTATAAAATCTGGGATGATCTGCTCGATGGATTAATACCTGATTGCCGCTGACCCTATCCCAACAACTACTATAATGTGTTCCAGCAAGTTGGGGCTGCAAGACACAAGCAGACTGACTCAGATATCTTGAGACAGCTACCCCTAACTTTATGAAATTATGAATTATGAAATAATTACTTAAACATGTGGTACGTGAATTTAATCTCCATATAGAACAATCTAGAACAGACTTTCTAAAAAGAATCAGTGGCCATCGTAGTCCCAGAACCTGAATCCGATGGATTCTGCCCGGAAAAAACATGATTTGACGTACTTTCTTAAAACACACACTGTATTGCTGTTCGACTTGTGAACTGATAACAGAGACTTTTTGGCAAGCGTAAATTCCTGGTCCGTATTGGTGGTATCCGTATGGATTTTGCGTGTGACATCATCAATGTGTGTGTATTTCTCATGCGTGTTACGGCACACGAATACGGCAGCACGTATCGTAGTCTCTATCATCCAGAAAAGTATTTCAAGAATATTAGCTTGGATGCGTTGTCAACATTTGAGAAAAATAGGTCATTCGCTAGATTATGCGGTCTTTTACATCACCATAAACAAAGTCTAAGCACGTATCGTAGTCTCTATCATCCAGAAAACTATTCTACGAATATTAGGCTGGATGCATTGTCAAAATAGGTCATTGGTTTGATTATGCGGTCTTTTACATCATCATAAACAAAGTCTAAGGGACGTAACTAGTCCTAAAACAAGATGTTGACGCCACAGGTACATGAGGACAGGAGCGCCTTTCTTATTCCTATGGCGCACCTATGTCACATGTGATTTTTCCAAAGATTTTTACATCGTTTTTTATCTTCATATTTTTTAATTTTTTTTAATCTTCTTTACTTTTCTTCCAATGTGTTGCTAAATCATATAATATTTACTATCAAACATGATCGTATTAAAAAAAAAATACCTTCTGATGTAGGCCTATATAATAAAAGAGAAAGGTAAGATACTTTTTCGGTTGACATTTTTTTCTCTGTGAGGTACTCCTGTCACTATTTAATTTAAAATCATGAATAAAATTGCCTTGCCTTACAATTCAGCCACTCGGATCCTTTCGATATATATTCCATTCGATAAAAACACATATTTCAAATTTTTGAAAAAAATGCTAAGTCAATTTATTTGCCATAAATCACTCGAGATTTTTACAATTCATATAAATATTATATGATTTAGCAACAAATAGGAAGAAAAGTAAAGAAGATTAAAAAAAAATTAAAAATATGAAGAAAAAAAACGATGTCAAAATCTTTGAAAAAATCACATGTTACATAGGTGCACCATAGGCATAAGAAAGGCTCTCCTGTCCTCATGTACCTGTGGTTGACGCCCATAAAATTAATTCAAGAATGCCATTTCAAAAAATCCATTTGACTGCATGCCAGTTCAATGTCAAACACTCTTTTTTATATTGTAAAATTTCTCTCTTCTTGGGCCATATCTATGTTTTTAAAATTAATACTAATTCGTCGTCACGATTCATGTTTGTTTATATTAATGCAAGAATTATGGGGTTTATTGCGGGAAGGGACTCTACTCCTACTTGATCTGGTCAGAAAATACCGGACAACCAACCACATTAAAAACCAAACTCCCGGTTACGCATGGGCAATGGACTTTTCGTCAAATTATGATAACGGTCCCAGACCCTCCGTACGATGAAGACTAGAGCTGAAGTTCTGGGTGGCTGAGACATACACGTGTCGAACAGCTTCCATATGGAAAAGGTCCGTATAACATTGTCGTCATTTTACCGTCTTTTTTGCTACGTTTAGGCGCTGAAATGGTGTTTTTATGGATCTATGTGTATCCTAGAACACGAAGGTGTATATTTGATGTGATTTTAACCATGATAAAGACTTTAATTTAATCGTTATTTTTGATGAGTTTTTCTCGGAATGTTCATACTTTTTATGTCTGTTTGTCTGCGTGCTAAATTTAGGGAGGTGGGACCTTGGAAATCTCTAATTGATATTGTTCTATGGTAAAGGGGTATAAACAAGGACAAGTGTCTATCGTTCGGATTGGACGAAAAACCTAGGTCCCGTCCGTGTACACATTGGCGTGCACGTAAAAGATCCCAGTTGGCAGTTTGAGTTCGATATAAGAGTAGGCCGTAGTGCCGCTGCCCGGGCAAAATTTCCCTCATAGCACACTGTATGGCGTATGCCCGTCTTCATTAGCCCAGTTTAGGAGCAGAACAGTAGGACGTTAAAGACCATTTCATTTCATGGTCAATATTTGCTGTCATGCTGCAATAGAACTCAGCGACGCATACGTACGCAACGCGAAAATCTACCAAGACTCTAAAACTACACTGACGCAACGTATCACGTACACAATACGGATACGTGATACGGATTGGAAAAATTCCGCTTGCCAAAAATCTCTAATGATATGGGTACAATACGTTTTGAATTATTGCACTTTAAATAGTGTACTCGTTTTTTCTTGGCTACCCGATATATTGTTAACTTTGTAGGTCACACAATGTTACTTCATAGGCCTACTGTAGGTTCTATTGTGTGAATTCTTGTTTTCTTTGGAGAGGATTATGTCGAGTTATATAACTGATCAATTACGACGTCTTGTGTTTTACCGAGTACAATTGTAATATTTTGCCATCAACAACAAACATTTTCCATTAATTGATATTGTTTAAACCGTTGTCACGAGTTGGCATGGTATCCGAGTTGGCTCGGATCTGTGTGAATACGATTAATAATGGCAGTCATACCTCTGAGGTCCAAACTTTAACATCGGGTGCAGTGCAAACGAGGTTAAGAACATGGTTGGATCGTTTATAATTTGCATGTAGATTATGCAGATTATACAGCGGTAGGACTGAAGTCCTTTTCTCCAATTTATTCTTAGCTTGGACCTACGCTAGAGCGAAATAAATGGGGTTTAACGTCCACTCGACACAAACTAGGTCATTTCGGGACTAACACATGGTTCAATTTTATTTCAATACTCCGCTTGTGCGTAGTAGTGGGAGTGGACCGGAGGACCCGGAAAAAACCCACGAGGTTGGACAGGCGATCTTACTCCTTGTCACGTACAACCGGGGAATCGAAACCACACCAGTTCACTCAATGACAGACCTTATGATACAGCTCGCACGTGCTAACCATTTGCCCATCCACCCTTGACCCTACGAAGTTCTAAGATACTGAACAAGGTTTAAGTAGATCGAAGTTTGTTAGTGTAAGAGTTAGTATAAAACTGCAGTAACAGTGTACAAATGTTTATTTCTACAGGATAAAATTAAAAATATAATTTCGTGATTGATATTAGAAAAAAATATATAAAAATAAAACTATACAATTATACATTCAATATTGGATCATATGTAATGCCTATATATAATAATTATTTGCTCTACTAGTGAACAATGAAATATAAAACCATCATTAAAAAGGGGAAAAACAAAAAAAACATGATATATTTACAAAAATTGTTAGTTTCATAATTATTACGGAATTCGTTATATGTTTATATTAGATCTGAATTTTTAAAAAATAAAATAATGGCGCGTTACCTGTCAAAAGAATTGCAATATTATGACAGTCGAGAGTGTCAACAGACGCGACAGGGCAGGTATACATACATACGCATAACACTATTGTGATTCGAAATACTTTGATTGTAAATAAGGTCAGACTAAAATATGCATGTACTAAATTCGTTGTGGCGAGACGTCTGGTCTAGACAATATAATGATAGTTAGATTTTTTTTTAGCTCTGTATGTAGTCAATGAAATGAAATGAAATGCGGTTTAACGTCCTACTGTTCTGTTCCGGTCTACTCTTATATCGAATTCCAACTGCCAGGGGGTCTTTTACGTGCACATCAATGTGTACGACTAGAAAACTGTGCTTGTTGGGCACTCCGTCCTGCACCACTGACTAGAGGAAACCACACCGGACAATCCATCTCGACCGAACCCTGACCTTCAGTCTAGCGAGTCAGCGTCTTACTCACTTAGCCACCGTGGCACCCTCTTCATCTAGTCAAAAAGCTGGTGTACAGGAGAACTGCACTGTACACAAGATAAAGCTACGGACACGACAAACTACATAGACATTGCAAGAAATAATTATCAAATCAAGCCCTAAGCATCCACAGCGCTGTACAGTTCCGGGCCTGTAATGTTACAGACTTCACTCAAGTAGGTATATGCAGTTTATGTATCGCATATTATTATTACACATCTGCATAATACCATTAGCTAAACATATCCACCCCACATAAACCCCATTTCATTTCTTTTCATTTACCATTTTATTATGATAGGCGGGAGGTAACTCTTGCTTTTTAATATTTTAAAAATTTATATTGACTATGCTCCCATATTTCTTTTTAATAATTTATATCTCATTCTTTCATGGGATGCTTTTTGTGTAGATCCATTTTAAAAAGACCTGCTGTCTAAGCCAGTTGGAATTCTTCCTTGGGATGATAAGCGGTTTATAATTTCAAAACGCATTGATTTTGACATTTTAAATCCATCCCACTTACAATCACACAAAGAATTAGCTGGGTGGGGGGGGGGGGGGGTCTGTTCTTTATCCGACCTGATCAATCCTGTGAGAAGAAATATGATTGGTAGAGTTCGGATCAGCCTAACAATCAAAAGCTTCGATACAGAAAATACCGATAAATCGTTTGTGTGTTGTTGGATCACTGAGACGGTAAATCTATTTGAGACATTGTTTGTGACTGCCTATTGAAGGTCCAGTGAACTATTATATCACATGAATACAGTTTTTTAGACGTCTCCGTAGACGTGCACAGCCGAATAAACGGAACATAACATTAATTTAATTTTTTTAAAAAGGACCAACTTCCTACAAAATAAATTTAATTTCCAAACGTTCAATCTAAAGCCCTATTTCATATTTACAGATTTAGATTATTATTTGCGAAATTATTATTCCTGGCCAATTATTTTTATTGGGGGCCAGTTTCGGAAGGGGTACTTGATAGGTGTAAAACGCCGCCAAACCGTGGTTATTTGTTTAATGATTCAAGATACATACGCTATTCATTGCGTTCGGCATTGCTTTGTCTTCTTTACTTGAATACAATTTCCAAAACTTTGCTTAAATTCCGTTACTAGTTTTGTGTTATGTACAAGGCACATTAAGCGCTACGAGCACAATTTTTGTGGATTTTTGGCGATATAGAAATGGACATTTATTACTATGTGATATCACAGATAAACTATGTAGAGTGGTGCGTTCTCTCCAAATAATCCAAGGTGGGCGCTTATCTAGAGTGTCCTCCCTTTACTTTTTTTCCGTGAAGGTGAACACAGCATTGGAATTCTATGTGTATTAATTAAATGAACAGGTATGACTATCTTAATAATAAGAGAGAATTAATCTGAATGTACAAACTCAAATTGTGAAACGTGATCCCATACCCGCAGTTTTAAATCAATATTAATCCAGATTTACATCTTCGTATCATCCAGACCAAAAGAGCCATTCTCATGTGCGTGCGTAATAACGCCATTGGTTTCTCCATTTTCTTTCCTCAGACTCTCATCTGAAGCGTCCATTTTTTCCAGATCTTTTTTCGAGAGATGAGCTACTATTCCAGCACCAAACGCATCCCCCAAAACATTGATGGCTGTTCTGAACCGATCACTGTAAAAGAAAGTTATATCATATTTCAATAAAAGGTCACTCGAGTCCATCACAATCTGTGATTGTATGAATGAATGATAACTGCCGGAAGTGACATGCATATGATACTGGAGTGTAATGGGGTCTAATATCTCGCCAATATTAAGGTCATTTTCAGACTAAGCTGCAATAACTGTTATATCTATTTATATCTAGATCTATGCGATGGAGAAGAATTCTGTCCGGGTAGTTGCAAATTTGAAAATAACCTGCCTGGACTCTTCGCAAGAACAGTAGAATACAATCTACATCAAATGTGGGCTTATACAAATGAACCAGAGACTATATGGACCGGACACGACGTCATCGATGCCATCTTGGAATGAATTATGACGTAATATCAAAATATTGAATTCTTTCAATCGATGCGCAATATTGTTCTAGGACCAAGCATGCCGAGTTTAATATCGTACATGAATTCACAGAGGTTTAGCCTCTGTTTTTCGAAGAGCATCACCTCTAAGAGAACAAGATAAGTAGCGCTCGGGGTCTACGTTTCGGGTCCCAAAAATGTTATCAAATTTAAACGAGTGCCGTACTTACAGTAACCAATCAATGGCGAGGATGAGTGTGATATCTTCAGTAGGAAAACCAACGGCTGTGAGTACAATAACCATAGTAACGAGACCCGCTTGTGGTACACCAGCAGCTCCTATAGCCGCAGCAGTAGCAGTTATGCTGAAAATATTAAACCAACAAAATGAACAACAAGTGCTGTGAAATGATATTAGATATATCATTACCGTTACGGTGTTGATAGCTAACAAAACATATATTCGATAAACAAAATGTTGTTTTAGGGCATCATGAGCAAACCTCGAGAATAAGAACTGCTTTAATAAGGTAATTTTGTTCCAGTGGCAATTTAGTCATTGGAATGGAAATACCCAGTGAACAATTCATGATCAAATCGTCTTCGTCATAATCATCATCTGAAATTGGTTAGAGAATTTTAAACTATGTAATATCTCACCTAACTGTTATTACATTTCCAATACCCAAGTCCAAATTTCTGACCTGACCAATAAATATCACAGCCACAGCTTCGTATAACGCTGTTCCGTCCATATTAATTGTGGCACCAACCGGAGCTACAAATTTACATACACGGGGATCAACACCATTATTTTCTTCTAGACACTTCAGTGTTACAGGTAAAGTTGCTGAACTGAAATGGATATTTATATTTCATTAAGAACTGTTTGAAAGAAATTGGATATACAAAATGCGTCTATTCGAAAATGGGGATCACGTGGCTAAGTGGGTAAGACGCTAGCTCGCTAGCCTGGAGGTCGGGTGTTCGATCCCTGCATTGGCCGAGAAAGTTCATCCAGATTTGCCGGCGTGGTTCTCCCTTGTCAGTGATGCAGGACGGAGGGGCTGACAAGGAAAACTATCTAGTCGTTCGGATGGGACGAAAAACCGAGGTCTCGTGTACACATTGGCGTGCACGTAAAAGATCCCTTGGCAGTTGGAATTCGATATAAGAGTAGACCGTAGTGCCGCTGTCCGGGCAAAATTTCCCCATAGCACACTGTATGGCGTATGTCCGTCTTCATTAGCCCAGGTTAGGAGCAGAACAGTAGGACGTTAAACTCCATTTCATTTCATTTCTATTCGAAAAGAACACATTTGCGATTGTCGTTATTTATAACATATATATATATATATATATATATATATATATATATACGTGTATCAATCATAACGATAATAAATAGAGTGACACCTTGGATGTTGATATTAAAGCCCACTGGCCCTGACTGATTAACCAGGAGATATCCGGTTCGATCCAAGAGAGAGAGAGAGAGAGAGAGAGAGAGAGAGAGAGAGAGAGATGGGGTTTAACGTCCACTCGACAAAAACTAGGTCATTTCGGGACTAACATATGGTTTTAATTTTATTTCAATAATTCGCTTGCGCATAGAGGTCTATGGCAGTGGGAGGAAACCGGAGGACCCGGAGAAAGCCCACGAGGTTGGACAGACGACCCTACTCCTTGCCACGTACAACCGGTGATTCGAAACCACGCCAATCGACTCAATGACAGACTTTATGATACAGCGCGCACGCTAACCATTCAACCATCCACCCCCCCCACCCTCCCCGATTCGATCCAAGTGTTGTTCGAGACAGTTCCCCTTGTCAGTGGGACAGTGCGGAAGGCCCGGTCGTTTGGGTGATACGAAAAACCGGGTTCACGTTTATACCGTTGCCTGTACGTTAAAGATCCCCTGAATGCTGGAAGTCGATACAAGAGTAGGCCCCTGCCAGGAGACATTTCTCGTATAGCACACTGCATGGCGTATGTCTGTCTTTATTATCCCGGTTGGTCCAGAAAAGTAAGACGTTAAATACCAGTTCATTTCACTAAAGGCCATAACACATCAGTCAACATGTGTATTCAATATGGTTGCCTATAAAAGCTGAATCGTTTGCATGTCTTTATTTACTTTTCCCTCATTATTAACGACGTTCGACATGCACATGCTTTATAACAGTGTCTATTGTAACAAATAAAAAGATAAATGCGACCAGGTGATTGATTAAGTAGCTTTGTAGCTTTAACACAGCGAAGAGGTGTTTCTATTCTCGTGTGACTCGGCCGGGTCAATATACATATGGACTTTATATATGACAGGAAATCAAGAGTATTGAATTATATTGCTATAAGTATGGATATAAATAATCCATATAATTATTACTAAGGATCTATCTATTCGTTTTTCCAGAAGTTCAATAGGAGTTTGGAGTATTTATCTCTACTTTACCCTTCGTATGACCGGTGTCACGTAGACTAATACATGGGTTCATATTTACCTGGATGAAGTACCTATAGCTGTAACAATAGCTTGTAGAACACCATAAATAAATTTAAATGGATTTTTCCTCACAAACAGAAAATAAACAAGAGGTAGGGATACAAAGCCATGAATAGTTAAACCAGCCATGACAGTAAGGAAATAATAGGCTAATTGTTGAAAGGTTTTCTCGGGATCATCCATTTCTACAACTTTAGCAGCTACTAAAAACATTACACCAATAGGAGAATACCTGAAAGAGTGGATAAATTTTAAAAAATGAAAAAGTGTAGAGTGTCATGTCAGTAGATTATGAATTATGATCAATAATTGAAAAAGCATTGTTCTTTGGGGCTTACATTGCCTTAAACAAATGCTTAATGATATGAATCCACATGGATTCGATTTAAAGTCGCCGATTCCGATCGTTCATTTTTCGGACAATATTTAATTGTTCATTGCTTAATCCTTGCTAACATTAAATCAACGCAACATGGACATTGAGCATTTAATTAAGAAACAAACGACTTGGATTCCATTGGATTTTTAAAAAAAGGCCGATCAAAATATGAAATTCAACGTTTATAAGTGGCCCTGACTTGGCCGAATATTGTGAAATTTTCGAATCATAATAAATTTGCAAATACTGAACGGAATTATACTGACCAATTTTTGGACTGGTATTTCTTTTCGAGATTCAACATTGTACTTTACAAATGGCGATCGCCGGCTTTGTGCTTTTAAAGGACCGCCCATTTCCTTGGCTTTACACAGAACCCCTCCCTCAATTATGTACCACCCCAACACCCACCCTCATTTTTACGTTATAATTAGGAGAATGATGTCGAAACTTACCATATAACAACATAGATGAGTTTCATGGTAGCTTCGTTCAGTGAATCAAATAGGTCTTTAAGGGGTTTTCCCTTTTCGCCTAGTTTGATTATGGTGATTCCCAGTGCTATAGAGAAGACGACTAAACCCAGAACATTCATGCCATCTACATTTGTTACCACTGGTTTATATATCTTTTCTAATTCTGAATAATAGTTTAGTACACAAGTTAGTGTTCAAATTCCATATACATTTATATCAATAATTTAAACTATGTACTAGTAAACATCGCAGAGTTCTGGGGGAGCTCAGAAAATTCTTCTGTGCGATATGTTAAATAAATTGAAGCTTAACGGTGCATACTATTGGTAGATGTACTGTGACAAAGTGCTCCATAACTTGTATCATATTAAGATTATATTGTATACATGTAAAATATTTATTTAAATGCATAGAACCAATTTGAAACTTGTACGTTATTAATCTACGATATAAGATATACTGTCCACTACATATATACACGTCCAGTATACATATATACACGTATTTAATTACGGACGTAATAATTCCCACATGTCGTTACAATGAAATGAAATATGGGATTAAACATCCGACTTTTCTGCATTAATCAGGCAACGAAGACATGCATATGGTATACAATGTGCCGATGTATGTGTGTGTGTGTGTGTGGGGGGGGGTGTTGCCTTGTGGGGGTGGGGTGGGGTGGGGCGGGGGGTATAACCAGGACCTCCACCAAGTAGGCCCGTTTTCATGAACCCAGTCTGTGCAGAACAGAAGGACGTTAAACCCCACTGCCATTAATTTCCGTCAAGCAGTATACCGAGGGGATGGACTTAAACTCGAGAGAACTTAGATATGTTGAAAGAGGTTTACCTGGTTGTGTAATATTACTGAGATTAGCTGCTATAGTAGATAAGGTAGTGGTCATGGTGGTGTTCATCATTTCATCTCTCTCTTTCATGGCATCTTCGTCTAAAACTTGTTCTGTTAGAGGCTGAAAACATCAATATTTTAAATTTGAGAATAAACACCGTCAGATATCAACTTAACTCCTGGTTGAAGATAAATTCAATTATATTTGTATAGATTACAAGTACACTGTAATATGTTAAAATAATATCTGTACTCACTTTTCTGAAACATGCTTCAATTAGATTAGAAGGGAAAGCTTGTCTGCAAAAGAAAATAGACAAATTAGTAAACCTTTGAATAGAAACAATGGGCTGGGTGGAGTAAAATAAACATTAGAATAATTAAATTCTTTCAGATGGTTTTGTGGAGACATGGCATTCATTCATCTGATCTGTTGTCTATGTACATACATTACTCCCGATCTAAATTCATTTTGTATTAAAAAGACGAATTACGCTGGCGACAATAATAGATACAAAGCAGTTTTAATGATGGTTGCATAAATAAAAGATCATTTAGTGTTAATCGCATTAAAACTTATTACCGAAATGATCAGGTCAAGTGTTAGGAATTTCCTAGGTTTGGGTCCGGGCGTTAGCCGAAAATGACTTTCCTGTGTTTGGGTCCCACCGGTTCTCCCTTGACAGAGAGGTTGCACCGGCGGAGCTGACAAGAAATGTTTACTTCGTCGTTCAGACAAGGACAGAGAACCCTTGGCAGTTGGAAATTGATGAAGAATAGACAATAATCATGCCCTCCAGGAAAAATTGTCCTCCCCTCACACCGCACATGTAACTATTGATATATAACGTTAGTCTCAAAATGACCGAATTATTGTATGGTCTGGACGTTAAACCCCGTTATATTCCAGTTCTACATGTTTTGATAATCAATCTACAAGAGTGACTTTAAAAATATCACATGCTTCACATCACATCGTGGATAATAAAAGATAACCACGGTGGTTCAGTGTGTAGGGCATTACATTACTAACTTGAAGGCCCTAAGTTCAGTTCTGGTGGTTGTCGAAAATGTAGCTTGTGTGGGTACCCTTTTTCAGCGGTGCAAGAAAAAGGGTCTGACAAGGAACAGTGTGTGTGTGTGTGTGTGGACGCCTCAAGTTACAACAGTTCAATTAAAAGAACCCTTGACGGGCCTTAGTTCGTATGCCCGTCCTCATTATTCCGGTTGGTGAGGAATAGGACGTTAAACCCCATTTCCTCCATTTCCTTTCATTTATTTTTAAAATAATGGTTGTTTTAATTAGTATTGAAAATCTGATATATGTGTTATTATTCTCATTTTGAACATTTATTTATTTTATAGTTTTAGTCATTTATTCAATAACAAATAAACAATTGTCTGAAACCGCGGACATGTTTATGCAACCTTAAAGGTACACTGTCTTTTAAGAATATACGTAAAAATTTATCAGAGCTACGTCTACTTGTAAGATAGCTACATTAATCGTCTCACAACCGGAACATGACAAAAACTACTGTCTCAGCCATTGGCGTTGCATGGTATAACTATGACATTTTGACTTATTTGTGTACTTAATGTTTGTGAGGGATTGTGAAGGTTGATAAGTAACGACAATTGGAATGTCATGTAAATGGCACACATACTGTCATACAAAGTGGCTACTCCTCGTGTGTTCTGTATGTCACTACAGTTAAACACTAGCGTTTAGAAGAAATGTGGTTATGTATGTCACTGCAGTTAAACTCTAGACTGATTCAACGTTTAGTTTGTGTGGTTTCATATTTGAGACATATTTTACGCCGACATGACCGATATTTTGTACTTTAATGTAACATGTATCATTATGATTGACATTGAAGTCTTATGTTTCTCAGGTCATCGTTCAGTAGAAATTATCCCAATGTTTTGACCCGGCAAACCTAAAACAATTGGCCAGAATGGGGCTTATGCAAATATGCGATGGATGATTTAATGATGTTTCACAAATTCACAAAGGATCCACTTGGAACAACTCCAGTATCCGGTACTAATGATTCAGTCAACTCGATTAACATAACTATTTCCTGTTCCTAAAACCAAATATGACAAACACGTTGCGTCAGTGTGTGTTCACGTTTTTCGCATGTAATAATGTGTTTGTGATGTGTTTTCAAATTGCTGTAAAATTATTCCCGAGGATTCCTTGAACGACATTGGAAATCCAAATTGTTTTCTGATCAAAGGAGTCAAAATTCCAGTAATTAACACACTTTCTCGTAAATTTTATGGACGACCAGCATGTCTCCAGTGAATCCTGTCACTCAATAGTTAGCAAATTAAATGGTACAATTTACCTATCATACCTTACCCGACGTACTTATAAAACAGACGGCTTCAAGATTCCCCCCCCCCCCCTCCTTCAAGTATACCAGATTTCCTTTTAGGCGTAATGCCGCTGGTCGTAATTTTGAATGCTATTTTATTATTTACTATTTTTAACATATTTGCATCGGATTAAAAAAAAGGATCACCAAAAGATGTTTTCCGATAGATGTGTGTGAAATAGTTTTATTTAAGGAGCGCTTCCACTTATAAATAGCGTTGATGGCTTCTTTCTATCGTCAGGGGGGGGGGGGGGCGAATGGTTAACGGGTGCGCATTGGATCATAAGGTCTGTCAATGAGTCAAGTGACGTGGTTTAGATTTTCCGCTTTTACGTGGTAAGGAGTAGGGTCGCCTGTCCAACTTTGTGGGTTTCCTCCCACTTTTAAAGACCCCTATGCGCAAGCGAATTATTGAAATAAAATTGGACCATATATCTTAGTCCCGAAATGACCTAGTTTGTGTCGGATGGACGAAACTGAATTATTAGAGATAGTTCAGTGCAAAAAATTGATCGTTCGAATTGAATCTTGGCAATAAATATCAACATGGGTGTTATTTAAAATTCGTTTATAAGGGGCTTGTAGAGATAGACAAGGGTCAAAATGTAAATATATAGTTGAATACTAATTTAATGATGCTATCTAGAGAGGCTATGAAACAGTACCCTAAGAGGTTAAAGCCCTTGTGTTATATGTGTCAATGATAGAACACCTATTGACATAAACTTTGTTAAAGCAATATCCTATTTGTTTTCTATAGTTTATTCAGATGTATGAATATAATATGTTGATATAAAGGGTTAGTATCGCCATAAGAAAACAGAAAGTTTGTTGACACTATAATCTCTACTTGACTGGAATATTTCATCTCTCGTCTTTTATTTTTACAATTATCCGCATTTTTTAAACTTTTGTTGCCGTATATTGTAACATTCGTCCGTCGATCGGTTGGCCATCGGCCTGTAATCCACAAATTCATAGTAAACTGTACAAGTCAGAGTTCTTGTCGATTTGCAGGGAGGACTCTTTTTGTTCGTAAGGCATTCATACATTTTTGAACGAAAATCGCTGAATTATTCCCCGGTTTATATTCAAATTGATATAATCTTGTGAAAGCGATGCTAAATAAAATTTTCGCACAACATTTTGAACTTTGTGAAATTTTAGCACATCTTGCAATATCGAACGTGCTTCGCGGAGTTGTCTGTCCATTCACATTTTTACTTTAAAAGCTTGAGACACAGTTCATTTTTTTTTTTTTTTAAACGGGCTCTGCAGCTATAGGGCAACTTGGTTGTGCCCTAGGGGATAGTTTATTCAGATAGTAATATGTATTGCTAAATGAAGTTATATTTTGAACTTGTATTTAAGAAGTCGGAAAGTATTAGAGCGAGTGATCTAATGGTGATCAAACTGTAAAATTCTCTCATGGTATCACGTAGTCTAGAAGGGCTAAATATTGCAAACCTAGGGCACGACACCGGAGGAGACCTTATTCACACTTTAAAATCCTTTAAGGGCACAGGCTTGTCATTGACCTAGAGTTAAAATCTCTACTTTGATGTTAGTTCTCGGTCATAGAAAAAGTAGTATGCTTAAAATACTTTAGCTTAAGTTTCCGTCAATATGTCCATGCATGGCGTTTAATTTCCACTTGGGCTGGGGTGGGGAATCTAAACAGCCTTGATTTAGGTAGACATAGTGTATAAAATTGAGTTGATTTGATCCTATTTCCATTAACAATCGAGCTAGATATGATCAAATTTTATTTGTATGGACAGATGAAGCGGTAGTCGATCGATGTGCTTACTAATTCTAGTTTAATTTTTTTAGTTTGCTGTATCAACAGTGGAACACAAAACTGGTCATAAATCATCACTGACTTTACCTGTAGAAGTAAATGAAATGAAATGAAATGGGGTTTAACGTCCTACTGTTCTGCACCTAACCTGGGCTAATTGAAGACGGGCATATGCCATACAGTGTGTTATAAGGGAAATTTTGCCCGGGCAGCGGCGCTACGGCCTACTCTTATATCGAATTCCAACTGCCAAGGGATCTTTTACGTGTACGCCAATGTGTACACGGGACCTCGGTTTTTCGTCCCATCCGAACGACTAGGGGAAGCCACGCCGGAAACCTGTAGAAGTAATGTTGTCATTGCACAAAACAAATCAACATATAAAAGCTACTGAACTCAACAATGTTGTATTTAACCAAATCATATAGGTTTATTGCAATAAAAGCAAATAATGATTAAGCTATAACGATTGATATCATTTCTTATTTGATAAGCCAATATAACCCGTTATTGTAATTTTGTTTTTGGTAAGACGTGTATGTATTTAATAAAAATACGCGAAATGTTTCCAAAGTTAGGGCTATATGAAGGACCCAATTCAAAAACGACACACAATAGTATTACCTAATATAATAGCCGCTCTCTCGGCTAAAAATAAATCCCTTATCCTTCGGCTGTTCAGTATTATAAATTAAAAGCTTGAAATGTCTGACAAGGTAAACATTACCGTAGTCTTTTCAATGAAGACTTATAGCCCATCTACTTGAATTTTGCACTAGAGCCGTCTTATTATAATCTGTTCGTACTTGAATATATTCGAAACTTGATCAATATTGACTGATTCCTTCTCACTCATAATAGAATGGGTAGTTTTGAATTCAAGCCACCTTGTTTTTTTTATACACTATGGCATTATGTAGTATTTGAAAAAATATGTAATACATTTACCTATATAATTCATTATAATAGTATTCAGTTCACTAAATGTAGGGTAAATTCATTTATTCAAATATATCTACTAAGCAAATATTTTCGGTGCCGAATCTTTTAATGAAAGACGTGAGTATATCAGAAAGCAATACTCGGATGATAAGTATTTATAAGTGCAATGTACATAGACATATGGATATTGAGTTTATTCCCACGAAAACCTAAAATTATGAAAAGTCTAATGTATCCGGGCTATATTTGTTTAGTTACCATATAATATAACCATCCCTCTTAAGAATGGAGACATCATCTATTTACATAATTTTTCAATTGCTATTGAATTTCACTTGCACAAGCAAGAGATAATAAAGCATTGTTAACTTGTTATAAAGTTCTAACAACGTTATTTCTGTGTATTATATACTATTTAAAAAAAGTAGGGGATATTTGATTTTAGGGGCATAATACTAAAATATGCAAATGACTACGAAAAAAGTCACTATAGAACCTAACAGAAGAAACATTTCCAGTTACATTTGACGCCCAAACGCACCAATAGCTACCGCATGGAATGCAGGTGATGCTTGGGATCATCATGGGGGTCCAACCCAAGATTTGCACGACTCTGACTTTGAATGTTACAGTCATTGTGGCATTGAATTCCAGGGTGGAAACATCAGTTTAATTGTTTTAGTGACCAGAAAACAAATTTTGATATGCGTCGGCTTACCCAAAATGAAAGGTTACGTGCCCTTGGCATGCTACAGATCGGCACAACACAGGCGGTTGTGGCGCGGACGATGAATGTTTCTCAGTCTGTCATAAGCAGGCTATGGTCCAGATACCGTGATACACAATCTGTACAGGACAGACCACGCTCAGGTCGACCAAGGGCGACAACTCAAGCCCAGGATCGATTTATCCGTACCTTGGCCTTGAGAAATCGTGTCATCACAGCAAATCAGATCAGCGCTCGTCTTCAAACAGACACTGGTGTGAGAGTGAGTGGCCAGACGATTCGGAATCGACTGCATAGGGGTCACCTTCGCGCCCGACGTCCTCGCGTGATCCCTTGTTTGAGAGATCATCACATTCAGGCAAGACGTCGTTGGTGTAGGGATCGTCAACACTAGGATAATCGACACTGGAGCAATGTGATGTTTTCAGATGAGTCAAGGTTCACTGTTGATTTTTTGGACAGACGTAGGAGGGTGTGGCGTCGTCGAAACGAACGCTTCCAAGACGTTAACGTCATCAGACATGATCGATTAGGGGGTGGTTCTCTTATGGTGTGGGGAGGCATCACTGTTGCTGGAAGAACGGCTTTACATGTTGTTGCAGGGCGTGTTGCAGGCCAGTACTACCGGGACAACATCTTGGCAGTCCATGTTGTGTCGTTCGCACGACGTCATGGCCGCCGTTTCATCTTCCAGGATGACAACGCAAGATGTCACAGGGCCAGGATCGTTACAGGTTACCTCCAACAACAGAACATCACCACATTACCTTGGCCAGCACTGAGTACCGACCTCTCCCCCATCGAGCATGTCTGGGACATGATTGGACAGAGGTTACGTCACCGTCAACAACGTCCTGCCAATGTCCAAGAACTTGCTGCTGCGTTGCAACAGGAATGGGACAATCTGGACCAAAATGACCTTAGACGTCTCATTAGGAGTATGTCACGTCGGATCAATGCTTGTTTGGCAAACAGAGGAGGATTTACCCGTTACTGACATGGTTGTGATGCTGTGGTAACTTTGCTGTTTGACCCCGGGTATCATTTTACCCTTATAATGGTCAGTCTGTGCCTTACTTAGTCTAACGATCATTTGGAATAAATCGATGAATGTGAACTTCATTTCATTTTGTCATTTGTTTCTTCGTCAGTTTCATTAGGTGATTTTAATAACACTTAAAAATCAAATATCCCCTACTTTTTTTGAATAATTTATGACAAATACAACAACACAACAATGGCCACCGCCATATTCGGGATACATTATGCAACATCTAAATCTGTCTATTACATGTATTTGTTCTGGCTTCAAATGTTATATGAATTATCATTGAGACATTTGTTCAAACTACAACCCCATAACCAATTCTCTAGGTCATCAGAGACTGCGATATTGAGTGAATTAGACAATGTTTGCCACATCATTGCTAAAGGTTAATATGAACGTCACACAAGGAAACGGCCGATTAAAAACTGAATATCGAGATTTCGTTTATTATTGTGGCAACGGTTCTTCGACAATCGAGACTATATATGATTTTTTGTCAAAACTGCAAACAAACGATGAAAGTAAAGTAATATGACTCACATCGTCAATATGTTCATTTTTCATTATTTATTTTTAAACTATTATAGCAAGAAAGGACATCTCTTTATCTAAATATTACATAATGTACCTTCCATTTCAATGTTCATAGTTCTGCATAATGGTTAACGTTTCAAAGTGGCGTTACTTTTTCTGTATACAATTCTTCTGTTACGTGGATTGTGATATTCTTAAAAATGTCCTGAAAAAATGTTGTCCGAATAACAATTGTCAAAGTGCCTTTTACAACGTTTGGCGATTGTGTGAAGGATATAAAAAAGGTTACTTTTATAAGCACCACCCATTTCTATGTGTACAGGTTTGTGCGCTTTAACAATGCTGAGCGATTGCTGATTTGTGTCAATCACAAGAAAGATAAATCGACTAATAGGCCATTAATTATCCGTATAAATGAGGTTGTTTAAAAAATAAATATATACACAAATAAACAATATATATATAAAAATATATATCAAGCTGTTCATCTTTAATGGTCATATTAGAGCTTTATCACGTTTTGTTGACTTTCTTTTTGAAAAAAATAGCAATTCACTAATGTAACGAAACTTTTATTTACACGAGACTACCAACCTCTTTACATTGTACTTATCTGAGGTTGAAAGTAAAGTCTCAAATATTTACTTAATAAGATGATGGGGAAATGCTTAAAAACGTATATAATACACTGTAGTTCTTTACTTTTTTAATTAAAATGCGAGTGTTCCTCTTTGACTTAATTCTCTTAAACATTCCTGGTACATCCGAATGAAGGCCGTACAACGAGAGGCAAATGTGGAATTATTCCGAATACACGCAATCTAAATGTAGGTTATTTCGAGATGAACAAAGAGGGGGTGGAGGTGAGAGTTGTTAGGGAGCCGACCCTACGCCTTGTGACGTACATGTATGTGATCGAAACAACGACACTTTCATCGATGACAGACATGATCTAAAGCGCATCCATTAGATCATTCGACCGTCAATCTACATGTAGGTTATTTCGAAACTAACAAAGAGTGGATGGAGGGGGTGGAGGTGAGAGTTGTTAGGCAGCCGACCCTACGCCTTGTGGTGTACATGGATGTGGCCGAAACAACGACACTTGCATCAATGACAGACATGATCTCAAGCTCATCCATTAGATCATTCGACCGTCAATCTGCTGAATACGTTATTGTGTTGAATAAATGTAAAGTGTATTAAGCCATTTAACGACTAAAAATTCTTCTAAATGTTATTGCTTACTAGTCTGTACGCAAAATGTATGGAATCAGAATTGCTAGGAAAGATATAAAATGAATACATTATTCACTACGAACTTGCCTACGATATCCCCTTAGATGGAAGTAGGCGTAGTTTTTCAAGGTCATGTTTGGTTTCAAGCTGCTGCCAGCTCGTTTTAGGTTGTTTTATCTGAGGTTATTATTTATGGTCATAGAAAACTGGACTAACCTTAATAAATCCAAAAATGTATCAACAGGGTCGATCTTTCCTTTAGGAGATCCGGTGTTGTCTGGCGCTCCTCCTTTTTTACCAGGTTCTATCACAACTACAAGAATTATTCCCAAAATGACAGCTAAAAGAGTTGTAGTCATGTAGTAAATAACAGCTCGTAACCCCATTACACCCGATGCTCTTGCGTCCAGGGACGCCATACCAGACACCAAACTTGACACTACAAGCGGTAATATCAGCATCTTTAGCATGTTCATCAAAAGTTCTCCAGGATAGCCCAAATAAAGAACCTGGCGAGCGGTAAATTTGGGTTCTACAAATCTCAACCCAGCTCCAAGAGCTATGCCACATATCAAGGCACATATTAAGAACACCAACAATAAATTCTTTTTGAAAAATCTCTTCACTTTCTCGCCTTTGGTAAGGTACTCTGGCTTTTCCTCTAATTCTCCGGCTTCCATTTTTGAATGTCTCAGATACGATGCAATATATCAAAGTATAAAAATATTTGCAATTACACAAGTTGCTTCTTCCTCAGCTGGAAGCGTCTATGTCATTGACGAACTACATAAAGAACAAGGCACAAAACACACCACCTTGTTCAACACCATACAGTAACATTCAATACCAAAATGTCAATAAACGCCGTCGAGGTATACGAGTCGTAATAAATCAAATTGTTAACCAATGGCGATACGTTGAATCAAGTACATGTTTCGTGCGTTCACGAGAACTGTTTTCCTCTCAGACCTTTAAAAGACAAGACATACAAACTGATATTAATATTAATCTTTTAGCGGCATTTAGCAACAGAGCAATACAATATAACAATATTTATGGAAAACAGCTATGGAAAAACTAATTTATTTGGGTGACGTTTCCAAGAGTATTCTCTCAACGTTATTAAGCTAATATTAATATGTTGTATTTCTTTATCCCTTCAATTAGAAAATACAATTGTCATTATTAAACAGTTTTGTGGAATCGAACACGCACTTCAATCTATAGTTAAACATCTTATTTACAAAATATTGCTTTTGGCACTAGTTTAGTATACGTGTACTTTAAAACACGATTGGTTTAGAAATATTTTCACCTTTATAGAGCTTAATAAATAAATATATTCATTAACTGACAAGATAGAATATAAACATAGTTTCATAACATTGAAATAAAAACATTGAGCAAGTTGTCCTTATGGGCCATATCGACTACTGGATTTAATAATGTCAACAACTAGCATTTAGTGAATAAAAAATAAACCAAGACATTAATTCGGGTATCGAAGCAAATGGAGTGGCCACGTGAAATAAATCGCAAAGTATGATTGCAAATATTGTCTAGGGCTCGACACTTGTCACTGAAGTCGTGTTTAATGAAAGTCGAGTATGATGGACTGAGCCATTAGGTAACATCATATAACCGTGTAACGATAGCAAACACAGACATGCTTTATAATATTGTCAGGACGACCACAACACTTTTAATAGGTTCAATTAGGTATTGTGGGTAAACAACACTGATTCAACAATGTCTATATGTTACTAGTTCTCAACGGGTCAGAATTGTATCCTGAAACGAACATGCCCTGACAAACCGATTAACCTGAAAACATACACTTCATGAGTTAAGGATTGTGGTATGTCGCTCCATATAAATAGAAAATTAACTACTGGAAGTCATCACGTTTGTCTTATAATAATATACGTTTTCGCTTTACATCAAATTTGAGACGCAAATACAAACAGGGTCTGCAATGGCTATACCAGTGACATTCAAATACTCACCAAATTGGGAATTATTTAGTGGAAAAACTTATCACTATCAGTTTACCTTAGAGTGAAATAACGGTTAATATTTAAGATATGTATTAATATTTGGATAAAGAATACAAAATACAGAAAAAATCAGCAAGTAAAGGAGCGCAATGGATTTCCATAGTAATACGGATGACTTGTGGAAACTATTCCTCCTCCAAATTATTATTCCGCGAATATGTCGTTAATAACTGCTTTCAACATTATTACATCATCCTCATGGTAATTTTACTTGGCGTCTGAATGATTTGTAACAAACAATACGTGTATATTTCTAATTCTACCTTGAGACATTATTAAGTATGTTTAAGTCCATGTCGTAATTTACTATGTGAAATAGTTTTATACAGGTGTATGACGGATATACTAGTTCAAGCTCCGATATGTTGGACCTTGGATGTTTATTTTGATTGTTCATTATGAACAATGGTCATGTCTCTAGTGTTGACATATCGTATGGGGTGGTATATAGAAAACAGGAACATGATTGTGCGTTAGTAGCAATGTCATTCGCATTTCTATACATTTGGAATTGCACTTTCTTATAAATAAATATGTTCGATGTCATAAAGGAAATACTTATAAAATCACATTTAAAATAAAACCACCCTGGAATAGGCCCCTGGGTAGTTTATGGTGTTGTATCCGGAAATATTAAGAATAAGAAAAGGATTTAATTAAGGGGTCGCACCGACGACTTATGTACAGCACCATGGATATTCACCTGTATTCTTAGGGGGTTTGATCCATGTAAGGTAGATCCAAACTGTCATACCTGAGATATTTAAACTTACCAAGGTAACATTAAATATACAAAGTTACTTACCTACACAATGTATGAATGAACGTATTCTAGACCATAAACAAAGTTAGTAATTAGGTCTATCTAAATTCTCGGTCCGTACCAAAGGTCAACTATATGTACTGCACTAATTCCTTTTATCGTTCAACAGATCTGAAAAACCACCATATAATTATAAAGCCATGTAGCTAAGTAAAAACTAACGGGTTTTTTTTTCACGGTTATTATTCTCTTTTTTTAGCAAGTACGTGGCATACTGTGCTTGTTTTTGTTTTCTGTATAAATTATTCACATTTTGATTGACAATTTTCATATAAAATGCTTCATTAAACAAAACTAGAGTTTATAGTCTTTTAGGTGTATGTCCCTCTAATGTTACAGGATACATATATACATAACATAGGCCATATATACACACACATTCACGCAATAACGGATGTATATGTACGCATGTATAATAGGAGTGTTAGAGGGGTTCTTAAAGTAATTTATGGAGATAAATGGGTCATTGACCAATGAGTAATACTTTAAGGTATTTTTGATACTCCGGGTCATAAACCAGCTTGGTGTGATCTCGGTCTCTCCAGAATTGCGTTTTAACCAAGTGAACAAAATACCGGATCATGCCCTTTAAAGGTTTATTTACTAAAATTTCACAATACTGTCTCTAGCATAAGGATATTTTTAATTGTCGGGTTCAACATTTGGTATTTAGGATTTACTTACTAGAAGTATCCAATGTCTTTTACTTACTCTTAATCGGTAATTATTAATAACCAAGTAGTTCGAATACGTTTACCAAGTATTTCGAATACGTTTACAATTAGTAATTCTTAGCGTTGCAAATTTTTTTTAACATATCCACAGATCAAAGTTTAAGACAAATGAAATGAAATGAAATGAAATGGGGTTTAACGTCCTACTGTTCTGCTCCTAACCTGGGCTAATGAAGACGGGCATACGCCATACAGTGTATATATACAGATTAGTATATATACTATTCAAAAAAAGTAGGGGATATTTGATTTTTAAGTGTTATTAAAGTCACCTAATGAAACTGACGAAGAAACAAATGACAAAATGAAATGAAGTTCACATTCATCGATTTATTCCAAATGATCGTTATACTAAGTAAGTCACAGACTGACCATTATAAGGGTAAAATGATACCCGGGGTCAAACAGCAAAGTTACCACAGCATCACAACCAAGTCAGTAACGGGTAAATCCTCCTCTGTTTGCCAAACAAGCATTGATCCGACGTGGCATACTCCTAATGAGACGTCTAAGGTCATTTTGGTCCAGATTGTCCCATTCCTGTTGCAACGCAGCAGCAAGTTCTTGGACATTGGCAGGACGTTGTTGACGTTGACGTAACCTCTGTCCAAGCATGTCCCAGACATGCTCGATGGGGGAGAGGTCGGGACTCAGTGCTGGCCAAGGTAATGTGGTGATGTTCTGTTGTTGGAGGTAACCTGTAACGATCCTGGCCCTGTGACATCTTGCGTTGTCATCCTGGAAGATGAAACGGCGGCCATGACGTCGTGCGAACGGCACAACATGGACTGCCAAGATGTTGTCCCGGTAGTACTGGCCTGTAACACGCCCTGCAACAACATGTAAAGCCGTTCTTCCAGCAACAGTGATGCCTCCCCACACCATAACAGAACCACCCCCAAATCGATCATGTCTGATGACGTTAACGTCTTGGAAGCGCTCGTTTCGACGACGCCACACCCTCCTACGTCTGTCCAAAAAATCAACAGTGAACCTTGACTCATCTGAAAACATCACATTGCTCCAGCGTCGATTATCCCAGTGTTGACGATCCCTACACCAACGACGTCTTGCCTGAATGTGATGATCTCTCAAACAAGGGATCACGCGAGGACGTCGGGCGCGAAGGTGAATCCTATGCAGTCGATTCCGAATCGTCTGGCCACTCACTCTCACACCAGTGTCTGTTTGAAGACGAGCGCTGATCTGATTTGCTGTGATGACACGATTTCTCAAGGCCAAGGTACGGATAAATCGATCCTGGGCTTGAGTTGTCGCCCTTGGTCGACCTGAGCGTGGTCTGTCCTGTACAGATTGTGTATCACGGTATCTGGACCATAGCCTGATTATGACAGACTGAGAAACATTCATCGTCCGCGCCACAACCGCCTGTGTTGTGCCGATCTGTAGCATGCCAAGGGCACGTAACCTTTCATTTTGGGTAAGCCGACGCATATCAAAATTTGTTTTCTGGTCACTAAAACAATTAAACTGATGTTTCCACCCTGGAATTCAATGCCACAATGACTGTAACATTCAAAGTCAGAGTCGTGCAAATCTTGGGTTGGACCCCCATGATGATCCCAAGCATCACCTGCATTCCATGCGGTAGCTATTGGTGCGTTTGGGCGTCACATGTAACTGGAAATGTTTCTTCTGTTAGGTTCTATAGTCATTTGCATATTTTAGTATTATGCCCCCAAAATCAAATATCCCCTACTTTTTTTGAATAGTATATATCGATTTTTTGATCGATATGGTCACTTCTTAACACATAATTCCTATCAATATAAATGAAATGAAATGGGGTTTAACGTCCCACTGTTCTGCGCCGACTGTGCTAATGAAGACGGACATACGCCATACAATGTGCTATGTGGGATATTTTTCCCGGACAGCGGTACACTACGAATTAATGGAATTACAACTGCCAAGGAATCTTATACGTGCACACCAATGTGTACACGGGACTTCGGTTGTTTTTCGTCCCATCTAAACGACTATATTTTGACCCTTGTCAGACCCCCTGTCCTTCACAACTGACCAGGGGGAACCACGCCAGAAAATCCCGATATACTTTCTCAGCCAATGGAACACACGACTTCTAAGTTAGCGAGCAAACGTTTCTATCAGTGGCTCTCCAATCAATACAAGAAAAGCATCTTTAACGAATCTTTAGTCTTCATATATCACTTAAAGTTTATTATCTTTGTACTTGAGCAGATATAATACGGTAACTGATATATCCAGTGGCTCTTATAACTTCGTAAACACAAAACAAATTCTTATCACGTTTTATTCAAATATTGTTGGTGCTTGTTTCACAACGAAGCTGTATATTAGAGAACAGCCCAACAGATTATTGTAATGAACTAATCATCTATTCGAAATTATTTAAATGGTGGTATGAACAGTGTGTTCTAGTTATTTTATATCTTAGACATTTTACTAGGCATGACACAGACAAACCAGGAGCAACTTGCAAAATATATTAATTTATACAAGAAAAGGGTTCGTTTTATGGTGATAGATGGTTTACGAATACTCCTCTATATATTAAGAGTATTGGTAATTTTATCTTGGGGTTTATGGTTGCTTATATTGTGCAGCACACAGAGAATTGGATTTAAAATCTGTCGGGTGAGAAAAACAGAACAATAATAAAAAACAAACAAAGACACCCCCCCCCCCCAAAAAAAAAAAAAACAAACAAAAAAACCCCACCAAAACAAATGAAAACGAAACGCCCCAAGAAAAAAAACCCCAAAAACCCAAACAAAAAGCACGAAAATGAACAAAATCTAAACAAGTGTATGTGACATGATCCTACCTTTAACGTGTCCACGTGTATTGCCGTCGTCCTTATGATCGACAGAAGATGCATTTAAATGTGGTCCTTATATTAGTACTAATGATTAATAATACGTCGAATCGATGACTAAATATCTTTCGGAGAAAATGTTTATAAGGCGGGCACATTCATCCGTCAACAAAGGAAAGGTGTATTATAAACGTAATTGTAATAAACAAAAATAGCTACAAGCCTTGAACTTGGCGAATTACAATTGAGAAAATAAGAGATTGCACTGTTTGTTACGTTTTTATAATAAAAAATAAACAGTTGAGAGTAATACTATTTTTATTTCAGTTAGCTAACGTTTTTATAGTTATATTATTATAAATTACATTAACCTGTATTAATACGCTTATCATGACAGGTGATCAAATTTAAGACACACCTCTAAGTATTTTATAAAGGAAAGCGTTCATCTTAAAAAAATAGTTAAAACTGCGTCATGTTAAAAGTAATTGGCAATAAATTTGTCTCGCATTTGACGAATAACTCAGTTTGTTCTTATTACCTTAACGTGGAGGATAATGAATATTATACAAAGTTTAGTCGATGGCGATAAAATGAAATGAAATGGGCTTAACGCTATGCAGTATGCTATTGGAGGCATATGGCCCGACAGCGATGTTTCCACCTAATCTGCCAAGATTTCTCGGTTACTGTTATCGTCTCATCCGAACGACTAGACACTGTTCCCGGAAGGCCTTCCGCCCGCCACCACTAACAAGATTCCCGACCCAGAGAGAGAGAGAGAGAGAGAGAGAGGGAGAGGGTAACATCCACTCGACGCACTAGGTTATTTCGGGACTAACATATGATTCAACTTTATTTCCAAAATTCGCTTGCGTGTAGGGGTCTTTGTGGGGTGATAGAAATAGTCCATGGGTTACCTTTTTTTTTTTATTAATTCTCTACTTATAAATATTAAAGATGGGTTCCCGCGTACAAATTGGGTGATTTAATGGTATATATGGACTAAAAACATATATGGTTTATATGGACTAAATTTGTCATAATTATACTTCAAATTCTTCTCAAACATTGTAATTGGGAAGGAATGCCCTGCTATTAAAATTCGATCAAACCAGGTCATGGTTACGTCACGTCTTGGAAATCAGAGGAGAATTCATTGTATACGTAAGACGATGTTGTCTTTAATCGCTTACTATATCGAATCCTAATTAAATTCTCGGATTATCCACTACCCGCGTCTTTTTCCGTCATTTTTATGTTGTACGTCTAACTCTTCATAAAGTTTATCAACTTGTACATCAAGCGCTCAATGTTCGCGTGTGACCTTTGACATCACGCGTGCAGAAATTCTTAATCGTCGGGTTGTTGATTAGGGGAACCCTTACATTTTTGTCCTGTATACGCTCCATGAGTGTTTTTCGGGGAATCCAGTATTTTTCTAGTAAGATTGGATATCTCTACTTTCCATATATACCAAAATTGCCATACTTTTATTGGAAATAACCACCCGATAAATACTTTTCTGGGAACCCATCTTTAAGTCATAATTATAGTTTATTCCGCAATAAGATAATCATGTAAGGGCTGAATTTGCCTATTGCGTGTCAGTTTGCTGGCTTCAAACCTTATATAAATTATTATTAACACATATATTCCCACGACAAGCCCATAATCAACTCTCTAGGTCATCGGGTAGCTTAGATACTGAATGGATTAAAACACCTCCGTCATTTAATAATTTAACAATAAATTGAGCAATGGTAGTTGACAATCGATCAGTAATTTTAATGAAATTTTCAATATATTCATTTCACATTGTCTATTTTTTAAACTATTATAGTTTGAAATTATGAAGCAACAAACGGCCTGTATTCATGGGGACGATAGCAAATAACTATCGCCAATAATTACTGTACACGGGTACCTTCTATTTCTCTATAACAATATATTAATGTCCAGTGGCTTAAATATATTTATTACACATGAACCGCACACAACTTTTGATATTCTTTTGTCCATATTAGATGCGTTTTCAGCCTCATTAATTTTCATCCACAGATTAAGCAGACGGCGTGTGACCTTCATTTGAAAGTAAACGGGGGATAACTCCAAAATATATCATCGGAATATTTCAATACGGATTACTAAATTGCCTTGCGCAATACATTGTGTTCATTTTTGGGGTGAATCCTTGTCTTTTGTTCAAGATTTTCATTGTAACTAAGAGCTTTTCTATTGATTTTTTCTATCCAAAGCCGGATATGTATCACATTGCTATTTTAGGTGAATTTGCTAAAGCGATTTCAACATACTTAAAAGGGTCACGTCTATATCCCATTTATACGGTGGCTGATAAGGGACATAATAATATAATATATGAAAAATAATATAATTTGTTTTTTTTATAATTTTCACCCAAGTCAATTTTAATTTTCACCCAAGTCAATTTTAATATAATTTGTTTTTATAATTTTCACCCAAGTCAATTTTAATTTCCACCCAAGTCAATTTTAATATAATTTTTTTTATAATTTTCACCCAAGTCAATTTTAATATAAATTGTTTTTTATAATTTTCACCCACGTCAATTTTAATATAATTTGATTTTTATAATTTTCACCCAAGAATTTCCACCCAGCCCGTGACGTCATCTCAATTAGCCTCGTTTCCATTGTAATGTATTATGTTTTATCTTATATGGTTCTCATACTGTAATTAGCAGATTGCAATGTATTATGTTTTACCTTATATCAAAAAGATATTTTTATACGCCCACATTTTCATATGGACGTATATTGTCGTCACCCCTGTCCGTCCGGACGTCCATCCATAATTTGTTTGTGGACACTATACAGGTCACAATTCTTATCCGATTTTGACGAGACTTGAAATATAGGTTTATTTCCAAAATATCTAGGTTCCTTTCGATATTGGCATGTATCGGATTGAAACTTCATGAATTATGGCCCCTGGTTGTACGAATAATCACTTTTTTTAGCGTGTGGACACTCTAGAGGTCACAATTATCATTGGTTTCTTTCGATATTCGCGCTTATCGGATCCAAAATTTTTGAATTACGACCCTTGATTGTATGAAAATTCTCGTGGTCCCTCTAGAGAGAGAGAGAGAGAGAGAGAGAGAGTTTAACGTCCATTCGACACAAACTAGGTCATTAGTGTTTTGGAAACGAGGCTAATTGAGATGACGTCACGCGCTGGGTGGAAATTCTTGGGTGAAAATTATAAAAATCAAATTATATTAAAATTGACTTGGGTGAAAATTATAAAAAACAAATTATATTAAAATTTACTTGGGTGGAAATTAAAATTGACTTGGGTGAAAATTATAAAAAACAGATTATATTAAAATTGACTTGGGTGAAAATTATAAAAAAACAAATTATATTAAAATTGACTTGGGTGAAAATTACAAAAAAACAAATTATATTAAAATTGACTTGGGTGAATATTAAAATTGATTTGGGTGAAAATTTTTGTAAAAAATATTGGTGGTCTCTTCATAACTGAAAGTCGAAATTATATTTTCTATAGACCGATATCAACTATCAAACTCTTAGTAACATACTTTAAGCGTTTTCTTCAGTAGATATATTGATACAAAATTTCAATAAGGTTGACTTTAAAGAGATCAGACCTTTCATATTTGGCCCATTTTAATCATTATTGATATTGTTATCAGACTGGGATCCTAATATCAAATATTTAAGTCACAGTGAACACTCTATAATCAGTGGTGCACGAGTCGTGTACCTTTTTGCAATGAACAAAGAAATATATACCCCATAAGACAATGCCAATACATGGCTGGTTCTTAAAGTACCTTTTTGCAATGAACACAGAAATATATACCCCATAAGACAATGCCAATGTAATTATACATGGCTGGTTCTTAAAGTACAAATTAATCTAAAAAAAAACACACGTGTAAAATGGACTAAGGAGACATAAACGACTGCCGTTCAAATTGAAATGTTCAAGTATTTTACCGAACATAATTGATTAGAAATTACAACCAAAACATTAAAAATTGTATTTAAATCGCTTTATATAAACCCATACTACATTGCTGTGAGGTTTTAGACCCATTTTCGCCTTATCTTAACATTCTGAAGAATAGAGCTATACGCCCTTTAAATAAAGTAGAAGTTGTGTATGCGACCATGAGCATCCTGTCTTATAACTGTTACGGTTATGGAGAATATTTTACAGTTGACACCGATCTATATAATGAATTGAAGCCACGTACATATACACTTTTGACAGATAACGACCCAAATTGTTTTCTTTAACCTTGGTAAGTTCATCAAGGTATATTTTGAAAGATGTGAAAAATCAATACGTCAATAAATCGATTATTTTGGAGACAACTTACGTCAGAGTATTTTTTCAACCTCATTCTGTACGTGTTTATATATTTGGCATGTGTTGTTTTGTTGTAATGACAATTGTAACTTATTCAAGCGGGAAATATAGAAAATAAATGATTGTCAGATTAGCACTTATATAGCACTATGTGTGCCTTGGGTCGCTGGCTATAGATGTGGAAAGCCCATAAGCCAAACACCCCACATCCAACGTGTGACGCATTCATATTTTAATAGCCTTGTCATGGTCTATTATTGTCTTGGGTAATATTTGTAATTCTCTTCTTTTGGCTATGACTCACGTTGTGTATTTTCTTCTTACTATCTCAGCAGTTATGACGGGCGTTTGTCTTACCAGGAATAACAATGCATTAGTTCGCTTCTACTTTTTTTTCAAGCTGGATACATGGTTACAATGCATAATTTACAATACAATACTTAACATCTCTTTATCGCCTACCCTAACTCGCAAATGAGTTCACTGGCGGCTACATCATATGGCTCTCCTACAAATCAATGGGGTCTACTAGTCCTAGCTGGTGTCTCTTTAACCTCGGCGGTCTCTTTTATAGAACCCATATTGAAGTCTATCATGCTCAGATTAGGCTATTTAAAACCCTGGATCTGTGCAATTACTGATATGATTGGATGGTTACGGTGCATGATGCAATTAGTAAATTTCCAATCACGTGTATTTTACACAATAAATTATCCTTGACTCTATTAACTTTACATCAGTTATTTTCCCAATTATGTTTCGGTTTTATAAATCTTTTTATGTGTCAACAACTCACTCATTCATTTGAGTAGGTAAGATATGACTTCTTTACAATGTGTGAATCAAATAATTAAACATACAATATGGTCGCAAAGATCATAGTACTACATTTAATGATGCATTATTCAAGAGCTAAATCAGCCTATTGCATGTCTATATTTAGGCGTTAAATCTTCTATAAATTATATAAGTTAGACATTTATTAACTTCCCAAGATCATAATCATCTCTCGATGTCACAGAATGCTCTAAATTTTCAACAGATTTAAATGCCATTGGTAGCTAATGATTTAATTTAAAAATGAATAATCGAGATTTTGTTGATTATCGTAATAGCGTTAGCAATGACAATCGTGACTTCACTGTTCTGTAATCGATGATAACTCCGCTCAGAATCAAGTAATTTGACTAAAAGTTTCAACATATTCTCATTTCATTATCCTTTAATTATTTTTTTTAACTATTAGCGAAAACTGCCAACTCATAATCTAAAGCTTATATAATGCATCTTTAGAGATCACCGGAAAAGCTTCATAATTTTTTTTAAAAATAATGCAAGTAATTATGTCAACATATCCTTTCCATAAGTATAACACGATCCCGGATGTTAATGTTACCTGCCACAGGTAAATTTCAACAGGTAGATTTCCGTCGTTCTCCGTGAGTAGTCGTAACTTTCCGCCAATAAACAAGTCGTGACGTAATTTTAGTCCTTCTTCTCATACAAATATAGACTAGCATATGACCAGAATGACCAAAATTACGTCACGGCATTTTTATTGGCGGAAAGTATTTAAACATTAAAAACATGCTGTACAACAAAGATTAATCAACACAATCATTTGAACAATATACACGACCTTTTAAAAACACAAATTGCAGAGGTGACCGTGATACTAAATGTAGATTCGAATGTCAGTGTCTACATATATATAGAGGATATTTGTCGTTTCAGAGTGAATAACATATTTTATTTTATCGAGAAGCATGAGTGAAAATATAAACGTTTTCTTGCTAAGAGATGAAATGAAATATGTTATTCACGACAAAACGACAAATGTTCTATTTATTTTATGATTTTACAGTCATTTTAGGTAAAAACAACTAGCCAGTGAAATAACACTTTTATTTCACTGATAAAACGCGGTATTCCACTACTGATCATAAAATAAAACAAAATATTTATAGTTTAGCATAGTATAGTATTTATTTATTGACATCAAGTTACAACATACAAAGACTAGCGTGGGGCCCCCATGGGTTAAGACACCCGTGCTGTCCATAAACTCAGGTCCAGCACTTCAATCCCAGGTATTGTTACATAATGTACCCAAATGCAGTCACCCTTAAGCATTTTCAATGATTTCATACAATGATATTCAACCTATAAGCACAAACTTCAGCATCAGTAAATTGACCTATCTGCCATACTCTCATCAACATCTTTTAATATGGTCTCATATCTCTCTAGTTTGGGTTGAGTGTTTGTTAAAAATGCATTATGTAATATTTAGAAAGAACTGCATTAGGCAGATTGAGCTCTTTCATAATGCATATTTAAACTGTACGTTTATATCAGTTTTCTGAACCATTGTTGATATTCTTTTCCCGAAACACTTTATATTATTCCTTGATGGAAAGCTTAAACATAAATTATGCAAGAGCTAAATCTGCCAACTGCATGTCTTTCTTTAGACCTGAAATGTTATCTAAATTATTAATTAGACATTAATTAACTTTTTCAGACCATGACCAATTCTCGATGGCATCGCTAGCCTGTGGTATTTACTGGATTAGAACCCGGTCTGCTGCTTCTGATTAAATCAAAAAATGGATAGTCGAGACTATGTTTTTATCGTATCGACTTTAGTAATGATGATCGAGGCCAGGCTCAAAATTCAATCGCTAAATACTCGGTTCAGGATGGATCAATTTGACTGAATTTTTCAGCAAATTCCCTTTACATTATCTAGTTTATAACTATTATAGTGAAAACTACCAACTTTTTATCTAATCTCCCATAATGCATATTTAATTGATTGGAGTTTTTTTAAACTCAGTATTCCAGATTGTTTCCTAACTTGTATGCTATCGTTAGAAATGTCAGTGCGTGATATGTATCTCTTTTGCGTACAACATGTGGATATACAAATTATATAGATACCTCGGGGGTACATTTTTAGAACTGTGGCCTAAGTAATTCAGCTTTCGATGTGAACATTATCAAAATATATGATAGAAATCGGACTTTATCTTGCAGACTCTTCGATGGCCGAAAAAATTGTCAGCGAAAGTGGTAAATGGTAGATACTTCAGACTTCATAAAATCGTACATACTAATAAACCCAAACAAATAAATAAATACACGTTCTTAAGTCTTTTCCCGATATCAATATTTGGCAAAGATGATTTTAATTAATTCGTGGAAGTTGAAAACTCCAAATCAATTTAAGAAGCTTTTGATATATTTACCGTGGAATTGATTTATCTATAATATAAAAGTCAAATATCATAGTTAAAGCCCTTTAGATGAAATTGTACTTCAGTGGACGTGGTCATTTATATTTTTTTTTTACATCTGCACTATGAGGTGTTCTGTGATTCTGTTGACATTAACCTGTGTCTGCGTTCAAGGTAAATAGTCTATTTATTTTAAGAAATTAACAAACTAACAAATTTGAGAAACATATATTTAGATTCCAGATAAATAAACTTTACTCCCCGCCCCACCCTTTCCAAAACTGTTGTGACAAATCGATGCAATATTTACATTACCAGAGTCCATCCAAACATAGAAAAATACAGAGAAATAAGAGAAAATCAGCAAATTCCCTTTACATTATATAGTTTTTAACTATTATAGTGAAAACTTCCAGCTCTTTATCTAATCTCCCATAATGTATCTTTAATTGCCTCTTTATAAATTAGAAAAACTAGTATGCATTTTTTGATTCTAAGAAGAAGAAAACCATACTTTTTAAAATGCTAGGTTTAGAAAAAATCACTTTTTTCATATTTGAAACAGTTATAATATGTGATGATATTTTTTTACCACAAAATATATATATTGCATTTCAGCTTGGTTGTTCCAAAAACCGGAAAAAATCTGTTATGGCAATGATTATGGTTGCTTTAAATCAGACTATGAAAATACCAAAAAGCTGCCGCAGTCTCCAGAGAAAATTGGCCTTCGTCTTGTGCTGAACAACAGACAGAAACCAGATATAAATAATCCAGATTATCTGGATCCTAATGATATAAATATTATTAGCAACAGCGCTTATAACAGTGCCCAAAAACTAGTTCTAATTATTCATGGTTTCCAAGGAGGTGCTGCTGATGAATGGGTTGGGGATATGGTGAATGAACTACTGTTAGCTGTAAGTCTATCTCTTTTGTGTTTAATCTTTTCCTCCCGAACTCGCTAATAACTGTTATCTCATTCCAGAATGACGTCGGTATTATTTGTGTAGATTGTTTAAATGGAGCCAAAGGCATCAATCATCATCTAGAAATAGCGAATATAACATCGGTTGTAAAATGGGAACAAATTCTGGATTTATTCTTCAGGTGAAGAGGTCTCCCTGTTCAAGATGACGTCATTATTATCTGTGTAGATTAGGCAAAAATGCGATCAGTTATCTTCAAGACTGGTTGTCAGATTTTCAAACAATTCTTTTCGAATTGAAAACGAGTTATTACTTTTCAGGATAACATTAATATTATCTGTGTATATTGGGTAAATGACATCCGTTGCGAACACAGCGAATACCAGATTCGTTGGTAAAATGGGAACAAATTTTCAAACAATTCTTCTCTCTCTCTTTTCAGGATGACATCAATATTATCTGTGTAGATTGGGAACATGGAGCCAAAGGCATCAATTACCATCAAGCCGTGGCGAACACAAGACTGGTTGGTAAAATGGTTTCAAACTTTCTGAAAATCGCTCACACTGCCATGGGAACCTCCTACGGTAATATGCATATTGTTGGTCACAGTTTAGGTGCTCATATTGCTGGTTATGTTGGAAGAGATACGCCTGGATTGGGTCGAATAACTGGTATGTCAACAATCATATTAACAGAGAGAGAGAGAGAGAGAGAGAGGGGGAGAGAGTGAGTGAGAGAGGGTGAGTGAGAGAGAGAGAGAGAGAGAGAGAGGGGGGTAACGGCCACTTAACACAAACTAGGTAATTTCGGACTAACATATGGTTCAGTTTTATTTCATAAATTCTCTTGCACGTAGAGGTCTTTAACAGTGGGAGCAAACGGCGGCCCCGGAGAAACCCACGAGGTTGGACAGGCGACCCTACTCCTTGCCAGGTATAAGTGGGAAATCGAAACCCCGCCACTTGACTCAGTGGCAGACATTATGATGCAACACGCACACGCGTTAACCATTCGCCCCCCTCCCCCCCGCCATATTAACAGACAAGAAACAGGTTTATACGGAATAAGTGTTTCCGTACCCAATTTCAAGCATTGGCTAATTGCAGTACAGATTTGAACAATTTCCTTATGTTTTGTTCGATTATGTCCGTTGGCATTTATGATCAATATAATATATTTACTTGTCCGTGTGTAATGTAAACATGTTTTGAGAAAGGCTCTATTAAGTGAAACATGTGTGCCCAAATCCCATTGATTAATTCGATCAATACAACATATTAAATTAAAAATTTGTGTAGATTAATTTTTAAAAGATTTTGCTCTGACATTTATGGTATGTCGTTTCCGTGTCCTCGGTCCGTCTGTCAACAATTGGCGATACCACATTCCGTTTCAGATTATGCCCTCTTTTCTGAAAACCTTGTGAACAAGGCTAAAGTCTTTATTATGTCCGTATGTCCGTTCGTTGACAATTGGCTTGTGAACGCGATGCAATGTTTAACACATTATTTTCAAATTTGGTATGAAGCATTGTGGTCATGAGATCAAGTAGTATATCGATATTCAGCTTTCTGCGACCTTCTGTTCCCGAGTTACCTCTCCCCAACTTGTTTAACTTTTTTAACATGACATAGACTAGATTTTTTTAAAACAGATTTGTTTTTCTAATTTGGTGAGATTATATATATATACATTAGGACTGTGAGATGATCAATACTTTTGATTTCAAATTTGATGGGAGGCATTAGGGTCAGAGAGGACGAACCCTGCTGGTCAATAATACCCAAGTGTGTGTGCATTTCCACGTTTTGCGTGGCTATCTTTTGCGAATTTAAATGATCCTATATATTTTCTTTAGTAATATATTTTAACATGACTTTTGTGTTTCTTAAACAATTTTTTAATGAGTTGTCTTCTATAGGTTTAGACCCTGCTGGTCCGAGCTTTGAGAACTACGGTGTCCTAATTCGTCTAGATCCAACCGATGCTCTGTTTGTTGATGTTATACATACTAATGATGAAGAACTTATTAGTCTAGGTTAGTCAATTTCTGATCACCGTCAATATTCTGTTAGTGTTGTGGAACACAAAGAGTGTCTACAATCAGAACCTAATTTTATAAAAGAATTCACTAAACAGAACAAAAGGTCATTGTAAATAGTCAAATTACAAAGAATATAGGAATGCTATGAGATATTGAAAGCTGAATACATTATCTAGCCTGGATTATCCCTTGGCATGTTAAAGATACCTGAAAGTCATAGCACAATGAATGATGTATCGATGTATGCCCGCCATCATTTGTATGAAATGAAATGAAATGAAATGGGGTTTAACGTCCTACTGATCTACTCCTAAACTGGGCTAATGAAGACGGGCATGCGCCATACAGTGTGCTATAAGGGAAATTTTGCCCGGGCAGCGGCACTACGGGCTACCCTTATATCGAATTCCAACTGCCAAGGGATCTTTTACGTGCACGCCAATGTGTACACGGGACCTCGGTTTTTCGTCCCATCCGAACGACTAGACAGCTGTCCTTGTCAGGCCCTCCGTCCTGCATCACTGACAAGGGGAAACCACGCTGGAAAATCTGGATGAACTTTCTCGGCCAATGCAGGGATCGAACACCCGACCTCCAGGCTAGCGAGCCAGCGTCTTACCCACTTAGCCACGTGATCCCCAACCATCATTTGCCGGACTAGTGCAGAAATATAACATACGAATCAAACCAATACGAAAATAGTTACTGTAAATAAGAGCATGCCATTTAGAACAACTATTATATACTGTAAACATAACAAACAAAATATGGCACTAACAATACACTGTAAAACCAAAATATTTATAACAATAACAATATACATGTATTGTAAAATATACCAAATACTAAATAATAAATGTATCTTGAAACATTCTTTAGGTTTTGGGATTGGTATACCTGTTGGTCATGTTGACTTCTATCCTAATGGTGGAGCAAGTCAACCTGGATGTAGTAATAAGGAGTCATCTTGGTTAAAACAGATACTGACGGATGGTGTTGGAGGTACAGTATAATTAGAATACTAATACATTTACCAGATTTCTTCCCGGGCGGCTCTTTAACCAGGATGTCCTGGGTTCGATTCCGGGCTTGGTCAACACAGTTCCTCGGAATTTTCCAATCTGTTTCCCCGCGTCAGTAATGCAGGATGGAGGGTCTGGCAAGGAAAGGCGTCTGGTCGTTCGGATGGTACACACAACGAGGTCCCGTGTACGTAGACTAACCCTTGGCAGTTGTAATTCTAAAAATAGAAGGCGGTAATGTGTCCAGACATGACGAATGCTCGTCTACAATGTCCTGATTTCTACTTCGAAAATTGTCGATGTTTCTTTTTATATTTTAGAAATGGCTGAACTGGTAGCCTGTAACCATATGAGAGCGTTGTCCCTTTATACTGCTTCGGTGAGCAAATGCTCGTTTGATAGCTCACTGTGTTCCAATTACTCTGCATATACAAATGGCGAATGCAATACTGCTAGTGCTACCATGGGCTATTGGCTAAATACCATAAACCACGAAGGAAAATATTATCTTACTACAGGTTCTATTGAACCCTATTGTTAATATCTCATGGATTTTAATAAAATATATACCCTATCTCATGGACGTAAATAAAATATATACCTATTGTTAATATCTCATACCCTATTGTTAATATCACATGGAAGTTAATATAATATATATCCTTTTATTAATAAATAAAAATGATAAAAATAGAATCTGATTATTTTTGAAAATAGTGAACTGAAGATTGTCATTTCTGACTGGACTATCGTGACATGTGTTGTGCTATTTCAATAACGCCATGACATCCAGGTTTATTTTAAATCAACAGTATAGATTTTCCTTTGTATTCCTCTGATTGAAATTGTCATTGTGTACGTGTCATTGTAACATCAGTTGGCCTTGTTATTCATACACGTATATATGCCAATCAATAGGGAAGACGTCAGTTAAAAAAAAAAAACAAACAAAAAAAAAAAACGTTACAATTATTTTCATAATTTTTAAAACTTTCCAACAACACAGTAAACAGTATAACAGCACTAAACCCGTCAAATAAATAAATGCAGAGACCAAGAAACGCTCGTATACGTTGACAATTTCTTGGATTATTGCCAACATTACAACGTTTGCCACATTCTCCATTATCATTAATGGAGTTGGGACTTCCGTTTTTTTTTCTCTCACAAGAAAGGATTTTATATGGAAGCATATACGGGTAAAAAGGGCGAAAGATATTAATATATCAACATATACTTTCCATAAGTATAACACGATCCCGAATGTCAAACTTATCCGCCACAGGTAAATTTGGTGTGTTCCCACTTACCCGGCAGGCTGTTAATCCTTTGATTGATCTTAAAACTATAGTATGTTTAAAAGTAGTCACTCAAGAACTGTTCACTAGTGTTCAGCGTTAATGAGCTCTTAATCCCTCTTAATAAAATTTATTAACCAACTATTTAATGACATTTTGAACACAGTTCATGCCGGTGTTATGATTTCAAACATGAATTCAATTCACTATATTAATATAAATAGATGGTCGATCTGTGTCGAAATTATATTTATTTTAAAATGGCAAACGTTCAGGTTAATATTCGCTTTATCTCCAATAATCGAGGTGGCCGATATTTAATACACAATGGTTACAAGTTCAGTATAAAGTCAAGCAGACCAAATGCCGTCCATTGGAAATGTTCAACAAAAACTTGTCCAGCTACTGTAAACACCAAGAATGATGTTCTTACCATGGTTGGATCGGAACACAATCATCAACCAGATAATGTAAAGATTAAAGTTGATACGTTTTTGTCATCCATGATGGATTTGGTAAAAACTGACCACAGACCAATGACAAGTATTTATCAAGAACAAATAACTAGTAAGTAAATTGTGCCATTTAATCTTGATGAACCTTATTTCCAAACTGAAAATAAAATGTTTTGATATTATTTCTATTGAGTAAGTTCTATATGTCTATTTATTTATATTGTTTCAGGTCTACGAACTGAGGAGGTTACTGAAGTTATACAGTCTGTGCCAACTTTTTATTCCATCCATTCCGCCTTATACCGCTCACGATCAAAAATTTTACCAACATTACCTCAAGAACGCCAGGACATAGAACTTACAGAATCATACCAAACTACAGCTAATGGTGACCGGTTCCTGCTTTTTTCAGACATAAATATGTGCATATTTGCAACAGATGAAAATCTACGATTTCTCGCCGGCAGTGATTCGTATTTTTGTGACGGAACATTTAGTATGTGCCCAAACCTTTTTTACCAGATATATACAATTCATTCAATGATAGATGGAAAAATGTATCCACTCGTGTATGCTTTGCTAGCAAATAAGCGACAGGATACCTACGAACAAATGTTTCAGATAATATTAGATAGAACCCGTAACATTGGTTTAAATTTGAACCCATCAACAATATTTACCGATTTTGAGACCGCAGCACAAAATGCCCCAAGGATTGTTTTTAATTCTGATGTTAAAGGGTGCATGTTTCATTTTCGCCAGGCCATTTGGAAAGCTGTTCAACGTTGTGGACTCCAGACATTATTCCGGGACAACCCTCTTATAAGACAATTTGTACGCCACGCATCAGCTTTGCCACTGATAAGACTGTGTGATATCGAGGATTTTTGGTTCTTTGCTTTGGAAGCTGTAGATTTAAACATTCCACAAGTAGGGCGGTTCGCTGATTATATGACGGAGCAGTGGGTTGATAACAATGGCCGTAATGTGTGGAACCATTTTGATACAGCAGGGCCCCGTACTACCAACCACGTAGAAGGTTGGCATTCTAAGTTGAATAAAATGACAGCATACCATCCTAATATTTACAAGTTCATTAACTTAATAAAACAAGAACAATCCTATGTCGAAATCACCATTTCACAGATATTATTTGGTGGTAACAAAAGGCCTCGAGTTAAGAAATATCGACAACTTGATACAAGAATTGAACATTTGAAAACACAGTTATTAAGTGGCTCTTTAAGTGTAAATCGGTATGGAACAAATATTTCCTATTTAGTGGGGCTGTAAAATGATTGTTATGTTGTAAGGCATTTATTTATAAATTATATAATGCTATTTAATAAAAGTTAAATGTGTAAATTGTAATGCATTTTTATGTGTGTAAATCATTTAATGTTAAATAATTCTATTTACTAAAAGTTAAATGTGTAAATTGTAATCAATATATTTTTATATGTGTAAGCTATTTAATGTTATTTAATAAAAGTTAAATTTGTTAAAATCAATACAGTTTTAGTCTTAAAAAAGATATGGACTATAGTTTATAACACCATTGTTCTAGGATTAACTCTGGATTAGCGGCAAAATTTGACATCAAAGCCTGCCGAGTAAGTGGGAACACCCCGTAAATTTCAACGTTAGCGATTTCCGCCGTTCTCCGTGAGTAGTCGTAATTTTCCGCCAATAAACAAGCCGTGGCGTAATTGCTATTCTGAAGTTTTGTCAGCATATGCCATTTACCACCATGCGCTATATCGAACGGCGAAATGGAATGTGTTGACAATGCTCTGGAATAACAATATCTTAACACAAACGTGTGCTTTTAAAACAAAATGACGACACACAACATGGCGCAAAACTTGATTTTCAGTGTTAAAATCATTTTAACCATCACTATATCCTAACATATTACCTTATCAATATCGCGGTATCTTTCGTGTTATTGATCCCTATACACTTCCATAGCTTGATTACAGCTACTGGGATCAATTTTACAAAACTTCTAGGTATTCCATTAAATAAATATTCTTTAGGATGTCAACAATACAACAAAATCTCATGGCCTTCCATGACTTAAAAGTGTCAAAAGTGTTCGGCCACGAGCATAGTTGGGCGTTTTGGTAGAGGCGTCTAAATATTGATTCTATCATTGCTATCAATTAATATATTGCAAAGATACAGAAATGTGCATCGTCGACAAATATGTTCCATCATAGTAGTAAAGATAAACTGAATAAGAGGTATAGGCCATAGTAGCTGACATCGATCCACCAAAAAGCAAATTTAACATTTTAGTGAAAGAATGTGTTAATTATAGCATTCTCATTCCAAAAATCAAAGTTCTTAGAGAAATACCCCGCAGTTTTGATTACAGTTGGGAGACAAGAAGCGATTGGCCAAGGTAAGCAGTTAGTTGAAAAATAATTATTATTGTCTTTTGATAAATGAGTTCCTGTGTGCAAACTGACAGTGCACATTTGATATTTCAAGGGAGTTACATATCTATAAGAAGAAGTGGATTAACAGCTTGATAGGCAAAGCGCTTACATTGCACAGCTAACCATAGAATATAAATAGACTTGGGTTTGTCCTGATATAACCCACCTAGGCGTTGATTATGGACAATAAATTCCATTTCTTTATTCATTAATAAATCCGCCTTCATTTATTTCAGAACTGACAGTTACAGATCATCCAGTTATTTCATTCATTATTACATAACTTAAAAGTTAAAGGTTATATACATTTTACCAGCAGAAAATATGATGGATAAATTATCAACTTCATCTGCTGATACAAACAATACTGATACATCACCTTTTTTGAGGAACTGAATCCAAAAAGAACTTTGTATAATTAATACCAATTCGTAATGGATGGGGAATAATAGACTGTAATATTATAGTGACAATGATGGCATTCTGTTATAAAGATTCCTCATTTTTGCATTATATGGTTTTAATTTGTGTTTTTATGTTCACGTATTTGTGTACACTAAATGTATGTCTATATAAATACTGTCTATTTTTTAAAACTTTTATGTTGTTAATAACCGCCCTCTCTTTAGAAATGTTTAAAAAAATTAGATTAGACTATTGAAGAGAAATGAACTAAGCTTAACAATTTACTCCATAGATCTTTGTGGGTTAGTTCCCCAACTGCCAAATAAGCAGTCCCCCGACCTATGCACCTGGCCAGATCTAGAGTAGCCTACATTATCCGGCGAATGGTTTAACATGTACGCGTTTGGTAATAAGATCTGTCATTAAATCAAGTGGCGTGGTTTCGATTCCAAGCTCGTACGTGACAACAAGTAGGATCGTCCGTCCAACCTCTTTGTATTTTACTCCGGGTCCTAAGGTTTCCTCCCAGAGCTATATATTGTCTACTGCCAGACCCGCTGTCATACACCACTCACATGGGGGGGGGGGGGAACCATGTCGGAAAATACAGATGAACTTTCACAACCAACACCGGGATCGAACAAGGGACCTCCCATCTTCAATAGAAGGCTTGATCTCGCTTTAGCTACGTACATCTTATCAAAGCCTGCACGTAATACCATGCATATTGCGGCCCTAATTTCGAATGGGTACAAGCCCAGCTGGTGAGCCTTTCAGATTCCTCGATCGTCGCGAATACCAAGTCTCGAGCTTTCAAGCTAAAATGTCTACCTGTGATAATCGAGATGCAAAGTTCAAGGTTTATTCAATGTCAAGGTTTCCGTGGAGGTCGCGATGTCACAACCTCTGATTGGACGCTACTGCTCACGTGTATGTAGATAACATAGGGAATTGTGAAGTAAACAAGCAACGGCCAGATGTTGTAAAACTCGCAGTCGTTGCTTTAGGAACATGTGAACCTCCAGGTTTGTAAGCCATCGGGGCCCCCAGTTATGAAATGGGGTTTAACATCCCACTTTTCTGAATTTTATACTGCTATTGGTGAGTGGGTGGAGCTAGGGACCCCACATAGATCCGCCATTGATCACAAGTAGAAATAACATGTAGGCCTACGACGATCTCACGAGTTGACAAAATTGGGTCACAATCTTTATCAGCCAAACCACGAGCATACATATTTTATCATAGTGCTACATTGATAAGAGATAAATTGTAATGGTTTCGTTCATATTTTACTCTTCAGACTGATTGAACTCACGTTGCGTGGTTCTATTTATCTTAAAATGTTTCCGTATAGAAAAAGTGTCATTGCGTCTGCATGTGTTGTAAATAATAAACCACGTGTTATCATTTGTTTACATTCAACGATTGGCTAATTAAAGACATCTGATCAGATCTATGTCCAAATATGGTTTAAAGAGCAAGCTTCCGCAGTAAAATAATCCGCCAGCTGTGATCGCTAAATAAAAATACTTCGGGGTTAGAACCCAAGAACTATCGATATTTTTATTCAGAATACTTTCTATTGGTCAAAGTAAAGTTCTTTTAAAATTCCTGATGCTGGAGCAAAATGTTTTCTGATAACATTAGCTTGTGTCAGTTACTGGCCTAGTAGGAGTGAATTGTGGCATCATACAATGATGATGATGATCTGTTAGCGTTGTATGAACCGGTGGGGATATTATCGAACACTGAACACAATATTTTCACGTAATTAGCCAATAAAAGCTTATGGTAACTAAAACAAACCCCCACAAATTAAAACATAACATTGTAGAAATTAACATCATCAATAACTATCAAATGTAGAACGCCTTAGCCAGTTTAATATCAGGAAGGAAAATATGCACATCTGGCGTTAAATGAAAATAAAAAAATTCAAAAAAAAGGGTCGGTTTCATTAAAATCACAAGTACACAGAAGATTATTGTGACGTATGTGGCCTTCAACCGTTGAAATTCAAATTTTTCCCTAGTTTCACAAAATCTATTTATAAAAGTAAATTGACAGTTAGTCTCTACCGATTTGAAAAGAAATTTATTTCGGGATAAACAAATGTCGGTGAACATGACAGTTTTCAGACAACTGGTTTCATCATTGTTCACAGTATATAAATCCTGGACAGTGTCCTATCAAATTCATTCCTGAGATTGGTGAAGTTTCTGTTATCACCATGAACACTTTGTTTTGCCTGTTGGTGTTGTGTGTAGCGGGCTCAAGGGGTAAGTCGGGTTATTTCAAAGGTTACTTTTATTGGCTCGAGTAGGATCGGACATGGTCAGGTCAGAGCAGAAGGAGCGTGTTCCAGTCGGAATGGGCATACGATTTGTTGGGGGATATTCCCCTAGGTAAAAGGCGAAGGCGGAGCCCATTTCTACTTGCCGTCTTTGGTGGGCCTTTTGCACAACATGTTAACATGTACCCACTGAGCAGTCAGACTGACTGAATGTTCAGCGCTATAGAAAACGATTATTATTATTATTACCAATACATATACCATGTGCATTTAGCGTTGATCTTATGTAAATACCCAAACATAAACCATATGCATTTATAAAAAAAATACTTAATGAACAGTTTGAAACTGGTGTTTACATTTCCCATCTGGTCTGGTCCAATTTCCAGCTTTCCATGGAACTGGGTATTGCTATTAATTTCATATTAGTACTACCATATCTTGTTTGGTTTTTTAGTCTTCTTATTATGGGCCAATATGTCGATATTGAACAAATATATAATTGAAATGACTAGTGTCGATATAAATAAGTTTGATATTTTAATTTACTTAGAGAAGCGGGTATCAATTAGCTTTTAGGATGTAAGATCCACCAATAGATTCAATGTTTCAATATTGCTGATTTTGGGTAGTCTTACTCTTTAGCAACGAAAATAGGTACAGATAGATCACCAATCGCTCTAATCCATTAGTTCAGTACAAATTATGCACTTAATGTTGGCCCAAATCAAAGGAATTTGGTACTAAGCAGGCTTCCGTTTATCTATATCTCTGTCATGAAGTGATCGGATTCTTGACCAGATTTGACTTCGAAATGTTAGTACACACTAAACTGATCTAAACGCGAAGACTTACAACTGTAAGCGATAGAAATACCATTGATTGTACTATTTAACATCAATTACTTTTGACAGGATTACTCTGGGGTCCAAATGAGGTGTGCTATGACGATTATGGATGTTTTAACCGCGACAGCCCATATGACAACACTAACGATCTCCCAGTTACTCCTGATGATATCGCGCTACGTTTACAACTTAACAATAGAGCAAATCCAGATTTGACTAATTCAGATTATCTTACCCCAACCGATCTTAACAAAATCGGATCGAGTGGCTTCAACGATTCACTAAGGCTTGTATTAATTATTCATGGTTTTCATGGCTCTGCTACTAATGGTTGGGTTGGAGAAATGGCTAAGGAACTCATTGAAGCTGTAAGATATTATCTTATTTCTTCTTACCATTGCTTTAGATTATTAATATGGCAGATTAAGTTTGCAATGATCCTTTATTTGTCGTATGAAATGGCTGTCTCGTATATAATTTTGACATTTGAGACATATTTGATGGGGCATAAGGGGGTAGTGCGAACACTATTCAGATAGTTACACATTGAATTTAAAAGCGAAAACTTATTTTTTTTAAAAGTTTTATTACATTGCGCCAAGATGTTTCTGAACCATTCTTTATTATTTGTTAAAATAAACTCTATGAACTATCTTTCTTTGGACTAGGCTGATGTTAATGTTATTTGTGTAGATTGGCATGGTGGTGCCAAAACTAACAGTTACAAACAAGCTACTGCTAACACAAGATTAGTGGGTAAAATGATATCTGTTCTACTGAAAAATATAAACGCTAAAAGAGGGATCCCTTTCAGTAGGATGCATATTATTGGACACAGCTTGGGTGCTCATATAGCTGGTTATGCAGGACATGATACGCCTGTGTTGGGTCGAATTACTGGTACGTTTTACTCGTCTCTTTCTTTAGTTAATAATATATTAAGGATGTTTATGAGGGGTGGTCGGTGGTGGATAGAAAATGATAAAGCTGGATTCTGAAATTTGTGGACTATCGTCATATCTTTAGTTCTACAACATGTTTGGCACAATTACTCTTTTAGGGTCTGCGAAGTTATCAATCGCTGTGTATTCCTGCCTGTTGAATATGACATAATGTAGTTTATTAATTCTAATAAAAGTTGCTTTCCGTTTGTATATATATATATATATAGATATATATATATATATATATATACAGTAGTTGTTTGTGGTCGAGATACTATATTTTCATATAAATTATTCGCTTTCACTGAGAGGTCGTTAGAAATCGGCTTACCCGACGAACCCACTCCTTGTCACACACAAACGTGGGACTAAAACTTCTCATTTGGGGTATTCATATGGCTAAGATTGTTTCTATAATGCGATTCATGATGGTTAATTTTATGTTGGTATAAAGGTATGGATCCTGCTGGTCCCAGATTTGAGAAGTATGATGCGATGGTTCGCCTTGATCCAGAGGATGCCTATTTTGTGGACATAATTCATTCCGACGATGACAGGCTTCATGAACTCGGTAAGTTTTCTTATGAATGATTGTTTTAACTGGATCCACCTTCCTTCAAGTTGATTTATTAAAACGGACAACCTACTGGTAATTGTCCTTCGTAATACTCAGTAATTGTTTTGGATATAACTAGTGCAATTTCGTGTCTGTGCTCGCAGAATAAGGCCCCTAGTGGGGACGTAATACAAGATGTTGAGGTAGAAATAATTTAGGAATCTATCCACCTAATATGTCTTAAACTATACCTTTTCTGGGGTAAGCAATATCTTGACTGTATTTGCAGTGCAGTTGATCTGATTGCTGTACCGATTTTTTACTTGGTGTATTCGTCTTGGAATCATGGTCCTTGCCCGAGCACCCCATTGTCTACATGGATAGAACTCTGTGTTTTGCGATATCCCCTGGGTTCCCAACGTCTGGGTCGTGGCAGACCTACACTGAAACTTTTGAATAAAATGCTATGTTTTCATAAAAAGCATATAAATCTCTGATCCAGGGCCGTAACTAGCTCAGAGCAACGTGGGGGGGGGGGGGCGGGCGGGTTGTGTTCTCGGGGGTGCTGTAAAATTGACGGACATTGTGTTTCTATTGTTTTTATGATCGACAATTTTTTCACAAGGAGGCGAAACGTTTTGCTGCCCTCCCCCCTGTGGCCCCCTGCGCCCCCCGCCCCTTAGTTGCCAATTGTCAATCGTCTTTCCTCAATTTTTATAAAGGTGTAAAAATTTAAATACAGTAGGTCGCAAACAGATGCTGGTTTCTGTAATAGGGTCGGAACCAACAAAAGTGTGGGAATCACTGCCTTATCTGACAAAAACGCTACCCATGCTAATCAGGGTCCTGATTTGAAAATCTGAATGGTTCTTCGCTGACCATGCGTGATCAGTCTAATCGAGAGTCCAGTCTAATACTGCTCAGCATACCTGGGTTGTAGAATAAATGATCATTTTAAATTTACAGGCTTTGGTCTGGGGTTAGCTATTGGTAATATAGATTTCTACCCCAATGGTGGCGAGAACCAACCCGGGTGCAGCAAGAATTTGATGGACTATATCTCTAATCTGCTAGATTTTGAAGGTATTTAGATATATTATATTTTATATATATATATATACCAATAATATATAAAATCTATACCTTTCTAGTATATATTTAACTTGGAATAGTATGATATTTGTGTGTAAGGTAATATTGAACAGGGTTTTGAAAGAATTAGCTTCGGAGCCATTTGTGGCGAGTCTTTCTGTATTTTGACTAATTTATTAACGTAATATACGCGCGGAGAGAAAGTTTAGTGCATGCTCTATAATATAACAAGAAAAGATTGTGTGATTTCACTTCTTCGACAGTAATACATAGATAAGAGTAAAATGAGTACAATGATTCCCGAAAAGAGGGGCTCGAGTGTAAACCCTTTACTGTCAAAATTGTCCTTTGATTTTTAATGGTATGGTTTGAATTGTTGTTATAATTTATAAACCATTTAGTGACATACTGGTTTTTGATTTTGTTGTTGTTATGCATGGTTTCGGATGTGTTGTTATAGTGTGTATGCATATTTACCCTGCATTTATATTGCTGTATTAACTTGATAACGTCGCCTAAATATATTTAAAATACAGATGTGACGTCGTCATCCTTTGATGTTGGCGTACCATTATTTCCATTATTTCTAGTAATATATGGGCAACTTGCCAAATCTTTTGATGTTGGCGTACGATTATTTCCAGTAATATATGGGCAACTTGTCAACCGTACATTATCTATACTAGATGAAATATTGGACTCGTGTGACGTATTTTATTGAAAAGCACGTGCGGGATAGTGTCTGTATTTTAAGTTGTTTTATGGTCTCGAGCTAAAGACATTGCGTAATATATTGAAACAACACTCGGCTATCAGTATCAATATATCAATTTAATGTCCCGCTCTCGACGATTAAACAATACATAATTCCCAGTTTGCTATCAAAATATATTTTCCTTTACAGAACTGAGCGAACAGGTAGCGTGTAGTCATATGAGAGCCATTCACCTATTTATATCGTCAATAAGACGATGTACATACACCGGATATCGATGTGCTAGTTATTCAGATTATCTGGATGGTTTATGTGCAGATGGGAAAACTTTTCCAATGGGTTACTGGCTTGAACCATCATATTATAGCGGATCATACTACCTACAAACCAGTGGCAACGAACCGTTCTGCTAATCAATTCTAATAATTCCTTAATAAAAAAAGGTCTAAAACCTAGGGAAAAATTTATTACGTTTGTTTTTATACACTCACATTTAATGTGGAAGTATATTGTCGATTCCCTTTCACGTCCGTCTGTCGACCTGTCCAAAATTCTTCTATTTTTTCTCAGGGTTAACCTACTTCTATCACTGAAACGAAGGGAGTGTTTAAAAAAAACAATCATTGTGCCTTATGAAAACAACACCAAAATCAACGTTAGATAATCTCCCCGTTTGAATTCAGTCAGATTTAAAAGGGGCCATCAAAGATATTACCCGACGTTTATGTGAGCTGCTCGCTTGTCTATATTGTCTGCAAAACATGATGAATTTTGATAAACTTTAAATTCGTTATATCTTTGTAAATAATGAACCGAACTGAATCATTTTTGGACTGGTTATCCTTTTAAATACACACAATTGTGACCATATTGTACTTTGCGAGGCTCTAACAATTCCACAAATGACGACCAGAAGATGTGGTTAGCGTCCTACCTTTCTAAACCGACCGGGCTATTAAAGACGGGTATACACCATGTAGTGGGCTATGAGGGAAATTTCGCCCAGACAGACAGCGATGCTACAGCGTACTCTTATATTGAAATGCAACAGCTAAGGGTTATTGTACGTGCACGAACGAGTAGACAACTGTCCTTATCAGTTCCACCTTCCTGCATCACTAAAAATACTTGTACGTAACAAGGAGTACGATAGCCTGTCCAACATCGTGGGTTTTCTTCTGGTCCGCCGGTTTCCTCCCTTTACGCAATCTATTTAATAAAATAGTACCATAATAATATGCTAGTCTAGACGTTGCCTCGTTTGTGTCGAGAGGACGTTAAACCTCATCTCATTTCAAGGAAGGCGTACAATATCCTCTCTTTATCCAGTTGGAATAAAACAAAGTGCAGTTAAGTTCATGTTGTACGGAATGTCATATCTCCCAAACATGTAAAATTCTTATACCAGAGTTTGAGGGGTTGTCGGGTGTACAATGCCATAAAGTCTGTACGAGGTCCGTTTTATAATGCCTATGACATGGCACACTTCATTAAAGGGACAATAACACTCTTGCTGGCTTGACAGCTCCAGAAAATAAAAAAATAGCCTTATTCTAAGTATTAGATGTGTTAGTGCCCTACCTGTTGTGTAAATTATCCATTAAATCCTATTTTACTTGTCCAGAGGGTTCAAAATATTTTTAAATCCAAGTCACATTTGAAAAGCTTTACGTCAGGCTTTTCAAATCATTTAGTTGAATTTTTCCAATTTTTTAAATTAGGTGTGTTAAGATGAAATTTGTATCATCAATTAATGGGAATATTGTAAAATAGTGTAATTTGTTGACCAGAATAAAGATTGGGACATATTATACAGTTACACCAAGATTGGTATTGAGCCTTTAAACTCCATTTCAATTCGTTTTACTTAGACGAGGCCATGGGAATACAATATTAGGTTTTCCAGACATAGGGTGCATACCTTGCCCATACACGTAGCAATTTGTACATCTGGGGTCAAAGTATACCCGAAACGAAATCTAAGCGTTTTGTTTTATACATCCATTCAAGCCCGGGTCACATTTGTTAGAAGCAGTTTCTGTGGAGATTCTTGGCAGGAAATTATTACATTGTAGGTTGGATACAACACTAAAGAACCCTTCACAACACAAAACGATGTCCGGGTAAAATTCGCTTATTTGTCGCGTTAAACAAATGGCCCTAGAAAATATTGACCGACGTATTGTGTTATTTAGATTCAGAGTATATTTCCCTAGATTTAAATGCTTCGTATTTTATTTCCATTATTATTACAGCTTTATGGAAAACAAAATATGACAGCAGTATGTAACAAAATATGGAAATATAATACCGCACGTTGTGTGTTATTGACGTTATTGTGTATATTCTGAATACATATACGGTATACTAGTGTTGAAAGAGCAAATAAACAGTTTGAGAGGTCGAAAAAGCGGACAAGATATACGAGTGCAATATACATGTTTTAATGATTTTAAGGCCATGAAAGTTTATATTATTCTATGCAAATAGAATGAATACAAACGGTATAAATATCAACAGTATGATACTCTTCACCTGCTTATCGATTAAATATCAATTTTATGTAAATCAATGAATGACGTTTTGTAATACTGAGCCCTGCACAACAACAGAGATTGTTCTTTCTTCAATAGACAGTTTAAATTGATCGTCTAATTTTAGCGGCATATACAATAAAGCAACGCGTTTTTTATTCTATTTGAGACAGTTTACGTTTGTCATTAAGACAGAATATATTCTTGAATGTTTGTTTTGTTTTCTGTTCTTAGAAGATACTGCTTAATCGTACAATGGATATCTTTAGAGCATTGCCGTTACATAATGTGAAGAGTTGCGGTAGGGGAGCGGCTAAGACAATGGACATTTAATTTGAATGTGCCAGGATTGCTCAAGCTGATTTCGCACTTATCAAGTGTAGTAAAGCTTTAATATAATTTGTATCAACTTTAGATTAATATTGTTATATGGTGAGAGTCGCTTATTTTTTTTAGAATGCTGGATATTATTTTAATTTATAATTAACTTGTTTTCAAACTATTCTGCCTATTTTGTAGACGCACCTTTCTCCAACTGATAGCGTAAATAGAATGCCATCTATATTTCGTTCCCGGTTGTTAACCATTTAATATATTGCGCGCATTTTTCAAATCTTCTATACATGGTCCACATTAGGGCAATTCCATTCATAATTTGACCTATATCAAGGGTATAGCAGAGCAAGGATGTGGGATTTTTTCCATTCCGAGATGAGTAAGAGACGTTGATGCTGATTCTAGTTATTATATATACAGTTATGATGTATTTTACTATATAAAAACGTATTAGAAGAACGTGATTTGCTTACTTAAAGCGAGAATTTCAAATTTTCTAAGAAAGTCAAAACATAATCATTTCTATGTCTTTTTCTCAATAGGTTATCAAATCACTATTATACGATCATGGGCATTATTCCCCACCCTTAAAAATCTATGACACAGGAAATAAAAACACAATTACCTCCCCTGTTTTGCTATTGACAACATGGGGCAGCCATTTTCCAACGTTGGAATTTGAAGTTAAAAATTATATTTTTGCCAATTTCTCAGCTGGCAATAGCGAATTATAGGATAAATACGATTATTCTTTAACAAGGTAGGACTGTTTATGGATACCATCTATTTTAAGGCTTTATTTTAATACATTTTAAAAATATAACTTGAAAATTTGCAATTGCAACTTTAAAGAACACAACGTGAGAACATATTAAAGTCCGTAGTGAGGTCGAATGTGAAACACAACGTGACGTCAAGGATTTGAGAGCTGTAACATGATATTATAATTTTAAACCGTTAACCGGGATCGCCTTATATATCCGATCTGTCATGTTACATGTCGGGTTCGGTGCCGCTTTGTAGAATACATGTAGTGTAACACGGGGTTTGATTAAGAATTGCTGCGTTGTAAATTTTATCTAAAGACCTAGTAATTCAAGAAGTCTAAGATATTGAAAATAAGACTATAGTAACAATTTTAAAGTTTATTAACTTCCTTCATATTGATGACAGTATATGATCTAAATTTAATCGTACAATTTATTGATACATTTACATACAGACGTCTGGCAACACGACTATATCTGGATCTGTAATTCCTGGTGTGACATAACCAAAACCGACATCGTCTAAATATTTCGAGAAGACCGAAAAAAACCAAAGAAACTAGAAATGAGCTAACCCTAAGTTTCAAGAAACATAATAAGTGGGTTGAATACCTGAAGAAAAATCTTTGCTTTGTCTCGTAGAAGTGCAAAATACGAATCTAATTTGTTTTTTAATTTAACACCAGGAATCAAAAGTAGAATATCTCAGAATTGTACTATAACAAAATCTTTTAGCCAGGAAAGTATTGACTTCGGTGAACCAGAATCCAACCATCTCATATCATCTTTAATGTATGATTTGGACCAGCAAAGAGATATTGTGGAAATGATATATTGTATATTTTATAGAGGTATTGACTTTAAGGAAATCTTGGTCATTCGGTAAAAATAATTTCATTTTGTCATGATCTAACTATATAACTCATTTGAGTAGTTTACAAAGTTCACGTGCAAAATACATTGCTCTTAGTGTAGTACTTTGGTTCTTAAGACCATACTGTATCTTTGACTAATTGTTGGTTCACATGTACTAATAAAAGTAAATGACATGTGTATATGTAATAGTGATATATTGGTAAAATCCTTACTATTGTCAAAATATCCATCAAATTCTATCTGTTTGAGACATGTGGTTGATAGACCAAATAAGGTCATGTCCCCACACCCCAGGTCTTGAGAGAATGGAGATGTTTATTGCATATTTGGGAAGGGAATTAACCAAGAGGGTGTTGAGCGAAATTAATCAGAACTTTAACTAAATTATACTATTCAAAAAAAGTAGGGGATATTTGATTTTGGGGGCATAATACTAAAATATGCAAATGACTACGAAAAAAGTCACTATAGAACCTAACAGAAGAAACATTTCCAGTTACATGTGACGCCCAAACGCACCAATAGCTACCGCATGGAATGCAGGTGATGCTTGGGATCATCATGGGGGTCCAACCCAAGATTTGCACGACTCTGACTTTGAATGTTACAGTCATTGTGGCATTGAATTCCAGGGTGGAAACATCAGTTTAATTGTTTTAGTGACCAGAAAACAAATTTTGATATGCGTCGTCTTAACCAAAATGAAAGGTTACGTGCCCTTGGCATGCTACAGATCGGCACGACGTCATGGCCGCCGTTTCATCTTCCAGGATGACAACGCAAGATGTCACAGGGCCAGGATCGTTACAGGTTACCTCCAACAACAGAAAATCACCACATTACCTTGGCCAGCACTGAGTCCCGACCTCTCCCCCATCGAGCATGTCTGGGACATGCTTGGACAGAGGTTACGTCAACGCCAACAACGTCCTGCCAATGTCCAAGAACTTGCTGCTGCGTTGCAACAGGAATGGGACAATCTGGACCAAAATGACCTTAGACGTCTCATTAGGAGTATGCCACGTCGGATCGATGCTTGTTTGGCAAACAGAGGAGGATTTACCCGTTACTGACTTGGTTGTGATGCTGTGGTAACTTTGCTGTTTGACCCCGGGTATCATTTTACCCTTATAATGGTCAGTCTGTGCCTTACTTAGTCTAACGATCATTTGGAATAAATCGATGAATGTGAACTTCATTTCATTTTGTCATTTGTTTCTTCGTCAGTTTCATTAGGTGACTTTAATAACACTTAAAAATCAAATATCCCCTACTTTTTTTGAATAGTATATTTTAAGTTTATTCTCTTCGCAAATCATCGAATAGACTTACATCGCTAAAAAATGAAATGGGGTTTGGCGTCTTACTTTTTTTCTCCGACTGGATTGATGAAGATGGCATACGCCATACAATGTGCTAAAAGTGAAATTTTGATCTACTCTTATATCGAATTCAAACTGCCTAGCGTTGTTTTACGTGCATGTCATTAAGTACATGGGACAGCTGTCATTGTCATACCCTTTAATATAAGATGCTAAAAGTAAGACGATAAATAACAATTTATTATGTTTTATTAACTTCGTTCATTTTGATGAATGAAAGGGTCTTGCTATACATTGACACAGAAGACAGGCAACTTGAATATGGCTGCATCTTTAATTCCTGGTGTGACGTAACCATAACCGACATCATCTAAACCTTTGGTGAAAACTAAAAAAAAACAGAATGGGAAATGGGGTGATGAAAAAAAAGAAACGTCGACTATTTAAGATGTTGAAGGGGCATTTATAGCTTAGAGGCGATCATTTTTTGTGTCGTGATTTAATTATAAATCCGATTAAGAGCAATATGTGAGACAGGTCTGCAAATTCTACAATAAGATATACCGTTAGATCATAGCATTTAGAGATTCTTTCTAGAACTACTGATACCACTTCTTTTTTCAGAAGATTACATAGCTGACAGACATTAGTAGCACGGTTGTATTATAGTGGTTTAGTGGATATTCGTGCAAAATTTCGTTGCTTTTAATTAGTCAGTTCCTGCATTTGGACATAAATACATAATGTCACGGGTATACTGATACAGAAAATAAGTTATACTTTTGTTGAAAGTGATAATGCCCTTTTTAAACAAGATTTAACAGCCACGATGGGGGGGGGGGGCGCGTCGGGACAGTGGGTAAGAAGCCGATTCGCTAACGCAGAGCTTCCCGGTTTTCCGTCGTGGTTTCCCCTTGTCAGTAGAGCAGGACAGGGGCCCTGACAAGTCGTTGTAATAGGATGGAAAAAAAAATAATAAACGTGATCCAGTTTACACATTGGAATTCGAAATAAAAGTACCCCTAGCAAATCTCCATCATATCACACTGTTTCGTTGGATTTCAACATCCATTATGTATATCAGTATGAATAATCAGCGCCATTGTTACCATGACAACAGGTGACAACAAGTTACAAAAACAAGAACCAAATATGAATTGTTCATGAGTTATTATATGATGTATATATACTGTTGGTCTGGTAGTAAGGTTTAAAAATCACCATCGTGTCATCCCGATCTGGATACAGCGGCAAATACTGACTGGGTTTTGTTTTCTTTGGTCGAGTGGCGAAACGGCACGTACTTGAAACAGCAAAATAGTTGCCAATAGACATACTCATACTGATATTAAAGTCTTTGGTGGTTGCATTATATTTAACAGTGGCCATTGGATGATCTTCAAAATCATTTTTCAACATGTCTGTAAATCATAAGAAATTTATTGTGTCATAAGAGGCCCAAGGTTTTGATTAACAGCAATATTCCATTGTTGGACACACAACAGCCGATACCACAATCAGTCTTTTTTCTTTTTTTTGCACACTTCTGAACAACACAAATCATTAATTGTATAGCAGATATGACTATTATAAACGCAAACGTTTATATCAAACACAACACTATAAAATTTGTTCGTATAGAAATACAACGTAAGGACGAAACTGTGATAATGTGTTTCTGTGATAATCTAAACAAAAAAAAAAACCTTCTCGGAGTGCCAGTTTGATCATTTTAAGTTTTCGAACACCTGATACTGCTTCAATAATGGGTATCCCTTAGGATTTATGGCGCACTAAAAGACTATCCAGACTACTACGTACATTTTACGATAACTTCTATCAATTTAAATTGAACAAATGAACTAACTAATGACGATTACCTTTGCACAATTTATGAAAATTATCTGCTAATGGTGATTTTGTACAGGTTTTACTCTCCATGTCTACCGTGTATTGGGTGAGCTGAAAGATATTCATAGTTGACAACTGAATAACAAAGCCAAAATTCATGCAACTGTCTTTCGTATGCAAAATTATCGATTTGAGATATTAATTTAAGATGGAACGAAATAAGTTAACATTTTAATTAAACTGCGTATACAATTGTAGTATCTCATTGGTTTGACATTTATTGATTAAACATAAGAGATTTGGTTTCACTTTATATAAGAAAAAACATAATCCTTTACAATCTCAACAGATATATACCATTTAATCCGTGCTTCCTTTCAATTTATGGACTCATGTCTTTGGGATATATTACGTACAGTAATTGTATAAGCATGTTTGTAATACTGCATGAACCCACCAAAAACACACACAATAGTAATTTTGCTTTTAAAGTCATCTAGTAACTATGAGATTGAAGACGTGCGAAGCCATTACTAGCGGTAGCGGGAATAGTAAAAGAGAGAGAGAGAAATGGGGTTTAACGTCCACTCGACACAAACTAGGTCATTTCGGGACTAACATATGGTTTTTTTAATTATTTCAATAATTCGCTTGCGCGTAGGGGTCTTTAGCAGTGGGAGGAAACCGGAGGACCCGGAGAAAACCCACGAGGTTGGACAGGCGACCCTACTCCTTGTCACGTACAACCGGGGATTCGAAACCACGCCAGTTGACTCAATGACAGGCCTTATGATACAGCGCGCACGTGCTAACCATTCGGCCATCCAACCCCCCAGGGAATAGTAAGAATGTTAGACGGGTCGCCGTAGCTGCCAAAAAATTGTAACATTAGTGCAGCATTCCTATATACCAGCGTTCCGTCCTATAGCATATTAAAAATGAAGATTTTTTTGAACCCTCTCTGCAGACAATATCTGGTTTATCGTCTAAGGCCGAAGTATCGGGAAAGGAAAATGAAAATATTATATAGATAAATTTTACATCTTGTTAACCCGATTTGCTTTGTATTCACAGTAATGCCACAGAATAAAAACGCGATTCTTGTATAGTTATATGCCTTTGAAACAAAAGTATAAACGATTGTAAATTTTGATTTGAAACGAGACAAGAAGAAACAAAGGCAATCACTTATGCACCCAATCTGAAAATCTGGCTATAATTATTAATTCTATAATTATCATTTCAAGAAATAAATATGAAAATAATAGTAGCTACCTTAAAGGGTCATTGTAAAGATTAGATAAAGAGCTGGCACTTATCGCTATAAAAGTTAATAAATAGATAATTAAAAAAGAATATGCTAAAATTACAGCCACATTGCCTCTTTTTGAACTGAGATATTAGCGATTCACATTAGGGCTATATAGCCTCGATCGTCATAATAGCAGCTACCTTATTGAAGTCTTGTATCACTCTAAAACTTTTAGTTTCATTTCTAACGGGGAAGTCGAAAGAATATGAAGCGTCGAATACTATCTGTTTATAGGTTGCATCGTAATATACATCTAAAGCCTTTGTCTGAATAAGACAATTTTTAATGAACATGGAAATATACACTAATACATTAAATCAAAAAATCGCAAAATCGACACCGGCTGGCCTACTTGGGTCTGAAAAAGTCCTTCGGGATTGTCTACCCTGGTTTCTTCCGTGTCAGTAGTGCTTGTCGGAGGTCTGGTCAGAAAAAGACAAGTGGTAGCTCAGATGGCACGAAAAGCCGAGGTCTCATGCATACCATTGTTGTAACGAAGAAGTTCCCCTGACAGGAGAAAAGCAAAACTTTAAACCGCATTCCATTTAATTTAAAGATATTGTATATAGTGAACAATGCAGTAATCAATAGAGTATATGCTTAGTTATTAGTTTAATACCAAGTGGATATGTTTACTAACCTTAATATCAAAAAGAAACTCTTGAAATTCATGAAAACTTTGGCTTGTCATTAAATGCACATAAAGCAATACCACCAAGTATAACTGTTAGTATTACACATAACATGCTGATTAAACTTTAAAATCTCAGTCTATTTACCGAATGACAAATTATTAACCATCTACAGTTTATATAGCTAATTCATGTCGTTAGTTTTAAATGCTCTACAAAACCCCAACCCATATTTCTTATCACTTATTATTGCGAAATACTGTTTCACTTCTTTTTCTCTTCGTCTTTCTGGCTACTTTCTTAACATTAAAATAGACTAAAATGGAGGCCTTCTGTTTATGGTATATTTTACCTGTAAAGAAAGAAAAAAGCCAACCCATATTTCTAATCACATTTTATTACGAAATACTGTTTCATCTCTTTTTTTTCTTCGCCACTCTGACTAAGTGAATTAGTACAGTGATAGGGTACAGATCACGAAATCTCGTCTGATGGTTCAAAAATCTTGGAATTAGAAGATAAGTAGGGGTAACACCCTTGTACTAACACAATTATCAATACCGGCATAACCCCCCCCCCTCCCGCACCCTCCCGCACCCTCCCCCTGGTTACACACAATATTGAAGATAAAGTTATCTCAAAATCAGTCTTCACCAGTATATTTCTATATTTAAATAGACTATATGCACAATGAAAAAAATATCTAACCAAATGACTTTTTTGTTATGGTCACTAGTTTGTATAAATTGTAACCGTCTCTGCCTTGTATCCACCTTAGACGAAGTTATAACAAAATATTAATTCGTTATAACGGAATCATAACTCGTTTAAACAAAACTCTGGAACTAGGTCATTTCGGGACTAATACATGGTTCAATTTTATTTCAATAATTCGCTTGCGCGTAGGGGTATTTTGCAGTGGGGAGGGGGGGCAGGCGGGCCCTGAGAAAACCCGCGAGGTTAGAGATCCGAACCTACTGCTTGGCACGTACAATCGAAACAACGTCACTTGGCTCAATGATAGACCTTATGATTTCACACGCACCACTAGACCACCCAATCCCCCTTTCGCTGGAACTGCAGGTCACGGAACACTGAAAAATCGATAGGGTTCATACTCTTATGAAATGAAATGAAATGGGGGGGTTAACGTCCTACAGTTCTGCCCGACTGGGCTAATAAAGACGGGCACGCGCAATACAATGTGCCATGAGGGAAATTTTGCCCAGACAGCGGCGCTACAGCCTACTGTTATATTGAATTTCAACTACCAAGGGATCTTTTATGTGGCCGCCAATGTGTACACGGAACCTCGGTTTTTCGTCCCAACTGAACGTCTAGACGGCTGTCCTTGTCAGATCCTCTGTCATGCATCACTGACGAGGGGAATCCACACCGGAAAATCCCGGTGTCGTACTCACTTAGCCACCGCGGCTTCCGCATACGCTTGTAAAACCCAATATGTTTAAAACTATTGCTTCTATCGAGTTCACAAGGTTTTCGTATCATGTGGGGGAGGGGGGGCGGAAGATTGTGGAAATTAATGTTTCGTTATAACGAATTAATATTTCGTTTTAAAGAATTACTATTTCATTTAAACGAAATAATTATGTAAGAGTAAGAGTGTAATCGTTCACGATATAACTATGTTCTAATCTTTGATATATAGGAATTAATTATTGTAAACTGTACTTTAGTATTTATCTTGATATTGTATTTAATGTAATCACGTGATAAAGACAATACTATCATAATAATAACAAAATCAAATACATTTCCAAATCAAATACTTGTATATGTCTGTTCTTTGGACTACGGCCTTGAAAAAAAAAATTAATATATATTCTACATTATTTATATATATTTATAATTATGTGCTGTAGGAGAGATCTAGTGGTTTAACGCGTGCGCTTTATATAATGAGGTCTGTCAGTGAGTCAAAAGGCGGGGTCTCGATCGTGTACGAAGAGAATTATTGACACATAATGGAACTATTCCTTGATAGCTAATGTTATAAAGATAACCTAACAGGCGTAATCAAACGTAAAGTGGTGTATATCGACGATATGTAATGTAGAATGGAAAAGCAACACGCTTCGTGTATAGATTGCATGGTATTTCAATGTGACCTACTTTACCGATATAAAAACTCTAAACTTATTTGATTTGTCATTCAATAGATTGTGAATTCAACGCTTGTTAAAATCACCATGCTATCAATAGCATTATCTATTGTTCTTGGTAGTATTATTACTCTATGTAGTGCTTCTATCAACTCAGACTGTTGTCTTCCTGATCAATTTGAAACTCATCTTGACAAGGTTTTTAACGCTGGCTTTGGTACTCACGGCAGTACGGATATTGCCAATATTGGTGTAAGTATTCACCTTCTTACCATATGGAGAAGGTTTTAAACGCTAGTTTTGGTACCGACGGCAATACGTATATTAATAACATTGGTGTAATTATTAACTTTTTTTTACCATATGAAAAAAAAAGCGAAGACTGACACGGGTATCTCGGGGACACCTTTTCTTAACTAAATTTTAAATCAAATTGAGTCTTTCTCGACTCACAAATATTTGAAATTGAGCACCTATTTTGTCCTTTATTTAAAAGAACATGCTATCTTATATTTGGGGGTAAATCAAGATGATATGTTGATATTGTTGTACAAGATTGATATCTTTCAACATTTTAACATTATATGCCCGTAGATTCAGCTAATTTATGAAACCTATTTTAAGTAAAACAAAACTTAAACTAGATCTGCATAGCAGATATGAAAGCTTTCATATTAACTGCAAAGGGGGTTATTAGAATCTATTGAAACAATAAGTATAAATGTCATCAGGTATCTGAAAAATTACATTTACCTTATGAACAAAATGGGAAAAATACAAAACAAAAATTGTCGACTTGTGGCTACCATCCAAGGCATATTTAGAAAACCGTATATTATATTTATAGAGTACGCAGGACAGGAATTAGTTGTGCTTCAATGTAAACCGGCCCGTTTCTTGCCTTTAGTTTTAGAGTTAGGTGTGATTTTCAAAAGATTCAATCGGAAATCGCTGAAAATCAATTGGCTTCTTCATCTCATGACCTTAAACACTGTATAAATTTAAGGTCAATCGGATATTGAATTTAGCTTCTAGAGCGTCCACAAGATTTTTTAAAGTGATCAAGGGCAATAACTCTCACGGTAATTATCGGAAATGGCAGTAAATATCAGATATCGCTGAAAATCAATACTGTAGGCATCTTCGTGTCATGACCATAAATTTAGAGTCAATCGGATATTAACTTTGGCCTCTAGAGCGTCCACAAGATATTTTGAAGTGATCAGGGGCCACAACACTGCGCATAAATTTAAAGTCAATCGGATATTAACTTTGGCCTCTAGAGCGTCCACAAGATATTTTGAAGTGATCAGGGGCCACAACTCTGGCAGTAAATATCAGATATCGCTGAAAATCAATCGCCTACTTCGTCTCATGACCTTAACCACTGTGTATAAATTTAAAGTCAATCGGACATTAACTTTGGCCTCTAGAGCATCCACAAGAATTTTTTTAAGTGATGAAGGGCCATAACTCTGACAGTAATTATCGGAAATCGCTGAAATTCAATTTCAATGTGGGCGTATAAAAATTAACCGATGGCATATAATATTTAATGTATGATAAAGACAAAATAGTCGATTTCGGTTTTTGGTGTTGCGCTCATTTTAAAAAAAAATGTCTTTTACGGATAATGTGTATAGTACTAATAGCAATCACATACGGAAGAGGCGATAAGATCCCTTTGCATTTGGAATTTCAAAATTAATTAAAACCAAATTTAAATTCCGAAAATCGGTTGTTTATTTTTTGCTGAAACTCCTTTTTTTAATCTGATCAAAATGGGAGTAAGTCACAGAGTGGTAATTGGCATATTGTGTCCAAATTTCATGGTTTTGGGACAATCGGTGCCGGTTTCGTGGCGAAAATTCCACTTTTTTCGCCCTTACAGAAGCCGTAAAACGAACGGCAGGAACCGTGTCAAGAACAAACGATCTCAACGAATGCAGGTATCGCCTTGAAGTTTTCAGTGCACCTAGGTACCAACGTGAAAAGTTCCTCGCCGGAATTTGGTAGTCAACGTACCTTTGGTTCCAGCGTGGCACATGCGCGAAGCAAAAAGAAATTACGGTCGATTTTGGGATTTTGGCTATATTTCGGAGTGGTTTGGTAGATGACGGTGGATTAGGGACTCAGATTGATCTAAAATGGCGATCATAACACAACATGATAATCACTTTGAAGTATAGGTAAATTTTCGCGACCGGGTTGTTTTGCTCTACCCAGGCAACGTTCCTGTGCTCCGATTGCCTTCAAATTTGCACAGAATGTACCTTGGGATTCTAGCTATCACATATTAAAAATAGAAGAGTGTTGGATTCCGATGGGATTCTAGCTATCACATATTAAAAATAGAAAAGTGTTGGATTCCGAGAACGTTCAAAATAAATTCAAAACCCACCCCCAACAATCAAAGGTTTTTTGCTTAAAAAATTGCCGTATTTTATCGAATTTTTATTGTTCTTGATATCTGAGGATTTTCTCAATTTAATATGTGATAAATATCATCGCGGCGCAGCCAACCGCTAGAAATTCCAGAGATTTGGACCACCGGAAGGATGCCTCAGCAGTCAAAAAAGGTCAAAATAGGCGATTTCGGTTTCTAGTGTTGATACATCGTTACGGTCATTTTAAAAAATTGTCTTTTAAGGATAATGTGTATAGTACCAATACTTATCACATAAGGAAGAGGCGATAAAATCTCTTTGCATTTGCAATTTCAAAATTAATTAAAACCAATATTAAATTCCGAAAATCGTTTTTTTGCTAAAACTCTTTTTTTTTAATGGGATCGAAATGGGGGTAAGGCACAGAGTCCGGGGTGGTAATGGGCGTATTGTGTCCAAATTTCATGGTTTTCGGACAATCGGTGCCGGTGTCACGACGAAAGGCAGGTGACAAGAACAAACGACTTGAACGAATGCAGGTATCACCTTGAAATTTTCAGGGTACCTAGGTACCAACGTGAAAAGTTGCTCGCCGGAATTTAGTACTCATGGTACCTTTGGTTCTAGCGTAGCGCATGCGCGAAGTCAAATCCAGCTAAACTCGAAAACAACCTTGTCGGCACGGAAAACATAAAAGGAGAAATTCGAATTTTTGAAATATTCAAATACCAAACGTTCGACCATGATCCAGGCTATCCTGGAGACATATTCTCTAGGTCACGACCAATTGTATATGTTTTCAAGCCCATAAATGTGGATTTTTCACTAATTGTCATTTTCAATTCAAAATGGCGTCCATCATTTGCCGGAAATCAAAATTGTGTTATCTACCGTTTTTCGGCTTTCCTTCAAGGATTCGGAAAATATAATTGCCTTGTCTGTAAGTAAAATATCAAAAAAGCCTTATGTAATTTTCACATTTCAAGGTGGTGGCATTTCCGGTTTGAGCTACAAACTCAATTTTTTGTGTACGAATCAGTAGTGTCGTAGCTAGTAAAGAAAAAAAATCAAGGCAATCTGAACTATATTTCGTCGATTTTTTTGAAAACTTTGATCCTTAATTTCATCAAGGGGAGATAATTTAGCAAATTTCTAATCATATTTTTGAAGTCGCATTGATAAGATCTACTTACATTCTAAATTTTATGAAAATCGTGCATCTATTAAAAAAGTTTTCAAATTGATCTCAACTTCCGGTTCAAAATCACATTTTAAGTAAATGTTTCAAGGCACCCCTCAAAAAAAGAATTAGTAAAATAGGTCAAATAGTTACAAAGTTACAGTAATGTAGGTCAAATGAATTTGTTCGTAAAATTCGGTGATTTCGGATTCGAAAAACGATTTGAAAATATATTTAATCAACATTCGCACCCCATTTTTTTTTGGGGGGGGGGGTAGGTCAAAGTTTCAGATTGATCCTATGGTTAGATTCTGAGAAATTCGATTTGTAGAAATGACACAAAAAAATAAAAATAATAATAGGAACTAGTGGTATCAGATGCCTCAGAGAGAATATTCAAATGCTCCTTGTGATACGTTTGTAACACAATTATAACCTAATGTATTACACGGGAGTGGAGTGGGTGGGTCGGGGGGCTTTTCGATTGGCAGGGGACTATTAAAATGGGTAAGCAGAGATAAGCAATTTGATGAAACTTTGTGTATAGTTTCATTACATTAGTACCTTGACCATATTACCTTGACCAAGTTCGACAATGAGCATTCTCTTAGTCAGGATAAGCAAAGCAACTTGATTGGCCGGGACTTTGAATTGGTTGATGCTTTGGGGTATGATAACTTTGGTTATAATGAAGTACTGGAACATAACAACCCAGCTTTTAATTGAGCTAGAATGTTTAAACTTGGTGTAGATGTTCATCAGGTCTTGACTGAACATTTTGAGCTACAGCTTGGCAATTTCATTGGTCGATGCTTTGGGACAAGATAACCTTGATTTCTATCTGACAGAGAGTGATGCAATTTACAGTATAGTTTGATTGCTCGATACTTTTGAAAAAAATATGAAAGTGCGATTAATTAATGTGTCATCTTTTACTTTGGGGTTTTGGCGGGAGACATCAGCCATACTGTTTGCTTGTTTAATATCCCCTATACAATATACGCTCGACCTCATTACCCGAACTGGGGTAGAAAAGTGGGATCTTTGACAATGAGGCAATGAACTTGTACATTCTTTTGCAGCTGCACAAGAGGGAACATCAACGCCGGATTAACCATGGTGGTGGGGAGGGGGGCTGATACCGACCGTGAAGCCCCGCAAGGGGGTCGGGTCAGGGGGTTCTCCCGCTAAGAAATTTTAATTGGAGGCCGAAAACGTGATTTCATGGCATTTCAGGCACTTGTGTCGGAGCCATTTAGAAGTACCTCCCCCAGAAAAATAAAATTCTGCCACAAAATTAGCCACAATCCATGCGGGTGCTGTGAAATTTCTAGAGGAGGGAGCTGGAACCCATGAGCCCGTTAAATTCGCCACTGTAAATGAGCAGAGCTACATCAAACCTAATTTTGAGTCCCTCAGTGATAAATAACTTGATTCAAAATCGTATTATAGCCCCAACGACGATTTGATGAATGGAGACCGTAACGTTACGACAAAGTCTAACACTGTAAGTACCAAATAGTCATACGAGATATGTGCATCTCATCAAATTCAGCTTATACCATACCCACAATAATGTTACGGAGTCAGTGAGTTCAAGTTAGACAATACGCTGACCTTCCACTGACCATGCTTATAATATAAAATCTGTCAATGACAGCTGATTCATTGTTTAGTTTTTTATATGATATATTTAATATCAATAATATATGTATATGCATGCTTTATTTTACTTTACACGACCTCTAAAAATGCCCCAAATCGTAAAAATACGACTTTTTGGATTTCGATCTCCTTTTTTCGGCTACCCCGGACATTTTCAAAAAATGATACAATGATTTCACACAACAGGCCAGCTATTAGCCTCTCGATTGACAAGAGTTTCATCGCACTCCATTCATTATAACCAATGTCATCGTGCCCTAAAGAATCAACAAATCAGCTTGCTTATCTCTGCTTACCCTAGGCAAAAAATGCTCATCTTTGAACTCAATCATGACATTGACCTAGTGAACGCCTACACCAAGTTTGAACATTCTAGCTTAATTAGAAGGAGAGTTCTTGTGTTCCAAAGTCCCGGCCCTTCAAATTGCTTCTATTTTTCATTTTCAATTCAAAATGGTGACCATCACGTGACCGAAATCAAAATTCTGATCCGATAGATTTTTAGGCATTCCTTCCAGGATTCCGAAAATATGACGCCCGAGTCTGTAAGTAAAATAGCAAAAAAGCCTTTTTGATTTTTCACGTTTAAAGATGGTGGCACTTCCGGTTCGATCGACAAACTCCATATTTTGTGTACGAATCAGTAATTACTTGTCTAGTATCGAATTTTTTTTTTAGGTCATTCTGACCTATATTTCGACGATTTTTTTGAAAACTTTGATCCTTAATTTCACCAAGGGGAGATAATTTAGAAAATTTCCAAGGACATCATTGAAGTCGCATTGGCAAGATCTACTAACATTCTAAATTTCACGAAAATCGCACAACTATTAAAGAAGTTGTCAAATTGGTAATAACTTCCGGTTCGAAATGACAGCGACGAATTTTCGAAATGCCAAAATCCGAAATTGCAGATTTGAAGTAAATATTTTAAGATACTCAAAGAAAAAAGAATTAGTAAAATAGGTCAAATAGTCACAAAGTTACAGCATTGTAGGTCAAATGCATTCCTTCGTAAAATTCGGTGATTTCGGATTCGTAAAACGTTTTGAAAATATATTTAATCAACAGCCACCACCCATTTTTGGGGGGATAGGTAAAAGTTTCAGAACGATCCTATGGTTAGATTCTGAGAAATCCGATTTGTGGACAAAACACAAAAAAAAAATAACAATAATAATCTTAACAGAAACAATAAGCTTTCATATGTAATATGAAAGCTTAATTAAACATGGCGTAATTGTCTAAAGTTTTTTTTTCGTTCTAGAATAGTCCAAACCTTACCTAGAGTGGTCTCGGTATTTATTTATTTTTTCCATTAAATATATATTAACGAATTCCACATTTAATATAATTGTTTCATCTGTATAGTTTGCTTCCGTTCAATATATATTTCCAAATACCACATTCAATATAATAGTTGCATCTGTATTGTTTGCTTCCATTAAATATGCAGGACGGAGGGCCTGACAAGGACAGCAGTCTAGTCGTTCGGATGGGACAAAAAACCGAGGTCCCGTGTACACATTGGCGTGCACGTAAAAGATCCCTTGGCAGTTGGATTTCGATATAAGAGTAGGCCGTTGCGCCGCTGCCCAGGCAAAATTTCCCTCATAGCACACTGTATGGCGTATGCCCGTCTTCACTAGCCCAGGTAAGGAGCAGAACAGTAGGATGTTAAACCCCATTTCATTTCCATTAAATATATATCACAATTCCATATTTAATATAATTATTTCATTAGTACTGTTTCTTTCAGTTTAAAGAGTTAGCTGTTTATTACGATGCCACTTATAAACAGATAGCATTTATTCACTCATATGATGTCACAATGGACTTTAAGCATGATATTAGAAGTTTTAGAGTAATACAGGATTTCAACAAGGTACCAAACATTATTTCAATATAGATAACAAATTATGGTTCTTTAAAAAAAAAAACTTAAAAAACAGTCTCAAATAAAACAGCTAAGTCTCTAACCAAATATCATCCAAAATCTTCGACATTGAAAACACGAATTATTTATCGGTTTAAATCAACATTGATGTTGTGATCTTACCGGGAAAAGATGGCCGTCTGATATCCAATATTTAAGACAAACACGAATCTATAATATGTTTGTAATAAGGGACTCGAAAAACGAGGCTAGGCGTATTCCACAAGTCATGTCAAACGGTGACGCTGTATTCTTATCTGGAGAGCATGCTCAAAAAATACTATCGGCGTAGACTGGAATAACCAGACGCTAGAGACTGCCATTCGATTGAGACTTCTGCGTATTTCGCTGAACCTGCCTGATTAGAAATTAAAGTAAAAACAGAAACGATTGAATGTAAATCAATTTATATACATTCATATTACATTATTATATGCGTTGCTACCAATTTCTGTCAATTTTTAGATCCCAAATATTAGCGATTTACTCCTTTAAATACACCTGTAAGGAATCCAGAGAGTTTCATATTTTAGACAAGTTTTCACCTTTAGACGTTTTATTTACGTCCACCCGACAGGGAATAGTTTGTTATTAAATAGGAGACAGTTCCTGTACACAGGTTTTTTTTTTAAATCAAAATCCTTAAATACAGTTGTTATAAACAATGGGGTGGCATAACCGTTAAATCTAATTAAAATACGGATCCCATTTCGATTAGGTTTTTTTTTATAATTCATAATTTCGTTTTACTAGTCTTTACTACACAACCTCCAACTGCGGACGATCAGATAGTAGAGGGTTTCGAATGAATTTTTAAAAAAAACGAAATATAGATCTGTATTTTAATCAGATTGCAAACCCTCGGTCGAGTCATACTTACAGGTCACTATTATCTAATTAAAACATTATCAAATACTAGTGATGCAAATCACTATGTATTTAATAATAAATACCACAAATAAAGTTCACTATAAATATTTAAATATTATCTTTCAGCTCATGCAATATACGATAAACACACGAAATCAAACCTGTTCAAAGTCTCCACTGCCAGACAATTTTCATAGAGTATGTACAGGTAATATTATTCATTACACCTGTTTATCTCTTTATTCAGTGAAACACGTCATAATTTAAATTGATCTATACAGTTATAATGTGCATAAATATACATACGTACGATTGCATGTTTATTTTTATATAATTCGTTTAAACTGAAATATAAACAATAGTGACAGGTATCTACCACCAGACAGGGCATTATTACCCTTCTCTTTTGAAATACATGCTGTTGCTATATAATTTTAGAAATTTCCACTGATTATTGCTCGACTTATTCCAATCATTCATGTAATTTCACATCTTGTCTAGAAGTTAGAATTGTCTGTACTGTTTGTATTTTTGGACACTTAAATTAATAAAATCAAGTAAATGGGGGTACTTTTCTGTAAATAAGCATTAACTTTTTGCGATTCTTCTTATATTTACAACAGAGGAGAGACCCTGATGAATACTGTTAGCTACACAGCGAACACCAAGGACTTTAATATCAGCATGAGTATGAGTATAGACAATAATGTATTTATACGATCATGTAATGTTGGCAAGGAATCAAGATTTCTAGAACCAGGTTATAAAGATACGAATAGAACAATGGTCATCATTAAATCCTTCTACAAGACCAACGGTAAATAATAATCCATGTATATTGCTTAATACTAATTAAAAGATTCAGAGTAAATAGTCCTTTCAACTAAAATGTAATCAACCGAATTGAGTTTGATCAAAAAGAGTCACGTCCTCAAAATCGTTATATTAGGAACGTGATAAACATACCATATATATCATTACCCAACGATAATCAAGTCTTGTTCTATAAAGTCACTGTCGACAAGCCTTACTTTCCTGATTATCATGCCGGTATTTTCATCTAATCCTTTTCGTTCGTTTCTGGAGTTTTACGTCCACTTCAACCTAGAGTGATATCGTAGACAAAGATGTTTCCTAAGAAACTTACTGGAGGAAGCCGTAGGGATTAGGCTTGGTCAAGTTTAATTTGAGACATAGTGTCTTAGCAGGGAATGCCCAAGTTAAAAATCTCATCGAAAGGAGAGGAGAAAGTTTTGGGGTAGAAAAGGAAAGATGGCGAGCGGGCGCAGTCTGGTCCGCTTGGCCATTAAATGCTACGATCTTTATTGGGTAGGTAGGTTGGTCTGACGGTCAGTCGGGCCCTTGGGCCCGCCGCCTGTCCGACCTAGATATAGGGTGCATAGATGCTCTGACCTTTTTGATCATCTAATCCAGCACGTATTAGTATATATTTATTTTTTCAACAGTGCCTTTATTTATCTGATACATACTCAAACCGACCCTTACCCCCGTCATCGCAATGTACAAGACTGAATTCCTGAATCTGTGCTTGTTCTTCTAACGTTTATGTTGTTTTTTTTCTTCAGTTTTCAACGAATACGAACAGGAGGCCTTTGGATATGCCACACCAAGAATTACTGATCCAGCCATATTCAACTTGGCAAACTTCTGTGCATAGAAACTGGGCTATTTATTTTAATTTTTGCCAGACAGATGTTATTACAATACTAAATAAATTTCCCAAACAATATGAAGACTTATCTATCTTTATCGATATTAAGCAAATCCGAGACAATTTGGAAAAATCAGGGTGTCAACGGTGATTTGTGACATATACCTGAACCCCCATATATAACCTCAAATTTACACGTTTCATAGATACAGAATAATTTATAATAAGTGGATTTTTATACTGATTTGGACCCAGTGTAAGACTGTTGAAGAATTTTTGCTCTTTAAATTAATAGAATTTTAGCTTTATTATGGCCTTGGCTAATAATTGGTTTCATATTCATAGACAAGGCATATCTCACGTAGACAAATTGAAATGATTGATAAGTTGATACATAAAAACAGCTATAATTTGGTAAACATTTAATCCTGGTGGAGGGTTTCTACTGTCCATATAAGGGTGGCTTCCGACGTCATTAGGCATATTAACCAATCATCATAATTAATTACGTAATATTTGAGCAATTAGATAATTAAAAACCGAAATCCAAGACTAGAAAACTATCAGAGCTCTGAGCGTTTTGTAGACAACCGCTAGATTCCTAGTGGAAGAAGATGCAGCAAATTTTATCAGCAGACTCACCCGAGTCTGGATAGTAGTGGGATTGAGAGAATGGCTTTAATTGTAATCTATGCTTGTGACCTATGTATCCGTGATGAAGGACATTGCTACCCATTCATTTTGGTGTCGTGAAAACAAGGGTTGTGTTAATTGTTTTTTTTTCGGTGCCGTTGTGCAAACAGTGTAATACACGACTGTGTTACAGTTCAAGATTGAAGGACATTGACATAAGTTGTAATTGGATGCAAACCATTTGGTACTCATTGTTCGGCTCCAACTTTTCTCAAATTTTGGTTGGGTTGAACGCTTTTTGATTTGATACGACAGAGCAACAAACGGTCATGTCGTTGTGCCAAACTTTTTAGAGGTTGACAACTGAAATTTTGAGTAACATACACTTGGAGTAATGTGACAACATTGATTTCCGAACATAATGCTTCAAATCCGTCACCACACATCCCCACCCCCGCCTTTTACCCATGAGCCCCCGCCCATATATTTTCCACTACTTATGTTTCATTCTACATAGTTCAGACAGATGTCACTCATTACAAGGAATCAAAGATTTAAACTAAAATCTGTCTATGATCATTACATTCCATATATTTTATACGACCATGTTGGGTCTGTGGTCATGTAAATCATAATAGTCAACTTCTCCTACATAAACAGTTGTTTTATTGTAAACCAAGGTTTACATATGCAGGATCTGGATTTAATGTTTGATATTGATTTACTGCTTCATCTTGTTGAGTTGAAACTTCATATAGAGTATCATAAGTACTATGATCAGATGTAGAGTTATTTCCTCCTGTTGTTGATGTATTTGTAGCAGGGTGATTATTATATCTTTAACCACGTGTTTCACTGGATGGTTTTGATTTAGATGACTGTGTCCTGTAAATAAATAACAAAATATATAAACCAATATATTTTAAATTTAACATCTATTGATTATTTGATAGTATAGTATAAACATACCAACACTTTAAATATATATTCACTTACCTTTTAATTATATAGCAATGTACTGTAACACCAAATATCGCTGTAATTACTATACCAAATATAGCACCAATAACACCACCTACAACTGGACTCATACCTTTATCTTTATTCTTATCTTAAATCATAAAACAGAAATACACTGACATTAGTAAAATCTGTAAGATATCTGTAGACAGATTGATAACAGATTATAATGTAAATGTACATTTATGTCAACCGTATAAAACACGTTAACTGACAAGACATTGCTATACTTACCGAAACATCTTATTTTACCATCTGTACATATTCCTGATATTCTATTACAACCATCAGTACAATCCCAGGAACATTTAGTGTTACAGTGAGTACTATGCCATCCTAGTTTACAAATAAAACATGACCCATCAAATTTATCACACTGTCCATTACAGTTAGAACTACACTGTTTATTACATGATGTTGCCCATCTTCCATCTTTACATTGAGTACAGTTGTTGATATCATCTTGATTACAAACAGTACAATTACCATTACACTCTTTATTACAGGTGTCGCCACTGTATCCGATAATACATAAACTACATCTACCATTAGTTCTATCACATCTACCATCACATGTTGTACTACAGGTCTGATCACATCTATCACCATATCTTCCTACAATACATTCAGTACATCTACCATTACTCCTACTACATCTACCATCACATGCTGTACTACAATTCAAATCACACCCATTACCATATCTTCCTACAATACATTCAGTACATCTACCATTACTCCTACTACATCTACCATCACATGTTGTACTACAGTGCTGATCACATCTATCACCATATCTTCCTACAATACATTCAGTACATATACCAACTCCATCACATGTTTCTTGAGTTCCATCCGTAATTGGTAGGCATTCAGCACCACATGTATAATTACAATATAGACCAACTGTACTAGGTTTACAACTATTACATTTACCATCGTCCCTGTTACAAATATCAAGACAGTTACCAGGACATGGTATATTACAATCATCACCAAATATTCCTGGTTTACATTCTGTACATCTACCTGTTGATTTATTACATTCTTCAGTACAATTACTAGAACATCTAGTTTCACAGTTAGTGCCATACCAACCTGGTGTACATGTAGAGCACTGTCCTGTATTCCTGTTACAGCCACCTATACACTGGTGAACTGTACAAGATGCATCACATCTATCTCTATACCATCCTACGTTACAACCATTATTACAAATACCATCTACCTGTCTACATCCTCCATTGTTACAGTTATTAGAACATTGTTCTTGACAGTTTGAACCATAGTAACCCTGTGTACATCCAGGACATAGTCCTGTATTTCTGTTACAACCACCTGTACACTGATCAACTATACAAGATGTATCACATTTATTTCCATACCATCCTACTATACAACCATTAGTACAATAACCATCTACCTGTCTACATCCTCCAGTGTTACAGTTATTAGAACATTGTTGTTGACACGAGTTACCCCAATAATCATCATTACATCCACCATTACAAATACCATCTGATTTAACACATGACGTCATACATGTAGAACATTGTTGTTGACACGAGTTACCCCAATAACCATCAATACATCCACCATTACAAATACCATCTGATTTAACACATGATGTCATACATGTAGAACATTGCTGTTGACACGAGTTACCCCAATAACCATCAATACATCCACCATTACAAATACCATCTGATTTAACACATGCTGTCATACATGTAGAACATTGCTGTTGACACGAGTTGCCCCAATAACCATCAATACATCCACCATTACAAATACCATCTGATTTAACACATGACGTCAAACATGTAGAACATGACGATTCACAGTTTGTACCGTACCATTTTAGATGACATGTATAACATTGTCCTGTAGTCCTATCACAGTTACCGTTACAGTTTGTAACTATACATGTTGATTGACAGTTGGTACCATAGTAACCGTAATTACAGCTAGAACATTGTCCTGTAGTCCTATCACAGTTACCTATACAGTTAGTAATAGTACATGTTGATTGGCAGTTGCTACCATATCTACCATCAATACAATCATTACAAACACCTGCTGTTCTATTACAACCACCAGAACACCGTTGATTACATGATGTATCACATCTATCTCCATACCATCCTACTTTACAACCATTAGTACAATAACCATCTATCTGTCTACATCCTCCAATGTTACAGTTGACGTCACACTGATTCTCACAGGCTACACCATAATACTGGTCTGGACAAACACCTGAAACAGTAATAATATGTTTGTTGGTTATATGGCATTCCTGCAAGTAATAAAGATAAACATTTAGACGTAATCATCCTTTTGTATTTGACATTGACTTAGTTCTATGCGTTTAGAAAGAGAACACACTAGTCAAAAATGAAACAACAGGGTATGATGGGTTTTTATTCACGCGAAGCCACGGTGATTCTGTGAATAGGATGTTAGCTCGCTAAGCTGTAGGTCTCGTGTTCGATTACTGCGTTGGCCGAGAAAGTTAATTGGGATTTTCGGTGTGGTTCCTCCTTGTCAGTGGTGCAGGGCCGAGGGCCTGGCAAGGGACAACGAACAAAGGTCTACGGGTGTAGTAGAAGCATCATGTTTTCCATACAAATAAATATAGAAAATAAGTTCTACATACTGAAAAATCAAGTTCTTAAAATCAAAAGTTACCTTCAGTCTGGAACACTTGAAATATAAAAATACACAGGCTAAGTAATACCGCCATCTTGCCAGCTAAATTCGCTTGGGTAATTCTGTATAAAACTTTTAAGCTTTACATTACAACCAGGAAGATATTATATATATATTATATATTATACATGTAAAGAATATTGTATGAGAACATAGCAGTAGGGCGACATTGGCAACAATTAAAGTAAAGGTATATTATAGTAATGTCAAAGAAATAACTATCAGTGTTTACGGATACTTTGTAAAACATATATGAGAAAGAGGAGTGATAGAACTAACTGAAATAATAAATTAATATTTAAATAACTTGCTTGTATCGTAAAATACTAGTTGAATACGTAATTGTCAGAGCAGCCCCAATATGTTGACAAAGGTTAGTTATACAAATAATGATCCATATGGATATCGGAATATAATTTTTTTTTAATTTCTTTGATGTCACGAATCTTCGGGCCAGGACTCGCCCAGTATCAAAAATTGACAGGTATTTATTTCTTGTTCTGTAGTGTTACTAGCATATGATTTTAGGCTAGATAGTGACAGTGCATGCTTATCTAATACCACATTTTATTTAACAATTTATATAGCTAACAAACTGTTATTGTACTATTGTACTTTAACTACATTATACACAGTAGCTTTGGCCTCTCAAAGCCAAGTTGACATTTTACCTCATTAAGCTTAAAATTATACCTTTGCTTCATGAAAGTAAAACATGCATTTCATACCACAAAGTTACTGCAGATATGAACTTTTCATTTTTATACACAGTAAGAACGAAGAGTCCTGGTTTTAGCCAAGTACATCTTCTTCCGTATCAACAATAAACTAGGGATTCGCGATGGCTCATTAGCCCAGTCTGTGCATAAAAGTGGACGTTAAACCCCATTTTATTACCATAAACTGTATTATAATTTTTTGTCTCACAGAGACGTTGTTCATTAAAATTTTCAGTGAATATATGTAAAACGCTTACGCTAATTGAACGAATATATTAGTGTTATATACAGTCACCCCTGCTCATCCGTTCACAATTCGTAATCAGTTTGGAAAGTAAAGTGGTTAGTAACTGACTAAATTATAGGCTTACTTTAAACATCAGATGACGTACGTGTTATATCATGATGTTCGGTATATACAGGTCACAATTCTATGGAATACAGTTACTGCTTAATACTTAGCGACTTTTCGACTAGGCTTCTCTATTCATTATCAAGCAATGATAAAATATAAAATATAACAAGACAATATATACATGTAAACAACAATACTTAGTTAATGCTGACCAACCAGAGACACCCTTTTAATTACCTTGAAGGGAACTTAACTTAATTAAAGTAATGTAATTATGAAAGTGATCAAGGTTGATAAAGGTAATGTTAATAACAACATCCAATATGGCATAGGAAACTTTACCTGAAAATAAAACATGGATAACTTGTTGCGAATTAATGACAATTATTTGATCTGGTTTAAAAAATCACAACACCCTGAAAGATGATAAAATTTGATAATACTATCAATGAAGTCGCATTTACTATCCTTGACAATGACATAATATGTCACGCTGGGTTATTATAGTTGATTATCTCTTCTGTATAAACTACGAGTAAACATTTAAGATCTTCAGATACTTCCAAAGATGGCGAACCCCTCCACAACTTGCCGCATATCTACCTACATGTATTTCAAAAAATAAGAAAAATTTATAGTGATTCCATTTGTCATGATCTCATAATTTTCAACATCCCAAATATTTCATCGTTTGACCAGATGTATCCTAGTTGCGATATAAGCCGTGTGATAAATGTTGACGAAATGCAAATGGTTCTTTTTATTTTAATTTGCGACAGCTGTGGGTTTACTTATAAACATGCCTAATGGTGACCGGATATTATGTGTTGTAGGCGTCAAATAGAATGATCCCATCTTCATTAGTTGGGACAGAAATATAAAATGGGCTATTTCCTGCTTCTCCACGTCGGGGAGGGGAATATTGAACGCGGAGATGATAAGGTAAACAGCATACTAATTTAAAGCCATAAAAATTTGCATCACATGTTTCAAACAATTATTGTTGTTTCGGGTGATGCAGGATTCGGCAGGTTTCGTCCTTCAAATCTAAATATGGCACTTGGTGCTCTGGGTTAGATTAAATTCTTATCAATCGACCTATAATGAAATGAAACCTGTGATAGAACAGGTGTACGTACGAATCAAGCTATCTGTAGAATCGCACGACGTGCAGTTCCAGAGCAGTTCTATAGGCTTGGAAGACGATAATGCAGTGGCATTTCCTCGCATCAGTAATTTTGTATCTCGTACATAAAGGTAAACAACCAATAAGCTAATTGCCTTTATGATAATTAATGGCAATATTACGTCTTTTGTAAATTATTGTTTTGTTTTTCATTTTGAGTAAAGTCTGTATCATTGCAAGTCCGGGGACTGTGCAGCGTAATGGACGCATATCACTGGCCACCCGGATACATTCACTTATTTTGATATTTTGTTGTTTATTGCTTGTAATGTCTGTGTCGTTGGTATCTTGTCCGCGGGTTTGTCTTTTCGGTTTTGTTTGCGAGCAGTGCGGTACCCCTGCACTGACTATTAGAATGTAATTAATTATTATTGATTGATTTACAGGGGATAGTACTGATTGTGCAGTATGCCCTAGAATACGTTCTGTGCCGCCCACAGGGTAAGTTGTCAATGATAAAAAAATAGTCCTAATCATCGCAGCCCTGGCAATACAAAATATCTCATTTCAATGCATCAGCTTTAAATCAAATTTTAATATACGTGCCGAAAGAGGGCATGACAAACCGGATTTACCTCTATCATTGTGCAAGTTTACACAATCAAGTCCATTTGTCGATTCTCTGTTATTTGAGTGGGAGCTTTGCAAGTTGGTGTATAGTTTCATTACGATAGTGATCGTTGAACAGTTTTTGCCCCGGTTAAGCAGAGTGATATGTTATTTGATTGCTCGATATTTTATAAAATGATAAATGTGCAAGTGGTTAATAAGTATCATCTATTTGAAATTAAGGTGGGTGACTCACTCTTGGCTTGTTTTAGTTTAACTTTTGGGTCACTATGTCTACTGTGGAAAACAAAACACGGTTATATCTCAACGCTTGTTTTATGTTTAAGCGTAAAATTTTCAACGAAGACAGGGTGTCATCGCGCAATTTTAATTTTGAAAAAAATCGGAGAGGTCTGGCCATCGCACAATTTCAATTTTGACTAAAATCAGAGCGGTCTGGTCATCTCGACTCGGAGATCGATAGTCCCGTGTATACACCATTGACAGCAAATTAAGGATCCAACGACAGTTGGAAATCGAAATATGAGTTGGCGGTAGCGCCGCTGTCCGGGAAAGCTTTTCCTCGCGGCACACTGCATGGCGTATGTCCGTCTTCATTATCCCGGTTGGAGCAGAACAGTAGGACGTTAAACCTAATTCATTTCTAACCATTTTAAATATATCATCATCTGTCGCAAATCAAAACATAACGAACCTGTTGTATTTCTTTGGAGAATTATCACATAACTTGGCAAGCAATTAGGATAAATGATTTTATTAAACAGGAAGTAAAAACAATCCAAAGTAGTTTTATTCACTAAAATATATCTGAGACATCTCTTTTATTTTAGTAGGCCGCAGTGGCTCAGTATCTAGGGTGTCCTTACTTCGACCCCCGTGTTGACAGAGAAAGTTCCTTTTGTCAGTGGTGCAGGACGGAGCACCTGGCAAAAATCCCCCAAAAAGTCGCGGTCCCTTGTACATGTTGGCGTGAACGTCAAAGATCCCCTGACAGTTGGAATTCGATATAAGAGTAGGTAGAAACACCGCTATCCGGGCAAAATGTTTCTCTTAGCACAGTGCATGAGGAATATTTCCATCTTCATGAACACGAGGAAGTAAGTAGTTCATTGCAATTCCTTTAGCTTAACTGTACGTATAATAAACTTTATATAATATAGGACTGATCTTCAGCCATATATGTAATTAATTTTATATCAACTATACTTCTCTAGTTATGTCAAGAAGACATACACAGAAAGCGATGAACATATTGAGAACCCTGGGCGTGGTTTTGTGTACCATGATGAATCTTTTTCATCTAACCCTACAACCTTAAGCGTAAGTATATGATATGCATAAATTATAATTTTCTCCCAGTTTCAGGTAGACTTCGGTATTTGTCAGCGGGGTTCATGATAAGGATATCAGACTTCTATGTAAATAGATTACCGCCTAAATATCGTGAATTTTCTTAACCTAAGTTCTCACCCCAGAGCACAGTTTACTTTAATATAAAAACGGTAAGAATAGTTGAAATGTGGTAGGTAACAATCGGTCATTGCTATGTCCCTGGGATTTTTCTAACCCCATTCCCACTTGCACTAGTGTCTAGTCGTTCGGATGGAACGAGATACCGCGGTGCACAGAAGACATCCTTTAAAATTTAGAATTTGCAGAAACGTAGGAAGATACGACACGGTCCGCGCAACCCCCGCCCCCTCCCCACAGCATTGTCGAGACGTTAAACTCCATTCTTGTCATATCATATCGAAACAAAGGCATTGAATGAAATTGAAAACCAAGAATGAAAGGGTTAGCCCAAGCCCTAAATTAATGTCACAGGATGTGTATTATTTTCTCACATTTTTAAGGTCAGTTATTTGGACGAAATACGAAAGAAAAATGGTGTTAACATGGTGTGGAAATATTTTGTGCTAGATAAATTTGTAACATCACATATCTCTGATCAGTTTCTACGAAATGTGGATGATAACCTGAAGAATATACAAGCTGCTGGTTTCACGGCTACAATTAGATTTTGTTACACATTTACTATGGTAAATTCATCATTTGTTGTACAACCGGGCCACGGCAGCGTGTACATATTTGTCGTTTCTTAGTCAATTGGCTACATTAAAGACGGTGGTCTATCTGGCATATATTTACAATTTTTTTTAGGTGTCTTCTTCGTTCCCGCGCTTCTATAATTATAGAATGCTATATCTGATTTTTCAATGTCGATGTTTTCGGTAAATCGATCAGATTTGTTCATTTTTAGTGTAAAAATTCCCTGTCATAGATGTGTTTGTTACCCTTCCAGTGGATGGTACTGGTTCATGAACTCAAATTTTAATTGAATGTAGCGTATAAAAGGATACGTCGGGAAGTTTTTAAACCTAACTGCAATAAACGCCAAACCCTGCAAACAGTTATATCCCGCAATAACAGGAGCGGCGGTGGGTTAGACGCTGGCTCGCTAGCCTAGAGCTCGCGTGTTCGATCCCTGCATTGGCCAAGAAAGTTGATCGGGATTATTCCGACGTGTTTTCCCCTTGTCGGTGGTGCAAAATGGAGAGCCTGACAAGGACAGCTGTCTAGCCATTGGGATAAAACGAAAAATCGAGGTCCCATGTATAGATTGGCGTGCACGTAAGATATCCCTTGGCAGTTGGAATTCGCTATAAGAGTAGACCATAATGCCGCTGCCCAGGCAAGGTTTCCATCATAGCACACTGTATGGCGTATGACCGTCGTCAATAGCCCAGTCGGTGCAGAACAGTAGGGCGTTAAACCACCATTTCATTTCTTTTCCTTCAAATGAAAACATTACGCATTTTAATTGTATTGGAGAACTGTGCCTTACGTTGTATTTCGTATATTTCCATGATCGGCAAATATATTACTTGTTGTGTGTATGATTATTTTATATTTGAAGGCACTAAAAGCACCATATGGTGACGCTAATAAATACTGGATACTTGAACATATCAAACAATTAAAACCCATGTTCCATAAGCATGAGGGTGTACTGACCTCCGTCCAAGCCGGGTTTATTGGTACCTGGGGTAAGTATTAAAATATTTATTACCGTAGACGTTTGAACTCGATATCATAGAATTTGTAACCAAAAACAGAATACAATCTGAGATAATTTTCTTGAAAGTTGCTGGGGAGTTGAACATGTTTATCTGCGATAAATATTTTAGGTGAATGGTATTACACGACACATTTTGGTGACCCGTTGACAATCGATTACCACAAATATCCTAAATATGGTTATCCAGAGAATCTATGGCAGGACAGAAAAGACGTATTCACAGCTTTGTTGGATGCTGTACCTAAATCTATGTAAGTTGATCCCGCTCGAAGAGTTAGCCGCCAAAGTGCACACAAATATAGGTTTCTATTGAAACTAAGACATGGCCATATTGTCACTGCATGTAATGTTTCTTCTAAAACTAAGACCATATTATCACTGCATGTCTTGTTTCTACTGAAACTAAGACCATAGTATCACTACATGTCTTGTTTCTTCTAAAACTAAGACCATATATACACTACAAGCCGTTTTTCTTCTAAAACATTATCACTACATGTCCTGTTTCCTCAAATGCCTATTTATTTGCTCTGATATCTCTTGCTAACAGTGGATTACCTAATCTTTGCATTTGAGTGCCCGGGTTCAGACTAATAGATAATTTATTAAGCACCACCTCACCAATTAGCTTTAATAGTGACAGATGTCCCACCCGTGGCAGGGTATGGTAACCCCTCCTGGGACACCACTTCTTGTTAAAGACGTTCACAGGGCTACCATTTGTTCATATGACAAAAGTTTGGCTTTTTCTTTGCATAAAAAATAATATTAACAATAATTAACGATTCTATCAACTGTATTATTTTTAAATATTTGATTTTGTTTTTGTTTAACATAGTTATTTTTATATATAAGTTATGTTTCTGTGTATGTATGTATATAATGTTCTTTGTGTATAATATGTTCTGTATGTATATAAATCAATATTTCTTGTAAATACTGGATAGTGGCTAAAATAGTCCAGGCGCATTCCCCAAGACAATTTCAAAGAAAATTAAATATTGTTATATAAAAAAATAATTATATAATGATATTCTATTTACTTATAGTGAAGTTCAGTTACGACATCCAAAGATGAAAGTTGATATGTGGAATGACGAAACTCCAACAACATACGTCGACTTTCTTAAACGGAACAACAAGGCCAGAACAGGTAGGTCTATAGTAAGTCAAACATCTCCACTATGCAGGCCATTAAACTCCAGCTTTCCCCCATGTCGTTTGGGTGGAACGAAATCCGAGGTACCGTGACACACTGGCGTGCACGTAAAAGAACCGTTGACAGTTGGAATTCAAATTAAGAGTACATATTCTATCCCGGCAGAATTTCCCTCATAGCGCACTGAAAGGCATATGCCCGTCTTCATTAACCTAGTATATTAGTCCAATTACATATACAATGTTGATGTAAACGGGTGCTCAAATTAAACACTTACATACAAATGGTAATTTCCCCGCCCTAATTGCCTACATACCTAAGTAAACGTTTGATATAAATTAAACAGCACCATCAAATTTGCTTTAGATATCATTTAGTATTCTCAGAAGAACGTTCACACAACCTCCTCGACTGAGAAGCTGAGATACCGACATCATTCAGAGAGTGCAGAGAGAAATCATGTGGGCTTCCTATAGAGACAAGCGAGAACATCATGTACAACTATCAAGAAGTGTCACAAGACCCCATTTTATTTTATTTGCATGGAATCCCGTTTTCGTGAACATTGATTAGTACAATAGAAATGGTTATTATTATATTATATATTGCTAATAATAAATATATCGACAAATGACTGGCACCATTTGTATTTCTGTACTAAGTTTGGGATATCAAGTATTACGGGGTTATCCAAATTACCGGTAAATGCGCTAATTTCTTGAGTCGTCTTCATGTAGTAGTAGTATCCTGGTGTTTAACGTCTCCACATAAGTGATATCGCAGACAAGAAATAGGAGAGCCGAAGCTGCTTCCTGTTTATAGAATATGATTTTGCAATCTTTCCATTTTTGGCCTTAGGCCACGGATTGGGATTTGTGGGAAGTTCTTCCCTTTATTTAGTAAAAAAACATATCGTTTGGTAAATCTTTTCTTCTGCTTCTGATTGGTAGATGTCTTCGTTGTGGGATTAGTGTTTAGGTGCCAGGCCCGTCTTATCGTGGCCTCCCCTTACTCCACAATTCCACTCTATGGGTTTGGTATCTGTTTCTTTTGCGGAATAGTGTTTAGGTTCCGAGTCCGTCTGCCCGTAACTCCCCTTACTCCACTATCCTGCTAGTTTGGTAGATGTCATCTTTGTTGGATTTGTGTTTAGGTGCCAGGCCCGTTTTATCGTGACCTCCCCTTACTCCCCTATCCAACTCTGTAGGTTTGATGTCTATTTTTTGCCGGAATAGTGTTTAGATGCCGAGTCCGTCTGATCGTGACTCTCCCTTACTCCACTATCCTGCCAGTTTGGTATAAATCTCCTATGTAGTTTAGTGTTTAGATGCCGAGCCCGTCTAACCGTGGCCCCCTCTTACTTCACTATTCTACTTAGTCCAACTGTGTCCATTAGGGCGTGGATTTTTTCGAAGATTTGCAGTTTCATATCTGGTCTCGGGAAGAGTAAGTTCTTAGTGTTGAATGGTATGTTGTTGGTCTCCATTGTTCTCACTAGTTCCCTTCTCTCCTCCTTGTATACCTCGCAGTCTACCAGGTCATGGTTGGTGGTACATTCTTCTCCGCACTCACAGACGATGACTTGGTGTTTGTAGTCTCGCAGCCGCTCTTTCACCCTTAGTTTCGATATAAGTCTGCATATATCTCTTCTAGGGTGATTGATCGCTGTCTTCGTGTAGATTTTGTCATCCAGTCGGAATCTGTATGTGTCAAGTTCAACGAGTTTTAATTCCCAGAATGAATTGGCCTGTCTTTTAACCATACTGTAGATTTCCGTGGTGCTGTAGTTTATGGTGCGGAGTGGTGCTGTGTCCTTGAGACCTTCGTTGGCGAGTCCATCTGCCTCCTCGTTTCCTCTAATGTTGACATGTGATGGAATTCACACGAGCTCTAATTTGCTTCCCTTCTCTAGGACCCTTCTGGTCCTGAGTCCGAGTTGTAATTTTGGATTGAAATCAGACTGCTCAGAGAGTCGCTTGGAATGACGAACTTACTAGTCTTTTGATGGGAGATCCATGATATAGCGTCACGAATGGCCACAAGCTCTGCATTGTACACCGAACAGTTATTGGGCAGTTTCCTGCTTATTCCCTGTTCCCCGTTTGGCAGATATATTCCAAACGAGCTTGTGCCCCTTTCAGGGTTGCGTGAGCCATCCGTGTACACATGGTCCCAGTCATCAGACGGCCAGTTGTCTTCCAGGTGTTCTAGAGAGAAAGCACGTGCAGCTGTGGAGTTGTTTTTCTTGTCGGTTTTCTGTAGTAGATCTAGATTGACCGGTGGTATAGGGAGCGTCCAAGGGGCGATTGTTGGGGGGTCGTGTTCATTTATCACGAGCTCCCCCAGTCGCAGTTCCTTGATTGTTTCCTATATACCCTGGCCAAAGCTTTTCTTTCTAGGATCTCTCACATATCTTGTCTTTTGTAGACTGACAAAAGTAGGGGATCTTTCTCCCAGTTGCGAGATCTTGGCCCAATACCTTGTCGCTAGTTCTTTTCTTCTTAGGGATAGGGGCAACTCCCCGGCTTCCTGTAGTAATGCCTCTCTCCTAGTTCCAAGCCCTACGCAATACACAGAGCTTTGTATTGGATGGTGTCAAGCTGACTTAAGAGTTTTGGCGCGCAGTTCATGAAGGCCAAAGAGCCGTAGTCTAATACAGAGCGTATTAGAGCACGATACACCATCATTAATGTAACTCTATTGGCACCCCACGTGCTACTCGTTATTCTTCTCAATAAGTTTAGGATTTTGGAGCATCTATCTACAGTCAAGTCGATGTGCGGTTTCCAGGTCAGCCTTCGGTCAAAGATTACGCCAATGAACTTGGTTTGGTCTTTAAACTCGATGGTTTTCCCGTTCATACACAGAGTCATTCTGCTTATCCCACTATCCCTGCTCACGAGCATACCGACCGTTTTCTTCTCGTTTGCCCATGTCATGAATTTGTCTAAGGCCTTTTGCATGTTCTTTTGCAGTTCACAAAAGATCCTCCCTTTCCTCAATATGGTACTGTCATCAGCAAATTTAGCTAAGTCAGTTCTGGCATCGAGTTAGGACGATTTCTGTATGTCATTGATCATGATATTGAAGAGAGTGGGACTGATGACCGACCCCTGAGGCGTGCCATTTTCTAATGTTTGCACGGCACGCAGGAATCTGCCAACATTCACCTGTATCCTTCTATCGCTCAGAAAGCTTTTGATCCACCGAAACATTGTGCCCGTTATACCGATACGTCCCAACTTAAAGAGCAGCCCTTCTAACCAAACCAAATCAAAACCCTGTTTAGACAGATCTACGAACACGGCACATAACAGGCACCCCGATAATGTATATCCTATGTGTAGTGCCTGTGACGTCACCATCCAATCAACCGGATGAAGGTCGTAATTGAAAAATCGAAAAGCGTTTTGGCGAGTCGGACACTTAAACGTTAACAGCCGACTTAATTTTAACCAGATTGGTGTGAACTTGCCGTAAAGTTGATATAGTAACCATGGGCTATACGTACATGAAATTTAGATTTTTGATCTAATGTGGTCTTTAAAGATATGCTCTCACGGACAAATGTATGAACAGGAAGGTAGTTTGTATAAAGATAACAAATTTGAAAGATTGTCACGAACTTGGAAAATTATCTTGTTAAACCCTTCATGTATTACAGTCCTTGTTACTCTGGTGACATACGAGGTTATATGTGGGCTTCCTATAGAGACAAGCGAGAACATCTTGTACAACTATCAAGAAGTGTCACAAGACCCCATTTTATTTTATTTGCATGGAATCCCGTTTTCCTGAACATTAATAAGTACAATCCTAACGACAACCTTAAAGATATGTTCTCACGGACAAATGTATAAACAAGAAGGTAATTTGTATAAAGATAATAAATTTGAAAGATTGTCACGAAGTTGGAAAAAATATCTTGTTAAACCCTTCATGTATTACAATCCTTGTTACTCTGGTGACATACGAGGTTATATGGGGCTTTAAAAATATCAGAAATACATAAATTAACATTTGTACAATCAGCTGTCAAATACGTTTATGATTTTGTCTTTGTATTTTTAGCTCACCATAACGATTGCTTCTTGGCATCTGATAATGACGTAGGTACATACCAAAATAAAACCTTTGAATATCCCTACATGCAAAATGACACTCGATATTGTATTGTCGGTGGTGAAACCTGTATATGGAGAAGCGATAATCACAAAAGGTATACGTTGAATCTCCAGACTATGGAATAATCCATATGATTGAGTCTAATTTGTTTTTATAGTTCTTTGTTGTTTTCATATATATTTCTTTGAGTTTTTTCGTATACATTTCTCTGTAGTTCATATTATATTAACATATTTTAGTTTTATAGCTGGGAACCGAGATGACGCGTCGTCAAGATAACATACGGTTATATTTTATTACTGTAAGGCCACGTCAACTAGAAGTCAAATGTAAGAGTGATTTTTGCCCCGGAATCGACGTGTATTGTTGCCTCCCGTACTCAATCCCAAATGACCATCATCAGGTTCCTGTAAGATTGCCCATCAATGTTGTTGGGTTTTTTTATGATTTGTAATATTATTCAATTTGGTACTACGCTTGGAAGGTCTGCGATTGTAAATCGTACAAAAACAAATCCGTGGTTAAAGGTTTACACCGGCGTTTCTCCACATGAGCATTATAAAAGTTGCTTTTAAACAATACAACCAAGGTAAAGTGCTTTGCGCCCATCAAGGCGGTTTTCGTCCAATGTTAAAACTGCGCAAGTGATTTCAATGCCAACATTTAACGCCTTTACGATTTTATTCCAGGAGTGACTGTCCCTCAGCTATAAATGAGATGGCCATGTTTCACTGGACGTTTTTAAACCAAAATTTTTATAGAGGTATTCTGGATTCTTGGAAAAATCAAGGCTGTTACACAGAGATTCATCGACGATTGGGCTATAAACTTTCATTGAAAAGGGTACTGTTTTAACATTTTGTCCAAAAAAATCATGTTAACTGAATGGCGCGTAAATAATTATGTTTTATGTTTTCTTGCTGTACGTGACAAGGAGTAGGGTCGTTTGTCAAACCTCATTGGTTTTCTTCGGGTCCTTCGTTTTCCTCTCACTATTAAAGATCCCTACGCACATACGAATTATTGAATTTAAATTGAACTATATGTTAGTCCCGAGTTTACCTTACGCCCCCTCTCTCTCTCTCTCTCTCTCTCTCTCGCTCTCTCTTTCGTCTCTCTCTCCCGTCTCTCTGCATGTTGTATATTTTTATAGGTAATTCTACCGAAGGTTATAAAGTCTGGAGACTCTTTGTGTTATGAAATATTGATAAAGAACAGTGGATTCGCTGCTCCTGCAAAACTTATGAATATCTACTTGCTTCTTCGTTCACAAAAACAGTAAGACAATAATAATAACCTAATTCTTGGTACCACAACTAGCCACAACTGAATTGTTTTACCCGCTACACTGAAAAAAAACTTGTGTTGAAACAACACAAACTTGTGTTATTTTCAACACAAGTTAGGTGTCTCTATTTAACAACACAATCTTGTGTTAAATGTTGAAACAACACAAAACTTGTGTTAAATGTTGAAATTTCTGAAACTTGTGTTGAAATTTCTGAAACTCGTGTTGTTTCGTACAAAAACTTGTGTTGTATTTTACCAATTTATATCCAGTATAGCAACCTTTCGAATGCAACCCCTTCCATTCGTTCTGTTTAAACTGTAATTATTGATAAATGACATAATAATTTTGTTTGTTAAATTATTATTTATTCAATAAATGATATGAAAAAATAAATTAATGCCTAATTAATACCAATACAGACATCTCGAAGTTAATAAACAAAGTTAATTCCAATACTAATAAAATTGTGTTATACAATGAAAAAATACCCCCACCCCCCCCCCCACCCCCCATTCCCAATTATTAAATAAAAAGTAGCTATTTAAATTGAAAAATAAAGCACCGAGACATTTGGAATATTAATCAACAAAGTTAATTTCAATACTAATAACATTGTGTTCAATAATAACAATATCCCCCCACCCCTCAAAAAAAGCTATTTAATTTTTTTTTTACAATTAACCTTAAAAAGAACTGAGAATATAATATATATGTTCACAATATCCCTACCCCATGGTCCCAAAACATACATTTTAAATATATCTAAATTTAATATCAACCAAACCAAGCACTAAAGACATTAATAATGCACTAAATTGAAATACTTTTAAGAAAAAATAGTCCCTTTAACAGATTAGGAATTCAAAATTTTCTACAGTATATGAATGGGAACTAATAGATAAAGCACAGGCAAATAATTATAGATAGATAAATAAATATAGCATAAAAATCAAACAAAATGGAGAAAATTAAAAATTTGTAAAACAAAAATTGATTAATTAATAAAACCATTTTATATAAAAGAGGCATTAACATTCGAAATGTTCACTAAATGTTTAAAAATAAAGGTTGATTTCATCCTACAATAATGCATTTTTATAATTATCGAATGTTACTATTAATTATTGATGATCCCTCTATATTATTTCAAGTTTTCAGGCCAAATCTTTAGTGTTTAGGATTACACTGCATTCTATATAATGAAACAATTTTAGAGATGGTTTGGTATTTGACATTAAAAACAAAAATGTGATTAAAAAGGCAATGGTGACATATAACTTTTGGGTTTCCACAATAAGATCTGTAAAAGAATTTGATGACTTTATATTCAGAATTTAGAGTTGTTTTCTTTCTTTGGTATTAATATTCACTAAATAGATATAATTCTCCAAGGATGTTCAAGTGATTATTATAAATACACTTATCGACAAATGGGGTTTTGATGTGGATTTAACTTGGTACACCAGTCATGGGTATAGAGTTATTTAGATGGCAGAATAAAAGTAAAATAACTCATTGAGCAGGGGGCGGCGGCGGGGGCGGGGGAGTTAAAGAGCATAATTTAACAATATATTATATTATTTTGAGACTCATATGTATGACTACATGCGAATGCAAGAGGGGAGGGGGGGGTATTTTAGTCAGGTAGCATTATTGCTTACTCATGTACACCAAAAACACGTCATCTCGCCTAAACAGATGTTTTACGCCAAAACGCTTCAACTTGATTGATTGCCATGTTTTTGGTGTATATTTATATCTTTTCTTGGGCGCCGAATCGAACTACGGCTTTTAAAATGTTCAAAAATCGACGTAAATTGATTTTTTCAACGATAGTTGGTATACAACGATGAGCACATGAGTGAGTAGACTGTGGGAAAGTTACGACAACTCATTTCCAGGCGCCATTTTGGGTCCCAATTATGACGCCATAAAAGCTATGACGTCATGGCTTCATACAGGTTTACATACCAAAATTTGTTTTTTTCTTGCAGTATTAGACGTTGAGGGATAATATAACGTTTTACCCTAAAAAAAATGCAAAAGAAACCAATGCAGTTTGGTTCAGTGATAAATATATCAAACAAAATCATACCCAAAATCGGGGAATTTTCTGAGATCGATATCTCGTAATCAGTGTGTTTTACTATTTACTCGTTGGATTATAAATGATTTCTTTTTAAATTCCTCAAACACAGAGTGGTTATGAAAGCGAAATGTGCCGAAAAATCGAATTTGACAAACGTCAAATTAAAAAAAAGAAGTATTTGTTATATGGTGCCGGGCGTTTCTTTCATAATGGCCGCCAAATTTGGTAATATTATTATTATTATTATTATTACAGCATATTTATAGCGCGCCCTTTCATAAAACATGTTCAGGGGCACTTTACAAAGTGACAATGTAATCATAAATAAACAACAAGATTATGGACATGTTAACAATTAATGAGTTAAAAGCCTCATTAAATAAATGTGATTTAAGTTGTTTTTTAAAAGAATATAGAGATGTACAACATCTTAAACTAAATGGTAGATTATCCCATAAAACAGGTGCTTGATAACTAAAAGAGACTAGTTGAACAGTTTTGGGCTTTAAAAATAGTTTATCTGATGTACGTAATGTTCGACCATTATATCGTGGTTATGTACGCGAAATGTGCGGAAATCGAATTTGACAAACATCAATTAAAGAAATGTATTTTCCATGTGGTGCCGGGCATTTCTTTTAAAAGGGCTACCGAATTTGGTAATACATGTATAAGGCAATTTAACAAAAAAAACATAAATTTGGTAGACTAAAAGGGCATCTCTTAAGATACATAAGATATGACTTTTGCAATGTCTTTTATATGGTTTTCGATGTCTCTGAATTTGAAGATAAATTTTGAAAATACAAAATAGCAGCAACACCAATTGGCCGATATTAAATTAATCGTCATTTTTCCTGTTGGATATTAGATAGTGTCTCTTAAGCATGATGTACACTGTAGTTCGATGTACCCTGTAGTTCAGATACAGTCTCCAAACCGTGTTTACACTGACTGTAGTTTGGGTGTAGTTCGTCAAATGAAGATGAATTTTACGATACAAAAAAATGAATATATTGTAAACGCGCTTTAAATATCTGGATGCGATAGACTTCGTGATAAAAAATTCAAGGTACATTATATCATTGGCAATAATAAGAACCAATTTTAGTTTTTAGTTACACACTGTTAACCACCAATAGATGTTTTAATGACAATAAATCATAAAATGTATTCAGCTCGACGTAAGACATAAATAGATACAGTTGGTTTAACTTGAATAGAAGTTTTAATTATCTATGCTGCATATATGCATATATCACCTTGATGTTCATATCGTTTTACGTATTTGTCAACATCAAGGTTAGTGCGACCCATTTGTGACAATTTCAAGTTCCCAAATATTAGCGATTTAGCTCCTTTAAAAGCGAATGCAAGTTAAATATGTTTAATCAGAGGCGGATTCAATGGGGGGCGCGAAGGGCGCCCCCCCCCCCCTAATTTTCAACAGTGCCCTTTTTTACGGCTGATAGTGCCTTTTCTCAGACTCAAATATGTCCGTTCCCAACCCGTTGTAGGGATCCCAAATGACTCGAACCATCGACTCAAACACACCAGTCTGGGAAATGGCTCTTGGAATGGCTACAGATGCAAGGAAATGACGGATAATTTTCTTGGGGCCCCCCCCCCCCTCAGCGGCAAGCCCCATCTCCGCGGTCAATGCCTTCATTTTGCAGCGCCCCCCCCCCCTTTCAAAATTCCTAGATCCGCCCCTGGTTTAATAGTACTTTTATCTAGTGTATCTTTTATTTTGATTTTTCTTATAGAATAAGGCTATATAACAATAATGTGCGCTTCTTGTTATATAATACTAATAATAGTATGCTCAGCTATACTTTTCGTTTAAAAAATGTACGTTTTATGTCCTATATACACTTATTCGCTGAAATCTATGACATCCAACAATATAATAGGTCATATAAATAGATAATAAGTTTGCATGACGTCATATGAAATTCCTGGCATACAGTTGTCGCAACTTTATCTATACACGGCGTTGCGTCGACCAACCATGCAATGTGAAGTAGATGTCAATATGGTTATGTGCATAGGCGTACGAGCTGGGGGGGGGGGGGGGCTGGGAACCAAATGCTGGGAAAATTTGGGCACACAATTGTACTTTGTAAAAGTTGTATAAAAAAATATTGTGTTCTTGAATGTTTCCAATTTAACAGCGAATTTATTATTATTATGTAACATATTAAGAACCTAACTACATTTTTGGGGCACCAACCACCACCGCCCCCCAGTCAAAAATTTCCCCGTACGCCTATGGTTATGTGTAAGAATATTCAGTTCAATATATTCACGGTGTATGATTTTATTCATACTTCAATTTTAGTGAGTTACTTCTGCAACGTTTTTAGAAAAAATTGCTATTAATTTGGCCAGTACTGTAATAGCAAGTGTATAAATATTTTCTGTTCAGTCTGTACACAGTAACATATCTGAGAACCATATTATCATTTCTGCTCAAGGCTCCCTGTGATTTTCTAGTTAGCAGTGATACAAGGCAATCACCAATTTTCCATGTTCTTGGCCTGAAGAAATAAAATAATAAAAGTCAAGTTTTTATTATTATGCAAGTGGAAAAATACAATTCTTCATGGTATGATTTGAATAAATACAACTAATTTGAAGTTGGAATTATTATTTGTCTAAGATGACTGGGCATTTACAAATTGAAATAGCTACTCTTCATCAAGAAATACATGAATATTTTTCCCAATTCACCTGGATTTTATTGTAGGTCTTTGTACGTGAAATAGCTTTATTTAACGTCCGCTTCCACCGAAGTGATATTGCAGAAAATTAACAAATTTGGATTCCCTTTTAAAGGAATTAGACTACACTATCGCTGGATTGTATTATATTCAAAATGGCGCCCAGAACACAAAACAAACATTGCAATTCAGGGCGGACTGGTGTCGAGGTTGTATCCTAAGAATGATTTTTTGAATATTTAATCAAACAGAAACACAATTATGCACATGCAGTTATGATATAATATTAAATTAGCTTACCTCAAATACCTCGAAATATACTGTTTGGTCAGTTTGTCCGCCCGCCATATTTCTATTAGTCACACATCCTTCGGCCAATTAAAATGGACGTATATTTTGTTTTAACCGAAACGAAAAATTTGCGTTATAAATACATTGTATTAAAAAATACCAAAATCACAAACCTGATATTCTTATTTTCTGAACAAACTTTTTTCACATTAATATCACTTTTTTCGATACTAATGCTTAATAATACAGTTAACATTTGCAGTACCACAGGGTTTAATACCGCAAAATTACTTCAATAAATATTTCTTTCTTTGTTTTAAGAGTAATTCATTTTAATTGGTCATTTACAGGTAAGAATAAATTTCCAATTTCGATTAATGAACCAATTAAATTAAATAAAAAGATTAACTCGACTATTTCCACGCCCATTCAAACATTTTTTAAAACGTAGATATAACACAATTGTTATTGTCTTTGATGTGTCAAGTTTATTGGGGCGATATCAATCAGACACTTCCAAATGCAGACATTGTAATAACCTGTCTCTGTATATTGTCTTAGACAAGATGTGAAAATAAACAAAGAGTAGAATCAGAATAATCTTTTATTATATCTAATTAAATAAATAGTTTATATTTAGATAATAATTGACTAAAACTTTGATCTCTTATATCAGTATACTGTTATAAAATACGTTGTTTCAAAAGAGCTATTAAATGCATCCCACGATACATACATTGCGATTTCTACTTAATGTTTGTAATAATTAATATATCCTTTTAGATAATTAGAAATATTAAAAAATAAATCAAGTGAATTACTCGACATTCAAATTCAGGAAGAGTGGTTTTACATATAGGCTAGGCCAGATCCCTAATCCAGTTCCCCAATCCCATTCAGATTTTCTCAATAAATAAAAAACATAATGTGATAAAGGAACATAATAAATGTTATCTTTAATGTCGACGTAATTAATTATATGGAAAAAAAAACACATAAGATTTTATAAATGTACACAAGTTTGTGTTAAGACATTGAAAAGAACACAAACTTGTGTCATTGCAATGCAATACAACAATGCAATAAATATTTTTAACACAAGTTCTTGTGTTGAGATCCAACACAAGGGTTTTTTCAGTGTATAATATTCTCAAACAATTTGCCCCATAGTGATTTTCTTTCTGGCAAGCTCTTCCTTAAACTCTTGAATGGGTACCACAGTAGCTAAATGGCCCATCAATCATTGCAAAGGCCATTGAATAGCGTTGGGAATGTGTTCTATTAAAATTGAAGACAGTGGGTTACTTTTTCTCTGAACAATAGAAAAAAAGGGGCGTTCCCTTCAAACCAGTTTTAGTGTCCTACTTGATCCACAAGTGAACTCAATAGAGATAATATCTGAAGACGCCTATTTAGGGGTCGACATTCTTTAACTGGGCGTATTTTTTTATGTATTCATCTACCGTAAACAAAGCAGTACTTGTACTTAATATACTTTAATCTATATATTTCTATATATATACCAAATAGAAATGACGTCCAGATCTATAAACACCTATCCCTACAAGAATTCCAACCTGATTACTTTACAACCAAGTAAGGAATAATTGATGTAAATAAATAATGTTTTTGTCTTTGATTTCAGTGGACATTTTTATGCTGGTCAAATGCCCATTAATGTGAGAACATGGATTCCAGGAGAACCGATAGAATTGACAGGATCATTCGCGATGCCAACATCGATGATCGAAGATAATTATGATGTAAAGTGACTCTTAAATTTACTTTTACTTTTCCTATAAATTGATATGAAGTCGTTTCTTAGTGGATTAAACTGCAGTAGGTTTTTTTCTTATTTCTTCGGGAAAAAGATTTATTTAAAAACCAAAGAACTTAGTTGTACCTTTTAAAAGCTTTTAGTTCGTATGATTCGAGTGTCAATTTATTTATTAAGCATCCGAAGAGCTGACAAAATTAAATTGTTTGGCCTTAACGAAGTAATCCTAGACATATTTTCTGAACAATTCTCCGAGAAAGCTTCATCATTGCCATAGATCTGGATATCCATGTCTACATACTTATCTAAGTTGCAGGCGAAAATTCACTTGGCCTTAACAAATAGATCTAGCCTAAGTTGCCGTCATCTTCTTGATTGTCAAAGATTCCTTAAATGAGTTACGTACGAGGTGTGATTGATAAGTAATGGGTCTAACACAGAAAGAAACAAGAAATTCAAACCAAATCAACATAGTCCCCTTTCAATGTAATACACTTCTGCCATCGGTGTTGCAGAGCCTTTATTCCAGTTCTGTAGAAGTCTTTGTCTTGGGTGTGTAAAAAAATCATCCATAGCGGCAATGACGCCATCGTCAGACGGGAAATGCCTACCGGAAAGACATTTCTTCAGAACAGGTAACAGATAGAAGTCTGAGAGAGCTAAATCAGGAGAGTAGGGTGGATGCTGAAGAAGTTGAAAACCACAGTCATGGATTGCTGACATGGCAACAGCTGATTTGTGCACTGGCGCATTGTCCTGGTGGAAAATCACACCTTTGGTCAGCTTTCCTCGTCTTTTGGTCTTAATTTCTTGCCTCAACTGCCTTTTAAGTCCTGCATAGTATCTACCGTTAATTGTTAGACCCTTTTGGAGGTAATCCATCATGAGAACGCCCTCAGAATCCCAGAATACTGGGGCTATCACCTTTCCTGCCGATGTCATAACCTGCTCTATAAAAGTCCTACAACTGTGTAACGTATCATTCTATTTCGTGTCTATCGATCTGATTAAAACACAGATCCTATATTGTTTCGTTTTACTTGTCTTTACTACACTAGGATCTGGAAGAGTTGTTATATAACCCGCGTTCTGGTTGATGTGAGGGACTAACCAATGAAACGACCTGTTGTGTCGAGTTCTTAGCGTGCCGGACACGGAACTGTGGGTATCTCACTAGAAACATCAGCGCCGAATGGTCAATGAAATGTCTGACGTCATAGGGTCGAAAGCTGCTTGTAAGATCCCTGACGCCCCCCCCCCCCCCACTACAACCGGTCAGATCTTAATGTCGTGGAGACCATCGATATTATAAACAAAACCGCAGCGAAATATAGATCTGTATTTTAATCTGATTGCGTGTATATGAGTATGGTGTGGCCTGAATTCAATCTTTGTGGTTACCTGTTGACTGGCAACACGTGTACAATACCCATTATTCATCGAATTCTAACTGACAACAGCTCTCGTATATGCACGCATTTTGAAAATCGTTGGAATTCGACTTTTTGTGTCATCCAGATGACAAGGACGCCATGACTTTGTTTTCTATTTTAGGTGTATCTTGCTATAGGAGATAAAATATTGCATGGTAAAGCTGATTACTATATTCTATTTGCCAATCACAATGTTCCTGTTTATTCTGCTGGATATAATAATTTACATCACACCATACATGTAAGATATACATATTCCATTTGATGACATTCTTAGGATGTAGGGATATATATGTAGAACGATTACTGCTTTGCTTACTATAATATAGTTACTGTCGTGTTGACTGAACGGACTGTCGGTATGCATATGCTATAGCTTAGGAGGGGGTGGAGATACTCAATTGAACCTTCGCGAACTGAATTGTCTCAATCTCTCGAAAAGCACCAATCGAGTTAACACGACAGGGCATGCGCAACCGGGATATGATACTATCTCGACCAATTAATATAGCTGAAACTTTTGATTGCGTCACGACTCCGCTCACACCACATCTGTTTTAGGAACTGATAGAACTATGACAGAACTCAATTCCTTGTCACTCGATTGCAGTTTTGTCATTTCGAAACGTTCTCTACTGACAATCGAGTATCTCCTACTGTGACGCTCTTTTCACTCTTCGAATGCAGATTGTGCCTGTCCGCTAAATATAGTGTATGCAGTGACCGAGAATTTCTCTCTGGAGCCTGTCATAGCGATCTGTGGCAATTTTCTAGTAAAACGATTTCCCCACACCTTTTCCATGCTGCTGTTAGAAAAGGACAATCGTTAAATCCCGTTTTCTCATTAGGCCTACACGTATTTATTTCAGATTGCTGGATCTCATCCTAATGGCGTGTGTCAAGCTATACTGCCATTATGGACACCACCCACCCCTAGCCGATATCCACGATTATTTAAAGGTAATTATATCTAGATTATATTTAATTTCACAATTCATTCACCGACATGACCAAATTCGTGTAAAGCATTGTGAATGTACTGTTCATGGAAGAAGTTTTAGACTAGGCACTGATCCCTATGTGCTACTCATCTTGTTGTCTTTCTTCTTCTTCGAGGTGGATGGAGGAATCGGTGGTTTTTTCAGATAACTGCACATGATTAGGATACCTTCAATGCATATACTTAACCAGTTTTATCCACTAAATTATATTTAGTGTGCTTCATCTTATACGACTACATAAAGCCTGTCATTGAGTCAACTGACGTGGTTTCTTATCCCCGGTTGTACGTGACAAGGAGTAGGGTCACCTGTCCAACCTCGTGGGTTTTCTCCGGGTCCTCCCTTTTCCACCCACTGCTAAAGACCCTAGGGGTGGGCGATATCTGCTATTTTCAACATTGCGATATTTCAGTATTCATATTGTGATATCGCTATATATTGTGGCGATATCCAGTATGCTGTTTGTTTGTAAAATAATCATGATATAGACCATAATTATAGCGTATCGCATTTTTTAATATTTTGTTTTGATTTTTCAGGATGACAGATCGATATATCAATGTAAACAGGGTTACGGGGGGGGGGCAGATTTTGCCTGCACATATATGAGAAACAAGTAACACCCATATTAGCGAGTCATAATATTTTAATCTAAGAAATAAAACAAAAGTAAAAACAAAACGAAAACACAAGTAAAAACAAACCCACTTTATGCGGATAAAAAAGGGACAGAATTATGAAATTAGTTTTCATTTCCCATTCTTTGGGAATTTGTTTAAGTCACTATATAACTCCCTTTTTAAAACACCATATAGCTGTCTAAAATTCAAAAACAATTTACAACACTACTTAGTGTTCAAAATATGATCAGATAGTAAACACTAAAAAACTAATTGTATCCACTTGTAAAAACCACATAACCTTAGTTAAATAAGGAAGACAATTAAAACATATCAATGGTCAGTTTGCGACAATGTAAGGTGTAATACAGTTCAACAATTAAGCTCTCAGTTCAATCTAAATTTTTAGCTAAAAAGACCAACATGTTGACTTTTGCTGGTTTGAGGCGTGTTCTCGAACAAGTAACTACGTTTCCGGAAGTACTGAATAAACGTTCTGATGGACAGGATGTTGCAGGAGCACATAAGTATTTTCGGGCGCATAGGGCTAGGTGAGGATAAATATTGCAATTGTCCTTCCACCAACTTAACGGATTATGCTCGAAGTCAATAGATGGGAGAAAAAGGTAACGCTCTAATTCTTTCACGATCTGTTCTTCCGGTGATAACGATATATCTGCTTCAGATGACTCTCTCCTCTTAAACAATTTTCCCAGATTCATCTTTACTTTTTTTCTTAGCACCACGCTACCATCATCTTGGGACATACTTTCATTTGTATCAGATGGCGATGATGTGATAGACAGCGCAGGTGGTATTGTTTTTGTTGATGCGATGAATCTAATAAGTATGTCGTTGATCTCCGGCTGTGTATTTGGTGGGAGATATTTGTCTTTATACCTTGGGTCTAGCATTGTTGCTATTTCTAGAAGAATTCTTGATTCTGGGTCTGACTCAGCGGAATATTTTTCATTTAGATATTTTAAAATCTTAGATTTTATTTCTTTGGTCATCTCAGTATCCTCTGGTTCGTTGACTAAAATTTCATTATTTAGCAAATGTAATACTGGTACTACTGATGAAATCGATACGTAATCTTCACCACTTAGGGCATCGGTGAAATCGGCCAAAGGCGCCAAAGCTTTGTTAACAGACTCCATGACACATACAGTCTGCCATTTTGGTATTAATGACAAACTTTTGCGGTCTGAAGAGAGAACTTGCGTGATTGCTTTCTCTTGTTCTAAATATCTTCCTATCATTGATTGAAGAGATCCCCAACGCGTGTCGCAGTTTGATATTAAACAGTGTTCTGGCATATGTAATTTTTGTTGTATTTTCAAAAGTTCACGTTTTTTCTTCCAGGAATAAGAAAATGCTGATACTACTTTTTTACAGGAAGCTACAGCCTTATCGATGCGTTGGTCTTTTAATGCATTGTTTATGGCCAAATTCAATCTGTGTCCAAAGCACTGGAGACGAAGATAATTATTTAACGATGCTGCTTTTGTGATATTGGCTCCATTATCAGTTGTTATGCATACCATGTCAGTTTCTCGAAAGTCCCATGCTGTAATGATCTCCCTCAAACCCAATGCCAAATTTTCAGCAGTATGGTCAGACGGAAAATATAAAGTCTCCAGATGTCTAGACTTGAGTCGCCAATCCTCGTCTATAAAATGCACAGTGAAACCCAAGTAAGGCTCCATATTTCGGCTGCTCCACATATCTGTAGTAGCCCCAAAATAACAAACAGGCCTACGTCTGATCTCCTCTAAAACCTTATCATGTACAGTGTTATATAAAGCAGGGATGGCAATGTCTGAAAAATATTTTCTACCAGGTAAACAATATCTAGGATCAAAGGTTTTCATCATATTTCGGAAACCACTTTTCTCAACAGTAAATATGGGTATCATATCTTTAGCCAAAAAATGAGTAACTGAATTTGTCATGGATATCCACTTCTTAGATTTTTTATCATAAGGAAATGAGTCCTTTAGCGACATCTGAGTGGTGGTGGTGGTGGTGGTATGACAAGAATTGGAAGACAGTTTTCTATTTTTGATACTTTGTTCATTAAAACAACCTTTAACGGTTTCAAGTCTCTGTTTACATGCGGTATATTTCGTGGGGTGGTGAATTTTGAGGTGTTGATACAGGTTCGTTGTATTCCCTCCTTTAGCGCCGATTGTTCGCATACAAAATCGACAAACAATAGTTGTCTGCTGTTCGTCAGATTCGTCATAGCCGAAATACAACCAAACATCGCTTGTACAATTTTTCTTTGGAACAAGTTGTCGTCCGCCTCTAAATAACGGGTTATCGTCAGATTGAGTTGAAACTGACGACGAATTGTCGCCGGCATCTTGTCTAATTCCATGAACTTCGATTTGCTCATCAAATTCTAACGAAGTCATTGCATTTACTTTAGCGAAGAATAATTTAATCTTTACCGGGTATTTCCCCCGCATCAGCTGACTGTAGCTACGAATAACAAGACTTATTTTAAGAAGAAAGGGAATTAACTCTCATTTTCAACACCGCGATATTTTTCGAAGACGATATTAGTGACGATACGATAATGCAGCTATTTTTTTACAAGGCGATATTTTCGTTACTAGAATTTTCATACCGGTTATACCTACAATATCGAAACATCGCCCATCCCTAAAAGACCCCTACGCGCAAGCGAATTATTGAAAAAAACTTAAACCATATGTTAGTCCCGAAATGACCTAGTTTGTGTCGAGTGGACGTTATACCCCATTTCTCTCTCTCTTATACGACTAATGTAAGTTGTGTTGTCTCTACCGATCAGCTTTTGTGAACATACATTTAAAGGGACATAATTCCATTATCGGGAAAAACTGAAGGATCTGAATTAAGTTTAACATCTCGTCAACACCATGTCCATATTCCCGTCGTTTTGAGCCTTGTAGATTATTACTTTCTATATGGCAATGTAAAGGAGTGTGTGTGTGTGGGGGGGGGGGGTAATTTGCTGCAATTCCGATTACTCTTCATTGGCTCTTTTTCTCGTCCCATCCGAACGACTAGATAACACTTTATTTGTCAGCCCTTCATGTGCTACCCCTGACAAGTGAAATTCGGGCTTTACAAATCCCGCGATTCTTCTCGGGCTACGCGGTAATTAAGCTACCACACCCCTCTATAGACAAACCAAGCAACAGGGCATTTCACTACGTTATCAATACTTTGTTTATTACAGGTTCGATGACACAGATTATTGGATAAATTGAAGCGGTTAAAGACTTATAGTAGTAAAAATATCAAATAAAAATATATTTAAAGCAAGTTTTAATGAAGCTACAAACTGAAGTGCATAAGACAAGCTATCTACATAAATACTGTATTTCCACATCAATCGGGCTAAAGAACGTGTTATATTTGCTGTGCAGTGTGCTACGAGAGACATTTTGATCAGTCATTTGACTCATTACGCTTCCTTATAATTTCAAGCACTTAAAAGTGTTTAACTTTAGCTACCACACCCCTCTATAGACAAACCAAGCAACAGGGCATTTCACTACGTTATCAATACTTTGTTTATTACAGGTTCTATGACACAGATTATTGGATAAATTGAAGCGGTTAAAGACTTATAGTAGTAAAAATATCAAATAAAAATATATTTAAAGCATTTTTTAATGAAGCTACAAACTGAAGTGCATAAGACAAGCTATCTACATAAATACTGTATTTCCGCATCAATCGGGCTAATGAACATATAAGCTGTGCAGTGTGCTACGAGATACATTTTGATCAGTCATTTGACCCATTTACGCTTCCTTATAATTTCAAGCACTTAAAAGTGTTTAACTTCATTAGTCCCTACAGACAACATCCCCAATCACATTTATATTCACACCATTTTAAAAAAGCTAATGCGAGCCCCAAATTTGGCGATAATAATAATAATATTAATCATCTATTCCATTAGTTTAATTCCTCTTCCAAAATAATAAGCCAAACAAATATTTATGAACAACTACAGAACAACTCTAAACACCACTGCCGACATTACACAATAAACAAAACAAGATGTCACAATGCAAGACCTTGGGCTTGTACATAGAACAGACTGACAATGTCATTGTGAGATTTAAACACTTGCGTTTTCGCATCCAATTCTGAATGATAAAACCTACCAGATGAACTGTGAAATTTCAAATTGGGCATATTGGGCGCAACGATTTCTAAAGTTGTTGTACTACAACCACCAGAACACTGTTGATTACAATGTTTTCGGAAAAGGGGGCATGAATTACCCAGGCACGGAAGGTCACTGAACGCTGAATATCGTTAGAGTTTGCCCCCTTCATGACCACAATGCTTCACCAAAAATCGGTTACATCGTTCCCTGGAATAGAGCGAGCGGGGAGTCGGGGTATAACTTCACAAGTCTTCGGATTTTGCATTTCACATTTTGTATTTCATAGTTTGCATTCATATTTTGCATTTCACATTTTTCCTTAAAAGGGAGGGGACATAACTCCAGAACGGATCCTCTAGAAGTTCCACAAACTGTGTAAAAGGGAGGGGCCATTTTGATGGAAGGTTTCGGTTCAATAATTATGAAATTCTAACGCATTCGTGATGATAGTGTAGTGCAGATATATTTGAACGTTTTTTTGAAATTGAAATCAGAAAATGTAAAATTTGAGTCAAAATTGGTACAAGAAATACAACATGGCTATTGAATACCAAGCATAGGCGTACGAGCCTGGGCGTACGAGCCTAGGGGGGGCTAGCTAAACCCCTAACTTTCGGGCAATCTGACTTTTCGGGCAGACGGGTAAAGTGAACAAAAAATATTATTATTTCACCTAATTTGCAAGATAAAGTGCTTGAAATCTAATAAAACATTAATATGACTTTAACTTACTTGAATATAACGAATTTGTACTGTACTAAGTTGCCGTCATCTTCTTTATTATCAAAGATTACTTAAAAGAGTTACGTACGAGGTGTGATTGATAAGTAATGGGTCTAACACAGAAAGAAACAAGAAATTCAAACCAAATCAACATAGTCCCCTTTCAATGTAATACACTTCTGACATCGGTGTTGCAGAGCCTTTATTCCAGTTCTGTAGAAGTCTTTGTCTTGGGTGTGTAAAAAAATCATCCATAGCGGCAATGACGCCATCGTCAGACGGGAAATGCCTACCGGAAAGACATTTCTTCAGAGCAGGTAACAGATAGAAGTCAGAGAGCTAAATCAGGAGAGTAGGGTGGATGCTGAAGAAGTTGAAAACCACAGTCATGGATTGCTGACATGGCAACAGCTGATTTGTGCACTGGCGCATTGTCCTGGTGGAAAATCACACCTTTGGTCAGCTTTCCTCGTCTTTTGGTCTTAATTTCTTGCCTCAACTGCCTTTAAGTGCTGCATAGTATCTACTGTTAATTGTTAGACCCTTTTGGAGGTAATCCATCATGAGAACACCCGCAGAATCCCAGAATAACAGGTAACAGATAGAAGTCTGAGAGAGCTAAATCAGGAGAGTAGGGTGGATGCTGAAGAAGCTGAAAACCACAGTCATGGATTGCTGACACATGGCAACAGCTGATTTGTGCACTGGCGCATTGTCCTGGTGGAAAATCACACCTTTGAAATCAGAAAATGTAAAAGTTGAGTCAAAATTGGTACAAGAAATACAACATGGCTATTGAATACCAAGCATAGGCGTACGAGCCTGGGTGGGCGGGGGGGGGGGGCTAATAAAACATTAATATGACTTTTATCTTACTTGAATATAACGAATTTGTACTGAATTGACTATGGAAAGAAACATTTTGTCTGGAACCACTCTACTTTGTGCATGCAGCTTTAACATCTGATTGGATGGTTGGAATTCAGGTCGACATAGAGTGGATTTCGGTTACAAAACCATTGGACAACTTTGGAGTTGCTTAACTCACAGACTAGAATAGCAGAAAAAAAGTATCTGGGGCTATATTGAAGTTGCCCTATTCACGGGCTGGAATAGCAGGAAAATTTTCTCCCAACGGTCCCGTCTCTATGGACTATAAACGATTGATTGGTTGTTGGATGATTAGAATTCGAGTCAGCCAACTTTACTGCAATTTGGGCAGAATTAGACCACTTTGAAGTTGCTGTATTCACCGGCTATAATAGTAGAAAAACGGGTTTGCGGTCTTCATATTCTCCTGGGGTCCCTACACGGTAAGCTCAGCTCCTCTGCTCTCGCAGAAGACCAACGCCACCGTCTGTAACCCGAATTTTTTTCGGGCATTGCCATTTCGGTTTTTACCCACCTAACTGTCATCGAGCCCGTACGCCTATGATACCAAGGAACAACAGAATGTGCACACTGATCAGCAGTGAATATTCGCTAGGCCGCGACAATCGCTGATAAGGATGACATCGATGCGACTTAATGAGCCACAAATATTAACTTTTTTCCTCCGACAAATTAAATTCTAAAACATTTTTTTATGTATTAGAAAAATAAATAATGACGTTTGACGTATTTGTAGTAAAAATTATTTCCTATATAGTGTAAATGGGTATTAAAATGAGTAAAAGGCTCCATTCCGCACGAACCATTAAGGTTTTATGTAAACAATGCACGCGCCATTGAGTCAATGATTGACGCCGCGTGATGAAAAGACACGTGTTGAAGGTAGTCATCTTTTACAGAGATATTAGAAGACTTTCGTAATCCTCTGTGAAACAGATTGCAGAATGTGATGGGTAAAAAAAAAAAAAGGCGCTGTAACTGGATGCAGACCATCATTATTTTCCCTTTTGACTTCAATGTGAATTTTGTACTGTTTGTCCGACTCGAACTCTTCTCAAATTTTGGTTGGGCGGAACGCTTTTCAATACAGACAGAGCAAAAAGTGTCCATGACTTTGCGCCAAAATTTTTATGAGGTTGACCACTGGAGTTTTGAGAAACATAAACTTGAAGTACCTATAACTTAAAACTTAATATCTGAGTATACTTCCTTCAAACCCGCCACCACTCATCCCCACCCATGCCTTCTCCCCATGAGCACTCTGACATCATGAATATTATGTATTTTAATCATTGATGTTGGTAATAACCATATTTAGTGTTCAGTGTTTTACAAAAAGACATATACTATATTCGCCACTACTTATCTTTCTTTAACAACAGTTCATTCTACATAGTTCAGACAGATACCACTCATCACAAGGAATCAAAGATTTAAACTAAAATCTGTCTATGATCATTACATTCCATATATATTTTATACAACCATATTAGGATTCTGGTCAACCTGCACACAATTGTTTTATTGTAAACCAAGATTAACATATGCAGGATCTGGGTTTAATGTTTGATATTGATTTACTGCTTCATCTTGTTCAGTTGAAACTTGTTGTAGGGTATCATAAGTACTATGATCAGATGTAGAGTTATCTCCTCCTGTTGTTGCTGTATTTATAGTAGGGTGATTATTATATCTATAACCACGTGTTTCACTGGTTGGTTTAGATTTAGATGACTGCTTCCTGTAAATAAATAACAAAATATATAAACCTTTAAATTTTAAAGTTAAAGCCTGTTGATTTATTTGAGTGTTAACATTATCAATGATGTTCATGTGTATGTCTAAAGGCAATCCGTGTATTTGCTATACTGAATTGGCACTTAATGGAGGGGAGGTACCAGTTCACCACTTAATAATAGTATAGTATAAACATATCAAAACTTTTAATATATTATTCACTCTTTCCCTTTGGCTTACCTTTTACTTAAATAACAATATACTGTAACACCAACTGCCACTGTAATTACTATACCAAATATAGCACCAATAACACCACCTACAACTGGACTCACTTCTTCATCTTTATTTTTATCTTAAATCAAACAACAGAAATACAATGACATTAGTAAAATCTATAAGATATAAAATCTCTGTTGACAGCTTGATGACAGATTGTAATATAAATTTACATTGATGTCAACCTTATTATACACAATAACAGAAAAGACATATTACAATACTTACATACAAATCTTATTTTACTCTCTGTACATATTCCTGATATTCTGTTACAACCATCAGTACAATTACCAGAACATTTAATGTTACAGTAAGTACCATACCATCCTAGTTTACAAACAGAACATGATCCATCAAATTTATCACACTGTCCATTACAGTTAGAACTACACTGTTTATTACATGATGTTCCCCATCTTCCATCTTTACATTGAGAACAGTTGTTGATATCATCTTGATTACAAACAGTACACTTATCATTACACTCTTTATCACAGGTGTCGCCATTGTATCCGTTAATACATAAACTACATCTACCATTACTCCTACTACATCTACCATCACATGTTGTACTACAATTCAAATCACACCCATCACCATATCTTCCTACAATACATTCAGTACATCTACCATTACTCCTACTACATCTACCATCACATGCTGTACTACAGTTCTTATCACATCTATCACCATGTCTTCCTACAATACATTCAGTACAGCTACCATTACTCCTACTACAGTTACCATCACATGTTGTACTACAATTCAAATCACACCCATCACCATATCTTCCCACAATACATTCAGTACATTTACCATTTCTGTCGCATGTTTCTTGAGTCAAATCTGTAATTGGTAGACATTTAGTACCACATGAAGAATTACAATATAGACCAACTGTATTAGGTTTACAACTATAACATTTACCTTCGTCCCTGGTACAAGTATCAAGACAGTTAACAGGACATGGTTTATTACAATCATCACCAAATATTCCCGATTTACATTCTATACATCTACCTGTTGGCTTATTACATCCTACAGTACAGTTACTAGAACATCTGGTTTGACAGTTTGAACCATAGTAACCCTGTGTACATCCAGAACACTGTCCTGTATTCCTGTTACAACCACCTATACATTGATCAACTGTACATGATGTATCACATGTACCTCTATACCATCCTACTTTACAACCATTATTACAATTACCATCTACCTGTCTACATCCCCCATTGTTACAGTTATTAGAACATTGTTGTTGACACGAATTACCCCAATAACCATCAATACATCCACCATTACAAATACCATCTGATTTAATACATGACGTCATACATGTAGAACATGATGTTTCACAGTTTGTACCGTACCATTTTAGATGACATGTATCACAGTCTCCTGTAATCCTATCACAGTTACCGGTACAGTTTGTAACTATACATGTTAATTCACAGTTGGTACCATATCTACCATCAATACATCCATTACAAATACCAGATGTTGAATTACATAATCTGTCTTTACAGCTGACGTCACACTGATTCTCACAGGCTACACCATAATACTGGTCTGGACAAACACCTGAAACAATAATAATATTTTTGTTGATAATATTTAATTCCTGTAAGTAATAAAAATAAAGATATAGACAGAATCATCCTTAGTGTTTGACATTGACTTAGTTCTATGCGTTTAGAAAGAGAATACACTAGTCAACAATGATGGGTGCCATGATGGGTGTTTATTCACGCGAAGCCACGGTGGCTCTCTGAGTAGGACGTTAGCTCGTTAACCTGTTGTTCTCGTGTTCGATTCCTGCGTTAGCCGAGAAAGTTAATTTATCTTCGGCATGGTTCCTCCTTGTCACTGGTACAGGGGTGAGGGCCTGACAAGGAACAACGAATAGTCATTTGGAAGGGACGAAAAAGAGGTCCCATGTACACACTGACAGGCACGTAAAACGAAATGAAATGAAATGGGGTTTAACGTCCTACTGTTCTGCTCCTATACTGGGCCAATGAAGACGTACATACGCTATACAGTGTGCTATGAGGGAAATTTTGCCCGGGCAGCGGCACTATCGCCTACTCTTATATCGAATTCCAACTGCCAGGGGATCTTTTACGTGCATTCCAATATATACACGGGACCTCGGTTTTTCGTCTCATCCGAAGGACTAGACAGCTGTCCTTGTCAGGTCCTCCGTCCTGCATCACTGACAAGGGGAAACCACGCCGGAAAATCTGGATGAACTTTCTCGGCCAATGCAGGGATCGAACACCCGACCTCCAGGCTAGCGAGCCAGCGTCTTACCCACTTAGCCACGTAATCCCCGGGCACGTAAAACTTCCCTTGGCATTTGGAATTCGATATAAAAGTAGGTCGTAGTGCCCTGTCCTGGTAAACTGTCCATCATAGCACACTGTATGGCGTATGCCCGTATGCATTAGCCCAGTCGGGGCAGAATAGTAGGATGTTAAACCCTATTTCATTTCATTTCGTTTAACGCGGCTGAAGTCGAGTCTGAAGACAAAGAGATAAAATTTACCATCAAGTCACATTCAACCTAATTTACTACTGAAATCATATTAACTCTGGCAGATATGAAATACCAGATACCGAACTACGAGGCTTGCGGGGTTGTTTTTTTTTTTTGGGGGGGGGGGGGGAATATATTACAAATAAAACAAGTCTTCTACTCTACAAACTTATATGTTAAATATATTTTCTTCAAGAAAACTATGTATTTCCGAAAATGCAACATAAGCTAATGTAACTGTAATATAATAAACTTCATTAATCAAATTCACTCATGAGACGCGGTCGTAATTTTTGAAAATGAAATTGTAAGCTCGCTGAGGTTTACTGAATTCGCCATGAGAAAAGTATTACATAGTGAGGTCTATTAGCAGTTGTGGAACGGCAACTTATATTCACAGGAAACGGGATACACTTTGGATATTATAGGTTTATTTCCATGAACATATATAGAGAAAAATTTACTTGTGCGTAACTACCAGGAGGCCCTCTACCTTAGCCGATGATTCCTATCGCTATACAACTTTACCATTAAAGATGCATTATTTAAAAGTTAAATGTTCCTATTGCATGTCTTTCTTTTGGCCTATTAAGATATTTATTCAATGTCTCTAGATTATCTGAGGGTCGCGATTTGTGACAAAGTGATCTATACCTGAAGTTGACGTTTGAACTCTCTATAAATTATATGTTTAATAGTCGAAAAATACATTAGATAACCTATCTTATAAACAAATGTTGTACGTAAAGATTTTTAAAGGTTATTCAAAGATCATGATCATTAAAGATACATTATGGGAGATTCGATAACGATAACTATAATAGTTAAAATCTAGATAATGTAAAGGCAATTTGCTGAAAATTCCATTCAAATTGATCTACTATGAACCATGAACTAAGCGATTGAAATTTCCGCCTAGCCTCGGTCATCATTACTAAAGTCAGTACGATAAACAGCATATTCTCGATTATCCATTTAATCGTTAAATCATGAAGGAAAGTTCTGCAGTAAATCGGCTCATAATCCACTAAAGATCGCAGGCTATCGATGCCATCTAGTGTTGATTATGGTCTGGATCAGTTAATTAATGTCTAATTAATAATTTAGATAACAATTCAGGCCTATAGAAAGACCTGCAATAGACAGATTTAGCTCTTGCATAATGTATGTTTAAAGGATAAACCTAATACAGTTTACGAAAAGCATCTCGGGGTCTCGGGTCTAGTAGAAGCATCGGGTTTTCCATACAAATAAATATAGAAAATAAGTTCTACATACTGAAAAATCAAGTTCTTAAAATCGAAATTTACCTTCAGTCTGGAACACTTGAAATATAAAAACACATAGGCTAAGCAATACCGCCATCTTGCCAGCTACATTCGCTTGAATAATTCTGTATAAAACTTTTAAGCTTTACATTACAACCAGGAAGATATTATATACATACATATTATATACATGTGTAAAGCCTATTGTATGAGAACATGTCAGTAAGGCGACATTGGCGACGTTAAAGTAAAGGTATATTATAGCAAGGCCAAAGAAATAACTATCAGTGTTTACGAATACTTGGTAAAACATATATGAGAAAGAGGAGTGATAGAACTAACTGAAATAATCAATTAATATTTAAATAACTTGCTTGTATCGTTATGTTTTCAACAAGTAAATACTCAGTGATATCGTCATATAATTTTTTTTAAATTTCTTTGGTGTCAGGAATCTTCGGGCCAGGACTCGCCAAGTATCAAAAATTGACAGGTATTTATTTTTTGTTTTGTAGTGTTACTAGCACATGATTTTAGACTAGATACTGAAAGACATAAAAGTCAGTGCATGCTTATCTAATACCACTTTTTATTTAACAATTTATATAGCTAACAAACTGTTATTGTACTATTGTACCTTAACTACATTATACACAGTGGCTTTGGCCTCTCAAAATCAAGTTGACATTTTACCTCTTTAAATATAATTATATGTTTGCTTCATGATATCTATTTGAAAGTAAAAATAATATCAGGTAATGATTTTAAAATGACACTATTTGGAGAACTTTTGATAAATATGCTTGTCACAAAATTGAAATTTACACAAAAATGAAATGAAATAGGGTTTAACGTCCTACTGTTCTGCTCCAAACTGGGCAAATGAAGACGGGATAAATGTACAGATATACTAACGTGAACAATTTGTAATATACATACATGCATCATGAAACAGGAGTTAACTTCACATTGCCTTATGGAAGACCTTGAATAATAGTTAAGTCCGTCGATAATTGTCCATATTTATTGACAACTCAACATGAATTTCATACCACAAAGTCACTGCAGATATTAACTGTTCATTTTTATACACAGTAAGAACGAAGAGTCCTGGTTTTAGCCAAGTACATTTTCTTCCTTATCAACAATAAACTAGGGATTCGCGGAGGCTCATTCGGCCAGTCTATGCATAAAAGTGGACGTTAAACCCCATTACATTACCATAAACTGTATTAGAATTTTTTGTCTCACAGCGACGTTGTTCATTAAAATTTTCAATGAATATATGTAAAACGCTTACGCCAATTGAACGAATATATTAGTGTTATATATAGTCACCCCCGCTCCTCCGTTCACAATTCGTAATCAGTTTGGAAAATAAAGTCGTTAGTAATTAACTAAATTGAAAGTTTACACTAAAAATCGCCATAAAAATATGTACGTGTTATATTATGATTTTCACAAAATTAGTACTGTCGGCATATACAGGTCACAATTCTATGGAATACAATTACTGCTTATTACTGAGCGACGTTTCGACTAGGCTTCTCTAGTCATTATCAAGAAATGATAAAATATAAAATATAACAAGACAATATGTATACATGTAAACAACAATACTTGGTTAATGGTGACCAACAAGAGACACCCTTATAATTACCTTGAAGGGAACCTAACGTAATTAAAATAATGTAATTATGAAAGTGATCCAAGTTGATGAAGGTAATATTAATAACAACACCCAATATGACATAGACAACTTTACCTGAAAATAAAACATGGATAACTTGTTGCGAAGTAATGATAATTATTTGATCAGGTTTTAAAAATCACAACACCCTGAAAGATGATAAAATTTGATAATACTATCAATGAAGTCGTATTTACTATCCTTGACAATGACATTATATGTCATGTTGGGTTATTATAGTTTATTATCTCTTCTGTATAAACTATGAGTAGACATTTAAGATCTTCAAAGACTTCAACAGATAGCGAATCCCTCCACACCCTCCCCGCATATCTACCTACATGTATTTCAAACAAGCGGCTGCCAGGCAGGATACGCCAACATTTTCGAGAGATGGATAGAGAACAAACTAACAAGAAAGTGATTTTTCCTTCAATCAAGGGCCATAATTCAGGAAATTACAATTCGATATGCGCAAATATCGAAAGGAACTGAGACTTTTGTGTTATAAACCTACATTTCAAGTTTCAACAAAATCGTATAAAAATTGTGACCTCTATAGGGTCCAAAACCTTGCTTTACCATATTTTTACGCTATTTGAGAACGAACGGCAGCCATTTTGTCTCTCAATTTTCGGCCGATTTTCACGAAATTCGAACTCAGTCGTCCTTAGGGTGTAACGGTGATATAATAATACGGTTTTTGTAAATCGGATAAAAATTACGACCTCTATAGGGTCCACAAGCTAAAAACGCGATTTTTCGTACAATCAGGGGCCATAATTCAGGAAGTTACGGTCCTATATGCGCGAATATCGAAAGGGACCGAGATCTTTGGGTTATAAACTTACATTTCAAGTTTCAACAAAATCGGATAAAAATTGTGACCTCTATAGGGTCCACAAGCTAAAAACGTGATTTTTCGTACAAACAGGGGCCATAATCCACGAAGTTTCGATCCGATACATGCCAATATCGAAAGCAGTCGAGATCTTTTGGAGATAAACCTATATTTCAAGTTTCGTCAAAATCGGATAAGAATTGTGACCTGTAGAGTGTCCACAAACAAATTGTGGACGGACAGGGGCGACGGCCTAGTACGTCCACATGAAAATGTGGGCGTATAAAAATAAGAAAAAGAATCCGACAGTTTTCGTTAAAGTGATTCCATTTTTCATTATCTCACAATATCAACTTCCGTAATATTTCATCCTAGTTACGTATTAAGCTGTGTGATAAATGTCGACGAAATGCAAATGGTTCGTTTTATTTTTATTTGCGACAGCTGTGGGTTTACAAATACAAATACTTGTAAACATGCTCAATGGTGACCGGATATTGTGTGTTGTGGGCGTCCAATAGAATGGTTCCATCTTCATTAGTTGGGGCAGAAATATATTATGGACTATTTCCTGCTTGTCCCTGGAGGGGAGGGCGATATTGAGTGACGGAGATAATAAGGTAAACAGCATAATAATTTAAAACCATAACAAATTGAATCACATGTTTGACGTGATGCAGGATTCGGCAGGTTTTGTCCTTCAAATCTAAATATGGCACTCGGTGCTCTGGGTTAGATAAAATTCTTATCAATCGACCTATAATGAAATGAAACCTGTGATAGAACAGGTGTACGTACGAATCAAGCTATCTATAGAAGCGCACGACGTGCAGTTCCAGAACAGTTGTTATATATACTTGGAAGATGATAATGCAGTGGCATTTCCTCGCATCAGTAATTTTGTATCTCGTACATAAAGGTAAACAACAATAAGCTAATTGGCTTTATGATAATTAATGGCAGTATTACGTCTTTCTTGTAAATTATTGTTTTGGTTTTGTTTTTCATTTTGAGTAAAGTCTGTATAATTACAAGTCCGGGGCCTATGCAGCGTAATGGACGCATACCACTGCCCTCGCGGATCCATTCACTTCTTTTGATATTTTGTTGTTTATTGCTTGTAATGTCTGGGTCGTTGGTATCTTGTCCACGGGTTTGTCTTTTCCGTTTTGTTTGCCAGTAGTGCGGTACCCCGGCACTGACTATTAGAATGCAATTAATTATTATTGTTTGATTTACAGGGGATAGTACTGGTTGTGCAGTATGCCCTAGAATACGTTCTGTGCCGCCCACAGGGTAAGTTGTCAATGATAAAAAAATATTCCTAATCATCGCAGCCCTGGCAATACAAAATATCTTATTTCAGGGCATCAGCTTTAAATCAAATTTTAATGTACGTGCCGAAAGAGGGCATGACAAACCGGATTTACCTCTATCATTGTGCAAGTTTAAACATTCAAGTCCATTTTTCGGTTATTTGAGTGGGCGCTTTGCATGCTGGTGTATAGTTTCATTACGACAGTGATCGTTGAACAGTTTTTGCCCCGGTTAAGCAGACTGATAAGTTATTTGATTTCTCGATACTTTATAGAATGATAAATTTGCAAATGGTTAATAAGTATCATCTATTTGAGATTAAGGTGAGGGCTCGCTGTTGGCTTGTTTTAGTTTAACTTTTGGGTCACTATGTCGACTGTGGAAAACAAAACACGGTTTTATCTCAACGCTTGTTTTATCTTTAAGCCTAAAATTTTCAACGAAGACAGGGTGTCATCGCGCAATTTTAATTTTGACCAAAATTGGAGAGGTCTGGCCATCGCACAATTTCAATTTGGTCTGGTCATCTCGGCTCAGAGATCGATAGTCCCGTGTATGCACCATTTCCTCACGGCACACTGCATGACGTATGTCCGTCTTCATTATCCCGGTTGGAGCAGAACAGTAGGACGTTAAACCCAATTCATTTCTAATTATTTTAAATATCGTCATCTGTCGCAAATCAAAACATAACGGACCTTTTGTATTTCTTTGGAGAATTATCACATAGCTTGGCAAGAAATTAGGTTAAATGATTTTATTAAACAGGAAGTAAAAACAATCCAAAGTAGTTTTATTCACTAAAATATATCTGAGACATCTCTTTTATTTTAGTAGGCCGCAGTGGCTCAGTATCTAGGGTGTCCTTACTTCGACCCCCGTGTTGACAGAGAAAGTTCCTTTTGTCAGTGGTGCAGGACGGAGCACCTGGCAAAAATGACCAAAAAAGTCGAGGTCCCTTGTGCATGTTGGTGTGAACGTAAAAGATCCCCTGACAGTTGGAATTCGATATAAGAGTAGGTAGAAACACCGCTATCCGGGCAAAATGTTTCTCTTAGCACAGTGCATGGGGAATATTCCCATCTTCATGAACACGAGGAAGTAAGTAGTTCATTGCAATTCCTTTAGCTTAACTATACGTATAATAAACTTTATATAATATAGGATTGATCATCAGCCATATATGTAATTAATTTTATATCAACTATACTTCTCTAGTTATGTCAAGAAGACATACATAGAAAGCGATGAACATATTGAGAATCCTGGACGTGGTTTTGTGTACCATGATCAATC